GAATGATTGACCTTTGAGGGCGAGAAGATGTGTTATCGAGATGGCGGACATGCTCAATCTGGAAAATATATGCAAAAGAAGAATATTATTTTACCACGAAAAATGTACGTAAATCGAGTATATAAGTATATAACCTGTGGTTTAACTCGGACGCCTTGTTTTCGCGATGTGTAGTTGGCAAGTACTCATAAAATTCGGTCATGTACCTTCGCACCATTTTGTCATATATTGCTCTAAACGAGGCATCACCACTGTCGGGAAGCGTTTCTCGAATGAAACGGTCCTGACTGCATTTCGTTACACGGTCGAAATATTCTTCCATCCGGTCGGAGCGGAGACGAAAGGTTGGAAAATGAGAGGATATCTCGTCACAGTCGAATTTTATGTCAGCATCGGTCAAAGGAAGGTTAGCGGCAGGGACCTAAATTTTATATAACGGAATGAAAAATGAAAGTAAGTAAAGACCAGAAGTGGTATGTATGTATCACCTCCATAATCGCTTCTAGCTGAGGTCCAAGTTGTTTGCTCAAATAGTAAAATATCGGACAGAGAGAGGCTTCCGCGTATTTATCGGATTGACATGGATAACCTAAAATCACAGTGTTTTCACGTTTTTCATTTTTATTCCGTCAAACACAAAACTGATTTTTATATATTCGTAAACTGGTTTAAAATTACCCAAAAAGAAAGGGAACTGATTTAGCCAGGATGGTTTCGCAATGTCGTAAATGAGCACACCCACCCCATCATACAGATCGACGGATTCCTCCTCCTCAAAATACACCCCACTCATGGCCACCGTTTCATATGAGCCAACATTGCTGTTGTTAGTATCTGTAAGGGTCACAAAATCTAGGGCTCCGAGAAACACAATAATCTGTGTCAATGTTACCATTTGTGCAATGTATTCAAAGGCACTAGTTTGGAAAAAAATACAAAATAACAAAGTAACTTATATTTATGCTATGCTTTGTATTACTTTTATTCTGTTGCAACGACTTCATTTCTTAGAATTTGAACAATAACAACAAGGATGAAACATGTACATATTCTAAACAAAAAACAAAAGCACGAGTTGATTTAAGAAATGCAAAAAACATTTTTATTTATAAATCCTACCAAAATACAATACTGTTTATTTCTTTCAATACAAAATTACAAGTTTTACATAATTGCTAGTAAATAAATATGCCAAAATTAAGGGTACACTGAATATTTTAGCTACTTTAAAATGCATCGTCATCCAGCCGAGGCACAAGTAGCAGTGCATTGTTCTATGGTTTGAAACCTGTTCCCATTTCCGGCGCAACCACCCCACACGAAACTCGAGCAGGATGCACCATTCCAGTAAAATCGGGGAAATGAAGCCCTACAAGGTCCGGTATCTGGGCTTTGAGTGCAGCTTGGACTGACTGTTAAAGTAAAGTGTTACATATAAAAATCTTCCAACAATTATCCAAAATTATGAAAACTATTTCGAAAATCTTACTATTTCCACCATTCCAATCGGGCGCATCCTGCTGTATGAAACGAAATCGGTTATGATTATCCAGTCCGGGCAGAGGCACACCCACCACGACCACGATGAGAGACAAGCTGCCCATCATAACTACGAAAACGAGGAGGAAAACCATACCGTTTTTCATAATGAACACAGATTTTTAATGATTCTAGAAATTCGAACGACTTTTATAGTTTTGGAATCTATTTAGGTCTGGATCCAAAAAAAAATCAGATAAAAAAATCACCACGTCGATAACCTTTCCTTAACTCAGGAGGACCTTCACAGTGACTAAGATTATTTATGTATGATCGAATTAAGGAAGGAAGTACGCTTTTAGTACAACTTTTTTCATGTTTCTTTTCTAGCCATAGCACAGATCGAGATCATGTCAACTATAAACGCTCAAGGGCAAAATAAACATTACAAATATGACAATACGTACCATAGGTATTTGCACTCTGCTTTGCTTCATTAATTAATTACCTCCACTTTTTTAGTGAGGTTGGTCGCATATTGTGCAAAGTATGTATGTATGCATATATAATGCAGTTCAGGCAAAAGCTATTGGGTTGAGCAAGCTAAAAAATCTAAACGTAGTAAAAATTACGCGGTGCACATACATAACTATAAAAAAAATCCTTGCATAAAATCCAGTGTTTGTATTTTCTCTTCTCTTAAGAATTTGTGCAGTCTCACCTTCATTTCCGTTCCAGGATTGGATTCTTTTTGTGCAGAATTATAAATAGGTGGCAATCACGCTTCGCCAATTTTACTTTTTTTATGTATTTTTATACACCAGTCGGATTAAAAGCGTTGGCACTTTCATCCTTGATTTGCTATGATTGGCTTCATCTTGTAATTTCGTATGAATGAGATGAAAACTTCGGGTAACTTTTTTTAACAAGTTTCTCTCTCATCAATTGTTATATAATTGTGTAAATGTTTATTATATAATGCTTTTTAGGCACTTAATATCATTTTTTCCTAACGGAATGAATAAAGTGGTCACATCATCAATCACTTAACAAACTATGCCCAGTTTATAATTTCGCCGTTCGTCGCTTAATAAATAATAACATATACAAAAATAAATAAACACATGTATTATAAATGGTCAAATTCCATTGGTAATAATGGTAAATTTTTGCATATGTGCAAATGCTACAATCGTAAATCTCATAAAGGAAGAAATGTATTTATGTTGCGTAATATGTCAAGTCGCAAATTATGTATCGCATAATATGCTAAAAATGATGCATATATAACATCGTCCCGTAATAGTGGGCAAATTGATTGGAAATGTAAATATGAGTTTCAGTTAGAACAAATCCTACCCAAATTATTAAAATTAATTACACAATGGGGTTTTCAAATTAAAATAGAAATACTTCTCGTTTATTAACCACAAATAAATAAATATCAATTGATTTGACTAGTTTACTTGCCCTCTAACAATCGCACCTTGACCTCTGCCCCCCACACTCTCGGGCCTGTGCCACCTGCACCCTCGTCCCCACCATCGTTATTCCCTCTCGCCATGCCGCCATGGTAAAAGTGGACATATCTCAACTCTCTCTTGCTGATCTCGTACTCCTCCCGACTTGTTTTGATAGGCAATGATCTCGAAAACTTTGTGAATGGGAGGGACTCTGGCAGTATGTGAGATTGGCTGCTGAATGAGGACGATCCTTCACTCTGGGTGGATGACGGGAACGAATTAGTCATCGGATGGTGGGTCAAGATTTCTTCAGAAGTGGACGACAAGAGGCGGACGTGTCTGTAATTGTATTTGTAGAAAAAAGTTTTAAGACAATTTAATGAGGGTATATTTAATCTTAAATTTTAGAGTAGGTTTGAAATTACTTACAGTTCGTAAAACCCTCCGGCGTGTCCGGAAGGAGTTGACACCCTGTTTAAAACGGATAAATTGAATGATTAATTTGTCAATTTATTTAGAGAGGTAAGTACTCACCACACTCCCCACTCGACCTCCCATGGGATACACGCCCTCATCACGGCCGGAGTGAATCCCACCGCCCACAAGTCGACAGTTTGTTCCATGGAGCAGGAAAAATCATCTGTGGCGAAGCATGTAGTGCGTGTGGTGGAATTTGATAATACTGATGTTGGGTAAGGTATGTCAACGATGGTCCAACCGGCTCGAGGCGTGGAAGGTTCGGGATGACCAGAGATAATATTCCAGCCTGAGAAACCTATTACGAGTATTTTAAAAGAATATGTAAAAAATATGCAATTGATGATTTAGATTTACTAAAATACCATCTTGGCCGTTAGAATTTCTGAGTAAATTGCGACCAAAAACGTTATGTCGACACACGGCCCAGTGAACGGCCCACTCATCGGGTCGGGACGCGACGTGGGTGTGGATTTGGGAAAAAGTAGGAGAATTGTGATTATATTTACTTTTCCAAAAGAGAGGGTCTCGGATTGTGTTGGTGAAAGTGGTGCAAACCTGGTGGATTATACATAAGGTCAATTACAAATTATGTAAACTAGGTGAATGAAATTTAGAGACGCAACTAACCTCTCCCACTTTCAGTAAATCCGGTAATGGAAGAAAGGACAAGATTTTCTCGAGAAGTTCGGAAGGCAGGGTGATCAGGGTGAGGGGTGTGGTTTCTTCTTTAGTGGTAGATTCCGAAGGTGGTGGAGACATTACTTTTGTATCACTAGAAATAATATCCTCGATGATATTTGATTGACGTCAAATAGTCATGCGGTGATTTTGCAATGTGTTTCTGTTTCTTCATCCAACATGTACCGAAGGTTTTACCCGGTTGGAGAATTGTCATATTCTGGGCTGGATTGGGATTTAGGTTATGTAAATCATTTCTGCATCAACATGAGACTAAAATTGACATCCAATTTCCGGTTTATTCCAGCAAGTTTCCTATCTATGACATATTTAGTTATACGACATTTGTATGGCCTAAATTAACTTAATTGAGAGCCTGAGCCCTTGATGTATTTCCTTGATCTGCGAACTTTTCTTGAGTGTTTGTGTGATAAAGTGATGCGAATAAAGCAATTAATATTATTAAAAATTTATTACATATCGTGCCTTTAGGAATAATGAGTATTTACCAATCATTTACCACAGAGCGTCATTGCATATATATTTGGCATGATTTTATTCTTCCCTTATGTAAAATTCCACCAAAACAAATTTAATGAAATTAAACTCGAAACTTTTATAACACATTGTTTGAGTTTCTTCAATTAAGTGTGTGCTTGCCTCTCATCATTTATTTGTACAACAATAACTTTATGCAATGGTCAAATGAACAGCCAAATCTCAGCCATTTAATTGGTAGTTATTCATTTAATTCATGATGCGCAATTCGACAATTAACAGTTCGACAGCATGTACAAAAGTGGGGTCAAGTCCAGTCTGTCTTCACCTTTAAGAAATTATGTACAAGATTGAACGATTTACGATAAATAAAGGAATAAATTGGGTTAATTAAGGTTAAACCTTACCTCAAAAGTTACGCCAGAACTTAAAGTATACATACATATGCGTAACTGCAAAAACTGTTTGTGCAATGAAATTTACTGCATGACCAGATCGACTGTACGGATAAGTGCTTAATGATGCCATTCTTGCGTGTGAGAATTCTTCTACGCACATTAATTAATTAATTGCATTACATTTTGTATTTTATTGGTACATGACACAATGCAGTGTTATTTAGTTATGCATACGCACATATGCATGCATGTGGTCAAAGGTTGCTGCGTTTTATATTTATTATCAAAAATTATTATTAGTTAGTTTAGTGAGCACTTTCCACCCCATGGGCACGGGCCCCTTATTATTTTTTAAGCCTTGCATTTTTGACATTATATTTATTTATTACGCAGTAATGATGAATGACCATGTCTGGCTTGGATAGCTTGGCACAAGACAAGGTTGTGGATAACCTCGACCCCAGCTTAATTTTAATTGTTGTTAACATTTAACAACTGTTGAGTATAAGGGGCATATAAAAGGAGGGTGCGATCCTTCCAAAAATATCATTCGTCGTGTAACATTATTCCAGGGATATTCATATCAAGCCTTCAAGAGAGATGAAGCTCTTTGTAAGTTTATTTAAAATCAGTTCAAAAGTGTACAACTTGAAATATAGTAATTACTTCTCAAAAGTTTTTTTAAGTCTCAAATCTGAAAATCTCGTAATTTTGAGACTATGGGTTTAATTACAATTCTCTCTTTGCCTCACAATCCTGAAATGAAACAGCAAAAATTCTCACTTTGTCTCCTAATTTATATCCAGAAATGTCTTACTTTCCATATAATATTTTTTATTTGATATCCTATTTTGCACGGTTTGGGAGGACATTTTTAAAATATAATTTATTGATAGCTTTCAGATCTTCTTCTATTTTTTTAAATTTTCCTTAAGCATTTCATTTTTTACTTCCAACCCTGGCGTTCACTGTCCACCCCAATTAATTCTGAATGTTGTACTCAATCCAGGTTGCTGTCGCCCTTCTCGCCACGGTCGGCTACACCTTGGCCGCAGAAGAAGAAGTCAAACCTAAAAAACTCGACGAAGGGAAGGACCTCGTCGCCTCGGCGTCGCATTACGGTCTTGGCTACGGATACGGTGACCTTGGTGGAGCTTATGGGGGAGCTTACGGTCTCGGCGGCTACGGTCTTGGCGGCGGCTACGGCCTAGGGCTTGGAGATGGTGGCTACTACGGAAAAGGGTGGGGTCACGGGTACGCCCTGAAGGCAGGTGGATGGGGATGGGGATGGCCACTCAAGGGCTGGGGTTGGGGTCACTCAGGTCACGGTGGATGGGGATGGGGAGGTCATTCCTACACCCACCGAACTGATGGGTGGGGCTGGCCAGGGTGGGGATGGCATGGAGCTTATGGCTCTTATGGGGGTGGATTCCTCGGTTAAATATCTGCAGAAGTTGCTCTGAAAATTTTCTAAATTTGCCATCATAAACTTGGGGAAGGAAAATCGTAATATTTTAGACGAAATTATATATCTAAATTTATTTTTCATATGAAATCGAAAACATGTTATTTATGTAGGTGGAACTTTTGTTGCCAAAATTGTTAATTGTGAAAGAAAGAGAATAAATTCAATAATTGCCATTGATTAATTAATCGAACATTTTGTGACCAATTATTACACAAATAACGGAACATGTTTGATGCATTTCATGAACTATTGGTTTGTAATTGTATGTATTTACATACATGCAAGTCAGACTTCGAATTTATGATTGAAGTAAAAATAAAAATAAACATGAGAAGATACAATGGTTTTGCATTATCAGTTGCCTCATTTAATTACAAGTGTAGAATTTGCATTACATACACATATTATGTAAATATAATAAGCAATACAATTTACACAAGCATCGGATTTGCAGTTACAGAAAATTGCGAATATATATGTATCATTTGTACGACATTTGCAAAAAATTGTATGATTGTTAGTTAATTAATAGTAATAAAAATATTCCCCGGCTTCCGGAATACTTATGTATTCTTTCATCAGGTCTTTACAAACTCGAAAACATAATTCATATATTTTTTAAACATTTAATTTTTAAAAGGTTTTAATTACTTATTTAGCCAGCACCACATATACTGATACATATTGTTATCTATTGTTTTAAGTATTTGCAGGTGTACGTGATTTTCGATGCACGCATAAGTATTTGGTCATTTTGTGTTAATCAGTCAACAGTTAACGATTTTTATTATTTAAAGTCGTTGCAGTCTGATGAGTGTTAGGCTGCCTCGCATTATTGTCGCCTATCTTATTGTTTCTCCCCCCAACTTCAATATTATTGTACGTGTCTATCAGAGCTTGGGCCCCTGCCCCCAAATTAGACCAGGTTGCAACCACCATGAGAATAAACCACGTCTGCCACGACAAGAAATAAAGAAAGTATTTTATCAGTTTAAGACCAAATAACATATTGGAGGGGAGATATTTTTGAGGGAGTCCGAGTAAAAAGGTCACCGCTAACGCCAAGTCTGCCGCCCCCTCAACCGTGGAAGCACAACTCGTCCAAAACCACGAAGACCCGAATATAGAAAAGAATCCCCTAATAATTGGTCCAACCATATAAATTCCGACCGACATTGCCAGCCCTATGAGGAAAGGTTCCAACTCAAATTCCTTGTATCTTTTGTACAAAAAGTAAAAACTTGTCACAAAGTGAACCACGAGGTAGAAACGGAGTATAAAATGCTCGTATTTAAAGGCAAAATATAATCCTGGTCCAAACGACAGAATCATGAATAGATATTTGTTTCCAGTTTTCAAATATTTTATCCAGTCTTGTCGAGAGAAAGTGCGAGAAAGTTTGGTGAAAAGGGAGGAAGACGCGACGTAGAGGAGGGCACCCAGGAGGAAAAGTATTAAAATTATGATGTCCAACACCCCCGTGGTTTCAGGGGACACGAAGATAAGGTAGTAGACCATCCAGGAGGAAAAGATGAGGCAGCCACGGACAAGTGTCCAAACGCTGGATTCTTTGTACAAGGACTTGAAACGCTTTAGAAAGTCCTTCACCCCAGGGGCCGAGGTCAACGAGTTCACCACGTCTTCCATCTTTAACAAAATGTCAATCCCGACTTGAGACAGCACCTGTAAAAATATTGAATTTATATAATTTCAAAAACTACATTTTGGAAATGGCAATATGGCATCCTCGTAATAATGGATTATATTTTTATACTTTTACTTTAAATTATTGTATTATCTTACGTTACCTTTCAAACAGTGTTACAGCCAAATCAATCCAGGATGAGAAAATTGGTCGTGAAAAGGTGAATATTTAAAGCATAACTAACGCGAATTTAATTAAAGTTTTGATTTGAAGGCAAAGTTAACTTTATGATACATCAACATCTGATGAAGACAAACACGACCGGTGGAAATCATACTGGCTATTGTATATCAGTAGCATAGGTGCACAAGGTACAGCAGCATTCATCCTATGACCTTGCATCAGCGTTATAAACTGATTCAGTTTGCAATTATGCTTCATCTTTTCATAAGGTATTTACTTTATTTATTTTGTCCGAAATGATGGATTTGAGTGAGCTAATTTTTGATAAAACTCCGTTACAAATGTTACAATAAAGAGCTTTATAAAAATCCGATCCTGCAATTTAATTTATTAAGTAAGTAATATGTATGTATCAGTATCATATAATATATATCATAATTCATAAATTATTTCTTCCAATGATACATTTATAAAATAATAATGATGCATTTGAAAACCATGATCAATGATATAATAGCGTCCCTAACATGGTGCATTGCTACATTGCTACTTGAATGATAACTCACGAATGGTAACTTGTACAACAAGTAGTTATAATCATGCTTCATGTCTAGTCGGAGATTCCCCTGTCTGCTCGGACAAGAAAACGTAAAATTATAATTGCCCCTTGCCCCCAAGGGAACCATTCTAGCTACGACTGACGATCAAATTTTGAGAATATTTTATTTTACATAATTCTCATTTATTAATACTTACTTGATGACAATCATAATTACTAGTAGATGGAATTAATGAATAAACTATTATGAAACGTGCCCACAAGCTTCTCGTCGTTGGAGGTGGCGCAGGTGGTCTCGAACTGGTTGCGCATTTAGGTCTGGCGAAACACTCCAACGTCGAAATGACCCTGTTGGACGGAAGACCGACGCATATTTGGAAACCACTACTCCACGAGGTCGCCACCGGATCCTTCAACTCTGGACAGGACGAACTCAACTATTTCTCCCACAGGTTAGAGTGAATAGTTTAATTGCCTAATTAACTAATTAAGAAATTAGCAATGTCTTGATTGTTCAAGTGCTGAGAACAATTACAAATTTCTCCTCGGCTGGATGGGTGGATTAGACAGGAAAAATAAAATAGTAAAAGTCGACGCACTCAAAGTGGGAGGAAAATTGCTCTGTGGACCTCGCGATCTCCACTACGACACTCTCGTAATGGCGATTGGCTCTGTTCCAGATACGTTTGGAACACCTGGTATAAAAAGCATTGTATCTACAATGATTAAAATGCATGGGTAAAAATTACGGTCTGATTTCCAGGCGCGACAAAACATTGTCTCTTTCTGAACAGTCCGCATGACGCGGATGAGTTGAGATTAAAGATGTTGATTCAGGGTGAGAATCCGCAAATTGTAATTTGCAATTTCCAAACCGAGTAATTTAGCTAAACTCCTGCTTATGTACCTTAACTTCTGGTCTTGCAGGGCTCTCGATAATCTACGGAGCAAGCGAAGTGCCCAAACTCAGAATTGGGATCGTTGGGGCTGGTGCGACCGGAATAGAACTCGCTGCAGAAATTCATCACACGATTGAATCATTAGCAATGACGGGATTCAAGGTGGACATAACTTTACCTAAATTGCATACTTAATCAGTGTCATATATACATGTATAGTTGGACAATTTGGAAACCACAATAATCGAAGCGAGTCCTCGTATACTTTCCATGGCAGACGAGAAGCTCGCCCAATTCGCCAAGGAATCACTAGAAAAGAAAAATATTCAAATATTGACCGACACAAAGATAACCGGAGTCACGGATAAGGGTTTCATCCTAGGAAATGGGACTTTCTTGAAGAAGGAGCTCCGCGTCTGGACTGCAGGGGTCAGGTTAGCAATTAATGTTCTTCACAAAAATTATGATATTACTTGATAATTAATTATAAGCGTCGCTCACAATTAGATCACCCCGCTGGCTGACCAAGACTGGGCTTTCGACAAACCACCAGTCTCGCATTTTGACTAACGATTACCTCCAAAGCGTCGATGACCCCGACGTCTTCGCCATAGGAGACTGTTCCGCTACACATGTCCAGCCCGGGATGCAGGGTCACATAAAAATATTACCCACCACGGCCCAAGTCGCACACCAACAGAGCGTCTGGCTGCGGCATTATTTGAAGAAGCGTATCATCGATGGGGACACGTCGGGCGCGGCCCCGTTCGAGTTTAGATCGCAAGGATTCTTGGTTTCGCTAGGTCACCGTACGGCTGTCGGATCGTTGGCGATTATTCGAGGGATGAAGGACTACCAGGTTTATTCTTAAGAATTCGCAACATATTTAAGTTGTCCTCATGAATTTCATGTTTGTGCTTAGGTAAAAGGTCACTTGGCGAAGGGGTTATATGTCACCCTTTATAGGAAGCATCAGGCCGCAATATTTGGCGTGCCAAAGATGTGTTCGCTCTTAATTGGAGATCAATTCCATTACATGGCGATGCCTGAGCTAAAGTTTCATTAGGAAGATCCATCTGCATAATATGATAACTACTTTGGGTTGTACGAAATCATGTTGCATTATTTCTATAAAAAAAACTTTTACCAATTTTCGGGCCAATTAATTACTTATCCGGCGATTTTTGAGAAAGAATAATAATTAAATAATTACACAATTAAAACTATGTATAACTATTCTGCATTGTTATTTTTAATTCCATATGCATGTAAATACCTATGTAATTGACTCGTTAAATTAAATTTTCTCAAGTCCCATTATTATTTATTGCAATAATAAGCCCATATCTTTCTTAACTTGTCTATATACGTGAATTCTGCGATGCGTAAAACATACAATGGTCGGACTAACAATCCAATTTTTTCATTACTACAGACACATTTATCTCTCTAATTACAACATCTTAATTAATACCTACCTAACCAAACAATGAATGTAAGGAGAAGCCCAATTTATGTATTGCATACCTAACAATTAGACCGGTCGGCCACCTTTGAAATCATTTTAATTAAAGGGGGATTCAATTCATGGCGTGAGTTTCGTGTCTGGATGCTGCGAATAGATCAAATAAACGAGATATGATCTTTATTACATCAGAATATCACAGGACATGACCAAGTACTAGATTTTTAACCAAGACACAACAAAGAATTTGGTTTACATTTTATCCAATTTTTTTTGCTGAATCTGACACTGAATTCATTTTTGGTAGGTAAACTTTACGAATTATGTAGTAATGCATTTTTCGCGTAATATGTACAAGTGTAAAAATGCCTGTAGAAATAATTGTGAAGCCAGGTTTCTGATGCAGCAACAAGTTTTTGCGATTTCTTGGTACAACTAGTTTCTCAGAGTTAGTGCTTGGAGTCTATACGCGTAATTGATGTTACCCAGTAGAACGCTATAGTTGTTTATTGTGCACAATCTGCCATCATTACTATTTACTTAGCCCATTCTTTTTTGTCGTAGTACTGGTCAGGGCTACTTTGCACGCAGGTAAATCCCCCAAAAAACGCATTTTACCTCGTAACACAATGAATTTAAACCACCCACTTTATTACACAAAGTAATTACGCGAGAAATAAAGTGCTCATCACACAAACAAATTCACACGACACAGATTATGTGCAGAATTGTGCCAATTACGTATGTTAATATGTATACCAATTTCTGGCCTGTCTCATCTCCTCCGTCTTAAATAAATGCGCAAACTCCTCCTGTGTTAACACCTAATAGATAATCTTTTATGTACCTCCACAAATACTTTCTTTACAGTTACCATCATTTACTATGCCGGGTCGTTGTCGCGTTTCCATTACATATATTTATCAAACCAAGTAAGTACCACACAAATAATTTAACGCACTGTCATCATCCGTCCTTACGGGATCTTATGCCGTTGAGTTCGATTCAATATTATGTAGGTCAGGCATCTCATCATCATTTAACAAAGCCAATCACTTAAGAAGCAAGAGGGGACAAAATAAGTATGCAGATTTTTAGATGCCATTTTAACATGCAAGTCATCAGTTAAATTAAACGCTTAAAGTGCAGTGCATCGGAACGCCATCACATATCGCATGCATTTTCAAACCAGCGACCACTTTATTATTACTACACATACATTTAACTATACTGCGAATCTTATGCAAAAAGGTGGTAGTAAGGAACTCCAACTAAATATTTGTATGTATGTCAGTCAACGTCACTAGTGGACACCATGCACTGCTGCTGATGATAAATTGTAAATACGCGAATGGTATCGTACATCACGTTCTTTTTTTTTGGCTGTGATGAAGCCATTTCATTTCCACTGCAAGCCTTTAATGATCATCAAAGGGACCACAAGACAGCGTACCATGAAGAGAGCAGCGTTGCAGAATTACAAACCACCACGACTTTAATATGCACTTGCACAGTAAATAACTCGTTTTATAATAAATTTTTTAACGTACATATCTCGAGACGAGTCTCGAATCTATGTGTGTGCGTATTATTATTAATTCACCTCTTCTAAAGAACCTGAACCTGACGGAAAGTGGAAATTAAAAGAATATTAGAAATGAAAAGTGAAATTTGTAAAGTAAACTAGCAAGAGTGGGTGAGTGAGTGAGCCACAAGCCACAGAAAATTGGATTGATAGAGTTTGGAAAAGATTTCTGATTTTGAGAGTGAAAAAGTTGTAATTTTAATTGTGATAAATAATAAATATATAACATCAAATTGGGCTGGTGGTCCTTCCACAAAAATTGTTGTGATATATAACGTGCCATAATAAATTAAGTAATTAGTAAATAAATTATTTAACCAAACAGAGTTCCCCACAGTGTCAAGTTTGATGTCAAAAAGTCGTCACAGCTCAATAACAAAATCCATTGTGTACCATAGCAAAACTTGTTTACTTCGTAGGATCAGAATTCCCTGAAATCATAGGCGTCAATAGCACCTAAGCTGTACATCGTCAACAAGTATTGGGATAATTTCCAACTAGTTGGCAGTAATCGTCCCTGGTAAAGTAGATACAAATGGAGTGACTCCATCCAAAACCGGTCTCATTCGACTCTCAAACCCCACGACGCCGTCTCATCTCAGTCAGTAAAGTAATAGAAGTACCAGTGAATTTTTCCAGTGTGCCGTTCTGGACTTGACCTTAGAAATAATTCTGGCCTTTGAAAATCATAAAAATGGCCACGCTCTTGTCCGCTGTCTCATTCACCCTCACTCGCCTTTACTTACCGGCGACGTGTACTTGGATTTTTTCCCGATATGTCATTAAAGCCCCACCACTGGCTCTAGGCGCCGAAGTGGTCCTCGCCTTGGCGACTTTTACCCTTCTCTCACCCATCATCGCGACCTTGGTGGGGCTCAACCTGCTCGTCCGCCTCGTTTTGTCGGCCTATCTTCGGGTCACGACGGGCAAGAGGATAACTATCATGGAGGGAAGGGACGCCTTCGTGTCACATGACGAATATGCAAATTCGTGTAATCACTACTCTCTTTATGTCATCGAGGGGAAGTGCGATCTCGAAAAAATTAGGAGGAAATTTTCCTCTATTTTAGAACAGAAGGGGGCCGATGGGGAGATTGTGTATAACAGGTGCGTTATTTTATGTTAATTCTAGATAAAGTTAATTAATATTGACTTCTAGATATCAGAGTTTGTTGAACTTTCAAATTAATTTCATTCTTTTCAGACTGAAATGCAGAATAATCCGCCATTTAACGTACTACTGTTGGTCGCATGTTGGGTCCGCATTCAAAATCGAGAACCACGTCAAATACTTTTCAAATATGGGCCCTTCCACGCCTGCGCTTACTCCGGCAGATATCTTTTCCGAAATGCAAGCGATCTATGACCACCCTTTTCCACAGGATAAATCCCCTTGGGAAATTCTCGTCGTTCCCAACTTTACCTATGAAACGACCACTAGCAACTTATCCGCATCCCACTATGCCTTCATCGTCCGTATGCATCACGGTGTCATGGATGGGATTTCAGCCGGAAATGGTATGCATGCCACTATATATTTGTATAAATTTGTATACTTAATATTTACTTAAATATCATATTTATTTTTAGCCCTTCAATACTACATAGCCGACGCTCCCAGTAAACTAACCGTCGATCCACTTTGTCCCTCACATGCTTGGTCGTGGAGCAAAACGGTGCTGGGTTACCTCCAGTTGGCCATCATGGGACCAAGGTCGTTTTTCAAAGTCTTGTTTTTAGACGAGACAAACTGCTTTCATGGCCCAGAGTTGACCGGACCAAAGACGTTGTCTTGGTCAAAACAGGTAAAAATTAATCTTTCTTTAAGTGGATCACGTATATTTTAAAGAAATCTTAGAGTATTATATTGTGGATTGCTTCTACATCTGTCTAATGATCTCTTTAATAATCGCTTGCTACACCAATTTAATTTATCTCTATAACTTATGACTTTTCTTTATTTTGATAGGTGTCGGTGGATGCCCTTCGCTTAATCAAGGAATCAACCCATACCTCCGTGACGGCCGTGTTAGTTTCCGCTCTGGGTGGCAGTGTGAGAGGACTCGCCCTTAAGAAAGGGCTTCCCGTCCCTTCCACCCTACACGCCTTTCCTACCATTGGGATCCTTCCCTTTCCAGATGTCAAGCCCCGAAACCGGTTCACAATGGCCCTTCTTCCCCTCCGAATTGGGCTAGAATCCTCCCTTGAGAGGCTGAAGAGTGCGGAATCGGCATTAAAAGCACTCCTCAGGTCGCCCGATGTCCTCACAAATTATCATTTAATGGAAATCTTTGGCGTGTTTCCCGTCCCCGTGATTAATTTCTTTCTCGAAAAATGTCACGCTACACTTCTTCTGAGCAATGTCCCCGGTCCGGCGGAAAAGGCGACGATATTTGGTGGAGATAAAATTGTCGACATTGGAATTTGGGCTCCTATCCAGCTCGGAATGAGTAAGAAAATTTCGGCAAGAAATTGTATTCCGAAATTTGTATTAATAATTTGTATTTTGTAGGTATTGGAATGTCGCTATTTTCCTATGGGGGAGCAGTTCGTGCCACTGTCGTGCTCGATAAGACTGCCGGATCTGCGGAGGACGTTCCCACCATCATTGAAGAGTTTGAGAAGGAAATTGTAAATCTGGCGAGACAGGCGGGGGTCTCGGCGGAGCAAGTTTTTAAAGACGATGTCCAAATTAGGGCGGTGGCGTCATAACAAGACTGTGATGATTATCATGTACATACATATAATGCAGGTTTAGTGTGAATGAATAATATATGACTAACGAATTACTACATACCTCGCATAGTTTAATAAAATTTTGATAGACATATATAATTACTTTTGTATAATATGAAATACTGTAGGAAAGTGAATGCATGATTCTAAATAATATATTTAATTATGAAGCGCTTGATGAACTGTTATACAATATATGACAAACTCAAGAAGTAGTAAAGAAATATCTTACAGAAATTGAACGGACTTTAATCTACATTACTTCAACTATTAAACTATCTTGGCTATGTGGGGTTGCAATTCAAATTGAAATTCATGTCAAAAACCTATATATTTTTCGCATCCCTCAAAAGATCTATGATAGAACTCCTATCTGTAATTCAGTATTTCATAAAATGCTGCATGAAATTATGAAAATTTAAATTTGTCGTATGTATATATATGTAATGAGCATGAAAACTCGCGTAAGGAAATGCGGGAAGCAGACATTCAAGCAAGATAGAAAACATCAAATTCATCAAAAGCAATTAAACTTTTTGGACGATTTTTTTTACACTCAACAGAATTTATTTGTCAATTGTTTTTTAACTTTTAACCAAATTAATTATTGATGCGACCAGTTGCTTGAAGAAGGATCAAGAAGATCCGAGAGGTATCAAATTGTATTAAAAAAATGTCCTTCCTCTCAAACCGTGAACAATTCGATATCAATCAATCAAATAATGTCAAATATTTATCTAGTAGGGAACGGACCATGGCGGTCAGGAGTTGTTTCTTCTGCCCCAAAGAGCAGGGGTCAAGTGTCAAAGACGCCGAAGGGTGGGTGACTTTTCGCCCTAATAACGCTGACTTGATTAGAGAATCGATATGTTTCCTCTCCAAAGTTTTGGACTTTGATGAACTATATTCGGTTGACCTGGATCTAACCATCATCACGAAGGGGATCTCTTTTTGTCTCGAATGTGTCTTTTTGTTTCGCCAAGTACTTGAAACTTATGGGAAATTGTTTCCCCTTCTACCAAAGATTAAGGCGAATGTGGAGATGAAATTGAAACGTGAGAGCTTATATAACATCTAATCCTAATTTGATTGAGGTGCTAACAAAAATGTTTTGTAATTTTTCCCAAATTAGATAAATCTTCATTGGACACTGGCGATGAACTTGAAGAAATTGCCGTTAAATTTGAAGTGAAAGATGATGATTTTGGAGGATACATTAGAAATGCGCTCGATGACCACGATGGTCGAAATGATGACGTGGAAGACTGGTCACAACCGGACATGATTAAGGATGAACTGGACGCTGAGGGAATAGATGTTGGGCGTGATCCATTGGAAGATGTTGAGTGTCTGAGCGATGAAGGAGCAGATGTTGAGCGTGATCCATTGGAAGATGTTGACCGTGAACTGGATAATGAAGGAGCAGATATTGGACGTGATCCATTGGAAGATGTTAAGTGTGAACTGGAAGACGAGGAGACAGACCTTAGGTGTGATCCATTAAAAGATGCTGATGCGTAATGATTGCGTGAGATAATTTTTTAAAATTAATTTTATACTTGATAATAACAAATAGTTTGTTATCCAATTTGTTACAGTAATTACGACTCGCATTCACCTCAGTCAAACCAAGGGGATGGCCCACCGCCTCAAAAAATTATGAAAATCATAGCTTCACCCAGCTTTACACAGGAACCATGTAACAAATTCTCCTCTCCATCAAAAAAAGCTTTGGCAGCCTCTTCAACCTGTACCATTTGTGGCGAAAGTGGGCTATGGCTGAACCATGGTAGTTTGTCCCATTAATTTATATCAGCTAAAAATATGAGATCTCTTCTTGTTTTTATTGCGCTTATTTCATTGGTTTAATTAGTAATTATGTGTTCTCTCTCACAGAACTACGGACCCATCTCAAATGTCACACCCTCGAGGCCTCACACAAAATAACCGAACGCTGGCCCATCCCAGTAAAATGCCCTGTAGTATCCTGCACGTTTCGTAGGCCTTACCACCACGAAATGTGGGAACATCTCATAGAAAATCACCTTCCCATCCTACACCGCTGTCCGATCCCCACATGCAACCAGTACTTCATCCTTGAATCTACCCTCCGCGCCCACGTCGCCCTCCACTCCTCGACGTCCTCTTGTCGCTGTCCTGTTTGTGACGCTACATTAGAAAGCGGGCCCGCCCTCCTAGAACACGTTCGTTCCTTCCATCCTGCAAAAAAACAAACACACACCTGCTCCACTTGCCAGCGAGTCTATCCAAGCATAGGAAAACTCCAATGCCACGAGAAAAGTCACATCCCCGCGATTACAACATGCGAATTTTGTCCTTTCACGGCCACACGTACAACGTCGATTGCGATCCACACGATGGAAACTCACGAGGTGAACGGTACCCTAGAGAAGAAGTGGAAATGTGATATTTGCGAGAAAGCTTACGTCTCCAAAGTTGTGCTAGAGCGGCATGCCAGCTTGCACAAGAAATTCGACGGCAAAGGTAGAACATTAAATTGCGAGATCTGCGAGTACCCATTCTATCCGGAGGAGGAGGAGAAACTGCGCCGGCATCTGGAAAAGGTTCATATGAAGGTTGGGACAGTGAAAAGATGTGTCGCGACCGAGTGCAATTTCACGACGACAACATACCCAACGTTACGCCAACATGAAAGACAAAATCACCCAGAACTTTTGACGCACATTTGTGTCTCCTGTGGGAAAGCATATTCTGACCAGATTTTTTTGGAGACGCATCTCAAGACGCACCAAGGTGGGAGTGAGCCGTTTGGTTGCAGCGTGTGCAAACAAGTTTTTCCATCCGGGGATAAAGTAGGCAACAATTTTAAACAATATTATAATGTTTTTTTGTCTTTATTTCTATAATAATTTCCTTGTTTTCCCTTACAGCTCGCTGCTCACTTGGCTATACATAATGGAGAAGTTATCATCACCTGTGACCAATGTACACTTACCTTTCCCTCAGCTTGGAACCTCCGAGCTCATAACATATCCAAGCATAACGCCCCCTCGCCTCATACCTGTTCCATTTGTCTGAAAAAATTTGTCGGAAAGTTTGGCCTAAGACATCACATGGATACATTCCACCCAACTGAAACCACGCCTACCTTTTGTTGTCATTTTTGTCCCAAGATAGTAAACTCTAAGAGCCAACTCAGAACTCACATTAAGAGCGTCCATGAAAAAAGTTCGAAAACCAACCACATTTGCCCAAGTTGTGGCATAAAGACGTCTGATATAAGAATGCACATTTTACGAGCGCACACTGATGCCGAGGAAAAGGCAAAGGAGAAATGTTATTTCTGCGAAAAAACGTTCGTCACATTCTTTGAATTGAATTTGCACTTTGCGACCCACACGAACGAGAGACCATACATTTGTCACATATGTAGGAAGGATTTTACACAAAATCATTGTTTGACGGCGCATTTTAAAGTGGTGAGCATCATATTTTGTATAGGGACTAACTATTTTAGACATAATTATTGCTAATATTAATTATACAATTTGCTTGGACAGCACAAGAGGAACGGAGATTTCTTCCCAAGACCGGACGACTATTTTGGAATAAAAATCGAGGAGACGGATCATGTTGATGAGCAGATACAAACATAATTGACTAGATACAGCTTTATTTATTATTCCAGAAATGTCGTTACAAGTCCATTGTAAGTATATGAATTTTAATAAATGGTTTTACAAAAACAGCACCATCCTCGTACTCAGCTTAATTAAGATTAGTTAACTAGCAAGGATAAAACACAACTAGAACTAATTTCATTGCAGTGTGCTTTTAATTTCATAAAACGGGATAAAAAATTTCGCGTTAGAAATCACGATTGTCCACTCTTAGAATATGCTAGTTAGATAGAATACACTTACGTAGATATATGCCAATTTTAACTTGAAATTCGTACAAATTATGTAACATTTACACCGGAATTGGCAAGGCAGACACAAATAAATTAGAAAAAAATCTAATTTTTAAGCGTAATGGTACCACCAGTCGACCACCTTTTTTCCGACCCCTTTCTCTCTCAAGAGTGTCTTACACGCGAACTGAACCTTTTCCACGTTTCGTTCCAAATATGCCCTTGTTTCGAGTTGGACACGGTCCAACTTTTCCGGACTAGCTTCGTCAAGTCTGACCACTTCTGACAGGTAAGGATTTAACCGGAAGTAGATGGAATGTGGAAGGAGCTCGTTTAAGGTGTTGTGGACGGATTCTGTGTCTGTCGCAGAGTCCAAGACTTTTAAGAATTTACCTAAATAAGTGTAAAAACAAATTTAATTAAATACTAGATTTAGCTCGAGAGATATTAATTCTAGCTTCATTTTGCTTGCACACCTTTCCATGAGAGATAACTTAGCCCCTCCTTTTCTATAAGATCATTCAAGTTCTTATCTGTCCGACTAGATAGCATTAATCCCGTTCCGAGACTAACGACAGCTTGCAGTGGCTAAAAAATATAAATTAAAGGACCTCGTTTTTATTTAAAATTTGACTCTTCTGACGCACCTGATCCTTCCAAATCGTTTTAGCCTCCGAAATCGCTACCGAAGTAGGATTATTACATAAGACCCCTCCGTCCTGAATTATAAATTAAATCAATTAAATTAAATGGCACTATGCTCATTAATTTAAATAAAAATAAACGGTATAACAAATCACGTTCAATTACGCACCTGATGCAAATAATTTCCCAATTTAAACTCCTCAAAATACGTTGGAGCTGCGGCACTAGCCCTGACAGCCTCCCACATGTGGTACCGGCACCCTCCGAGGTACTGCATATTTCATTAATTAGTGAATAACGTTTGAATATTCTCCACATCCGTTTCTCCTTCTCTCTCCAACTCCTCCTCCTCAAAATTGTCGTCCACTTCCTCCTCTCCCTCTTTTGGTAACTCTAATCTTGTTACGTTATCATCGATGTGGGCAAGTCCACGAAACCAAAAGTCTTCCACACCCAAACTATCGAGCACCTTTTCTGAGAGGAAGTGCTCACTTTCACACCCTAAAGTTTTGCAAATCGGTCCTCTGTTCTGGAATGCAGTCAGATTAATTAATTGTTTTTCCTCTTCGTTTGATAGATCAGCCAAAGGGTCTTTGGATGAATTAGTCCATCCTGGAACAAATTTAAGGCCGTCGGGTTGATTTGCAGCCCCTCTTCTCATCCACAAGTAAGACTGAAGTGAACTTTCTCTTCTTGCGGCTTGACTTTCACTTTTACATTGAATCGTGTAGACTGTAAAACAGACATGAGTTTTTGCTAATAACTTTTTTCCTATGCTCGAAAACTGTGCCAAAATTGCTTGGCTGTGATAGCGACTAGCTCTGGATCTATTGCACTTTCCTATGTATAATAACAACTCCCTCCACTTTCCTTTGGCGTCTTTCTCCTTGTCAATTTTCGCAATATATTCTTTAATCGAGAAATTCTCTGTGATATCTTCAATTGGGATGCACAACACAAAGTACACGAACCATTTCCTCGATAGCAATCTACCAGCACGAATATTGTTAATTTCACTCTTTACTTGCAATGAAGCAGAATTTTGCGAACTGAGGGGCGACTGACTGTTCACGAACATGAATTTCGCACCACATTTGAGTAAATCAGATAAATGCCTATCTAAATTATCTTTTCGTTTGAAACTAGCACCACAAACGGTGCATTCGAAAGGTCTTGACTCACTATGAACTGATTGATGTAGTTCTAAAACTTGTCCGTAATTAAACGAAGCACCGCAATTAGGATATTCACACTTAAATTTTCTTTCATTAGTGTGGATCAAGTTATGTCGTCCTAAACCATCGGGGTTATTAAACGAAGCATCGCAATTAGGATATTCACACTTAAATTCTCTTTCATTAGCGTGGCTCAAGTTATGTTGGTTTAAATAATCTTTTCGGTTAAACGAAGCACCGCAATTAGGATATTCACACTTAAATTTTCTTTCATTAGCGTGGCTCAAGTTATGTCGTTCTAATTCGAAACTAGTTTTAAACGACTTATCACATCCATCAAAATGACAAACAAATGTCTTTTCACTATGTACTTTTTTAGTGTGGTCGGTAAGTCGCCATTGGCTATCAAAACTACTCTCACACAATTGACACTTAAAAGTCTTATCAACTTTTATTTTTTTACTCGAAGACGCCATCCAACTAATTAAAATGATAACGACACTAGAGCAGACTGACCGGTGCGAGTGACTTGCGAGAGAGAAGAGTTGGAGAGAGAATGTGAGAATTTCAGTGGATATGATTTGCGAGGGTTCAGGGGGCATAATGAGAAAATAAAACTAATATATTGTAACCATAATTATGGTTATGCATAACCATAAACCATACCTTTGGGCGCTGCATGGGTGGGAGGGCGTACGTTCTGAACACGTATGGGCACACCCTCTCTTGGTTTACGACGGTGGAAATTGCTGAGACTCTCGGCAAGGTGGGATCTCTAGCGTGCGTAATGAGTGGCATTTCTCCGCAATGTTTCTTTAGGATTTTCTCAAAAGTTGGTGTATGATAGTAGCTGTGGCTCCAGAGCAGGGCGGCGCTCCCCATGAACGAATTTTGGGAAAATATTTCACGACTAAGTTCTTTATAGAGTACTTCGGCGTCGTCCAGGGATTTTTTATGGGCACCTACATATAAAATAACATAATAGATCTAGACGTTGATTTTTAAAGTATATACCTAAAAAAAATTACCGAGTAAAAAGGCCAAGATTGAACCGGTACTGACTCCGCAGATGTAATCAAACAGTTCGTACGTTCTTTTTCCCGTGATTCGTTCTAATGCTCGTAAAACTTCTAGAGCGACTAATCCCCTAGAATTATTTAAATTAATAGTCATACATCCCAACGTTTTATAAATAACCGTAATCATTTACCTGACGCCACCCCCGTCAATGGCCAAGATCTTTATGCCCTGACCCTTCGTTGGAGGGTTGTTTCCCAGCAGGGCTAAAATTTCGCGAGTCCTGTTCACTACGACGGTTTCGCCTTCATTGGTCTTCATAATTTTGGCGAGAACTTTGACTGCGCCTGACTCTACGGCCGTGCTGCGTGTCTCGGTGTGTTGATAAATGTGGGAAAAGAGCTCATCAAGATGGGTGATAAGATTGTGTTTGGAGGAGGTTGATTTGGACACGAGAGATACCAAGAGTTTCGTTCGTGACTCAATGTTCTGCCAGTACAGGTTTGTCTCGAGAAATTTGGAGAGTTCTGGTTTAGGATGTGGCTTATCCTTGTCTTCTTTTATAAATTTCTTGTCCTCGGAAGATAATGTAGATGGGAAGACTTCCTCTTCTTGTGATGAAGAAAGGAGCTGTTCCCGTGTGATTTCAGGCAGCATTTTAGAGTCAATGACACGATTATTTTCAGAATTTATTTCTATAACGTTTCTCAATACAGAGGAGGGTGGTTGAATGGGGGGTATGATGAGAGGAGGGGACGCCTTTTTAATTGGGGTACCTGAAAAATAGTCATACCATATAAGTGGGAGATAATGATATTGATGATTAAGCTAAAGATCTAATAATTATGAGCAGAGATAAAAATATTTTACTTAGTGGCGTGAGTCGTATATTTTTCTGAGCGTCTTTATTTTTCTCAGGGTTTTTAGGGTTATCTGAGCCACCACCGCCGTTGCTGCTATCTGCTGCTGTCCTATCCTTATCTCCTGAGGAAGAGTTATTTGGCTTTGTTTTTGACTCTGAAACTGTGGCGCTGCCCTCGGACGACGTATTGCTTTTGTTGATGACAGTTCCTTCAGTTGGAGGACGCGGTTCGCCACTATTTCCACTTCCAGTGACAAAATTTGCGTTTCCACTGCCTCCGCCGACCCCAGCAAGTGCGACCGTGACTCGACTCATGACTCCTGCAGGGACGTCTTTAAGGAGAAGTAAGAGATCCAACATTAACGCTTTCCCTCCAGGAGAAGAACGTAACAGGGTTTGACGCATCATCTTGTTCTTCAAGAGAGATGTGGATACTTTCTGTGAATTGTTCTTTACTACTTCTTGATCTGGACCACCCCTGCCGCCACCGTTCCACGAAGAAGAAGAGTCAGACATCTGCAATTGAGAAACATAATAAATGATGTTTGCTTAATTTTTGAATTTTGTCCAACCCCCTCCGTATGACTTTGTGTATTTATTGAGAGTTTATATTTTCTAACGCTCTTTACCTTATCTTGCAGCAATTAATTCAATTGTGTCCGATTTTCCAAGGAGATTTGGTATGTATGAACAAGTATAAAATGGCTAGTACAAAGCGTGTGGCGTGGTCAAATTTTCAACCCGGAAGTGATGATGATGAGATCCTATTACTGGTTTGTTTACTAATTGCTCGTTTACGCGATTTGATTAGCGATGAATACTGATGAATTGATGAGTCACTACACACGACGGGGTTATTGAATGAATAACGAAGTCAATACTTGTGTGTGGTACGATATGGCAGTGTCAAAGGTCACGTATTTAATCCTCCACGACCAAAAATACTTTAGAGTCTACCACCTTCTTCTTATTTAAATATATTTAATGCAAGTCTTCTTCAAACTATATCATCGTTTTAATAACGATTCGTTATGTCGTACTTTTATTTGCGTACGGAAATTGGTTTCTCAATCTCAACACAGTCACTTCCTGTTTTCTCAACTGTCCCGAATTCTGCACTGGGCAGTCCTTTTGTAACAAAAATCGTAGCAATTTTCCTTCATAGTCATTTGTTGTTGTATATTATTAGTATTATTTATGACATAAGCTTATGTACACAAGATAAGCAACGAAGTAAATCTTGATTGCTTGCCAGCTAACGGCTCGTGTTCTTGCCTGTCCATTCTTTGTCAGTACAAAAAAAGTACAAATTCAAAATCACAGTAGTTAAAAGTTAGCTAAAGTTAAACAGTTAAATGCGATTAAGGAGGCTGACTCTAGACTGAAACTGAGACGTCCTTCGCATTCGCACACGATGCGATTTCTGCATGTATTCGCGAAATCCTGAACGAAATGCGACTTGCTTTCCTAATAAATAGCAAGTCAGTCTGCGTTTACGCAACCAAAACAAAGTTGTGATCACACCACCTCAGCTGACGTAGTAAAACAGAAATGAGACACACCTCCGTCTCTGATTGGAGCGATGAGATGAGACAACTTTTTTTTTGCAAAAGTGCGACGCAGACAACCCCCGGAATCGGATGTCATGCAACTCTTGACACACATATTTAGCATTACTTAACACAATATATTCCGTAGCGATTTCGCGAACAACAAGCTCGAGCTTGATGTATGCGGCAACATCGCAATTCTCATTGATGGATATCATTTTAGTATCAGCAGACGCCAAGGTCTCCAGCATGCAGATGCCACTTTGGTATAAATGTATGTATAACTCATCCACCAGACGAAAATGTAGGCTAATAAATGTTGTGATGCATCCTTCTTTTTGAAAGTATTTAATGTCCCGTGTGCAAAGAAAAACTGCGCAGAAATTGCAAGGCTGTACAGCAAGTTCTATACATACAATCTTAATATTATTGGCGAGGATTTTCATACCCCATACATACGTGTTTATAATAAAGTGGATTGACGAATGATAAGGTTAATGCAAAAAATAGTTACGTGTGCAGCTAAGAGTACATGTAAATGTAAATAATGTCTTCAATTTAATTGCAGTTAAGTTTAACATAAGGCGTCTAATTTATATGCAGAACAATAATTGTAAGACACAAATTCATGAAGTCTACAGGATAAAATAGAGTAAGAAAACACACATATTTAGAAATCGATGTACCGCAATATTTATATTGATTGCTAATTTTTCGCGACCCGCCACACCCATATCTTTCCATCCAATCCTTTTCGCCTTACGGTAATGTCCACCTTATTCCTGTAAATTTTTCCGTCAGCATCCATCCTCGATAAGGTTTTATTTCTCACCAGGGTGGGAAAATGAGCATTTTTATCTTTTTCGAGATTTTTTGGGAGAGAAACGATTAGTGGTTTCGTGGGATTGGTGATTACGGGGCGCATAGGCCCACGACTTTTGGGAGGTGGGAGGCGCACGATGGGTGAAGCCTTTGAGGCAGGTGTCGATATCGCCGGTGATGGCGTAGTATTTTCTCCAGTAGTGGTTGGGGTCACATTTGGGGTATTGGTATTGGATGTTGCTGGTGCAGTGTCATTTGCTGTGGTTTGAGTGACAGTTGGATCATGCAAGTGTAGGCTGATGACATGGGAGGAGACTGACTTGAATGGAATTGTCTACATACAAAAAACAACAGAAATATTGAAAGCACTTTACTTATGTATTTATGTAAATCATTAAATCAATGTGATAATTTTACTAGTTTTACCTGGTCGCAATATGGGCAAAGGAGACATGCATCTCGCCCAGCTTGTTTATGGTGGGCGCGATAATGTTCGAACAAGTGTTCTGTATTGTTGCACACTTTGAAACAAAAGTAGCATCGGAGTTTAGCATGACCCGTTATACACAAGGACGCTGTAATAAAGTCAAATTTAGCTTGAATTAAATATTTATATTTATGAAAATTGAACTTAATTAAAGTAAATCTCACCGGTAGCTGGTCCGTCATGCACCTTGTCACACTCTTGACATGACTTGGCCTGATGGGCAAACCAGGCTTTATCGGTGTAATCCGGTTCACTCCATTCGTCTACCTTTGTTGCCTGCTTATCCGCTTTTCCGTCGATGGGCTTGACCTTGTCTGACGATTGATCATTCAAAGTGTCAACTTGCGGGACGGACGGAGATTGTGATGATTCCACACTGGTACTAACTCTACTTTCACTTGAATTTCTTGTCGTCCGTGTTAATTTTGATGTGGAGGATGTCCTTGAATAGTTAGTAGTGGTGGTCCTATTGTTGTCAGGTTTTTTTCTTTTACTTCCATTCTCGTCATCTGTGTCGGGTTCCCAATCAGAGTCGTTATACTTTCTCTTTTCTATTCGTCGCCCTCGCCTTGATGTGGTGATAATGACTTGAGTAGAAACTGTTGACAATTTATCCGATTGTGTTAAAGTAGTGGAAGTGGTGTCAGTAGGGGTAATCTTAGCGATAGGTTGTTCATTTTCGATATTATTAGTTGTCTTTTTCTTTTTCTTCTTTTTTTTCGTCTTTGTGATTGAGTTTGTATTATTACACCGAATCTCCACATATTTACTGGCTGTGGTTACAGCAGCCTTTTTGGTAGTGAGATCTTCTTGGATATTGATTTCGAAAGACGCCAGTAAACCACGCAATTTGTCGACATCCTCCTCTGAAACGACTTTCACCTCGCCGGCGTAGAGGAGTTGAATCATTGGCTTAATTTCGGCTAAGGTCCAGTCTGGGAGGATAATGTTGCGACGCGAGAGATATGAGTCGCCCTGAAAATAAACAAATTTGTAAAATTTGACTGATGACTGAATAGAACAAAGTAAATTCACCATTTTAATAAATAAACTTGCTCGTCCTCACCTACCTGAGATTCAAGACATTTCGCAAAAAATGGTGACACAGCTCCCAAGAAGGTCGCATGTACATCGATCGACCCATCGCTACAGGCTAATCGCGTATCCCGCAAGGTAGAACCTCCCCCTTTTTCGTTAGCTAGTTGCGAGGAAAGTAAAACTTCCTGAAACTCCGACGCCAACTTGAACGTTCTTTTGAATTTCTTCTTCCCTTTTGAGCCTGCAACGACACCTGTTTTACCTTACAAGAAAATGTGTAAGTTTATTTATGCAATGCGCAATTTGCACTGTTCACTAAATCTAAACTTACAAATTAAAATATTTTAATAATACTTACTTTTCGACTGTGGAGGCATTTCTAGATTGAGTTCTTTCCTTCCTGCTGAACAGGCTGACCACTAGTTTTTCTTCACCTGCGCTGTTGTTATTTTATAGCTGAATCATGTAAAAAGTTAATTATTAAGTTGTTTTAAACCGGCAGTTAAAATCTAATTGAAGAAGGGTAAATGACCGAGTGAGAGAAAGCTGAGAGTGTGGACTGGACGCATGCTTGCCCGCGTTGAAACCTGTTGCTTTGCTGCACAAACAAAGAAATACTTTGACTATCAACTATGCTAAAAATTATGATGATGAAGAATGAATATGAATTATGAATTATGAAGACTAAAATGTGATAACGAGTTAGATAAAGTAATGTGTAATTAATGTTGAGCAGTGAGTAATAAATAATATGAATTCAATAATGAATTGCAATCATTTTTTTAACAAGATTATCATTTTATTTTTATTTTCATTCAAAAAGAAATAAAATATTTGAACAAAATATTTTAAAGTGATCCACACAATAATCGCACGAATAAATTAAATTAATCAAGAATTTATAATTTGTCTTATAATTTGTTTAAACTGAACAGTCTTACTTCCAGCAGCACCTCAACTTATCAAACCTACTCCCACCACAAAGGTCAACTTACAAAACTTGCAAAATATAGCGGAAGAAATATTCGTATAAATAAACTTGAGGTATAAGCAAAAAAATTATTGTCATTTGTCATGTTTAAGTGACTTACATCACTTGCTCTTGTAATTTATAGCAATAGAAATTCAAGAATACATTCAGCGAGGAAAGATAACACGGAAGAATCTAATTAACGATACCCTTAATAATGGCACAATAAATTGATATAGAATATATGACAGGATTGGATTCCATCAAAATATTTTAGATTTATTCGTCTTCAGCTTCTTCATCGTCGTCATCTTCCTCTTCCTCGTCATCATCGCCGTCACTTTCTTCTTCATCCTCCTCCCCCTCGCCCTCATCTCCATCGTCATCTTCTTCCTCCTCCTCCTCCTCCTCGGAATCCTCGTCGGAATCGTCATCCCCTTTTTTTGCTCCGCCTTTCGCCTTGCTCTTCGTCTTGTTCACTTCTTCACCCTGCTTGGAGAATGAGAAGGACGAGATATCCCCTTTCTCCTGGGCTGCCTCCCTGGGCGCGATGTGTGTCGTGATCACATGACAGGATGTGCTTTTGAATGGGAGCGATTGAGAGCAAAATGGACAGATGAGCTGGTCCTTCTTACAGTTAGTCGCACGATGATTGGACTGATAGTGACGGAAGAGCGTCTCTGTGTTCCGGTAGTAATTGTAACAAAGGTAGCAGCGGAGACGGCGATGTTTTCCCGTCACGCAGAGGGATGCTGGAAAAGAGATAAAATATCATTAATTTTATACCACCACTATGCTTTCATTAGATTAACTTAAATGTCGCTTTGACTCACCATCTCGACACGTGTCGTAGGACGTCTTACAAATTTGACACGTTTTAGTGACCTTTTCAAACCACGCATCATCCTTGTAGACGACCTTAGCAGAGGCATCGATATCCTCGTTTTCATCTTCACCATCGGAGGGTTCACTTTCTTCGTCCTCCTAAAAAATGTGTAATAAATTAAATAATTATGTAAAAGTACCGTCTAAAAAATCTCCTATTCTATACCAAAAATGTTTTTTACCACCTACCTCATCCTCATCCTCCTCATCCTTTTTACTTTTCTTTTTTTTGTTGGCAGCAGCTTTTTTACCAGCACCATTTGGTTTCCGCCCCTTTCCAGCTTTGGTCGTTTTTTTCCTCGGGGGCTCATTCTCCTCGTCGTCGTCATCTCCTTCCTCTTCCTCGTCATCATCATCGTCACTTCCTTTCGATTTCTTCGCTTTGCTCTTTCTTTTCGGCGCAGCGCCAGCACTCCGTCCCCTTTTAGCAGGAGCCTTTTTCTTAACAACTTCCTCCTCTGAGACTTGTTCTTCCTCGTCGGAATCCGTAAATTCCAAGTCCTGAGATTCGACCTTCTTCTTACTTGCGGCGGCAGCAGCAGTACGACTGCTGGCGCGACGACCTCCGGGTGTCAGAGTTGTATCAGCATCGCCGCTAGTGGCAGCTTCTGAAAAAATACAAAATTAACTTATTAAATAACTATTTAAAAAAATGTGTGGCTGACATGATGCTTGTTTGAAAAAAATTACTGGAAGATCGTCCCATTTTGATTAATTGGAGAATTCGAAACAAGGGGCTGCTTGCAATTAATTTAATAACTTGTGGCTTGTGTTCGTATTAAATTAAAAGTTTGTGGAAGTAATTTAAATTTATTTCTTGTGGTTTGGAGAGAAAAATATGTACGTGTGGTGTGCTATGGACGGTGAAGCATTGCACAGAACTTGCCGGGTCGGGAGATATGGCTTCTTTTTGTCCAAAAGAAGGACAAATTGAGCCGAAAATATCAGAGTAGCCGAGCCGGCGAGGATTATAGTTGGGTTGGAATTTTGGAATCAATGAGATACATTTTATATGTAATACATATATTTATAATGCACAATGGAATGTACATTGAATGTAATGTATGGAAGGGTTGGAATGTACCATGTGCTTGATTTTTGATGCGAACTAAAGTCAGGGTTGCTGGAGCTGGAGAACAAAGAAGTTCAAAGAAACTAAATTGAAGAAAGGTGCATGTCGTCTAATTTTAGATTTGAAAGTTTTTAATGAATGAAATTCTAGGAAAACTGGAAAGCTGACGATGCAGTCCAGTTGTCATTTATTTTCTGACCTTTTGGAAAATGCACAGTAACATGTTCAATGTTCAATTATGGATAATTGGGATAAACATAGATCATAAACTACCAACTTCGAGAGAAGCTTAAATAATTTGAATAGGTGTCAACAACCTTGGCACTTCCATTCTCTTCGAAAATTTTAGTAAATAGAGCCAAAGTCTAATTGAGTGAGGTATGCATAATGCATACATACAATTGCTGGAAGTGTTGATATTAGCGTATTTGTGGGTACAATGGCCATATTTTTATTTTATTTTATGCCTTCTCCAGTTGTATGAAAGAGTCCCTATTTTGCTATCGTGTCATTGCCTGTGAAAATGAATATCATGTTCATGTTCATTATGCCGTCGGTCTGGAATGAAAACTAGAATTGATAAAGTTTTAATAAAATTACAATATGCAACAATATTCATGTTTTGTCCGTGGGTTAATTTGTTTCCCATCTTGTCGTAGAGACAAATTTTAATGGTCTGAACACCTTGTCGGTATTTAGACATTTATAATAAAGTTGTGTATGTACATAACTATTAATAGTTCCAATAATAAATAAATGATATTTTTATATTAAATTTGAGCCTATTATTTGTATTATTATCTTTTTATCTGTATTGGTCCACGAAATAAATTCATCCTCCGTAATATAAAAATATTCCATCAAATAATTAATATTCCATGGAACAAGATGTAATATTCATTCATTCGGTATGCAATCAATAAATAACTAACTTTTATAATTACATATGTACATATTTGTTTTTATTGTGAGGGTGTTTTGCATTCGATGCGGATAAGTACATTACATAATAGTGATAATTAATAATAATAAATAAGATTTTATATGAAAAGTATATCAATATTTTTCTTCTGGTTGGTCTTTGTTACTCTTCTGTTCTCGAATTAACTGACGTTGTTGACGAAGACGTGGACGGAGTCGTGTCGGCATACACAGGAGGACGCAGCGAGTGAAATGGGGGTGGTGGTGTTTTCAACTGGTGAAAATCCTCATAACTTGGGGGGACGTCCTGCAATCAAATGACACCAATTATTTATTTAATTTTCAAATTAGCGGCTAGAGCGGAGTCTCACATTCGTTGGCGTCACCGACGTGTAAACTTCCGGTGCTTGTGTAGGTCTCGGAACCTGCTGACGCTCCAACTCCATCCTGGCTGCGCTCATGCGTCGATGATAAAAGAGGAAGATCACAATGCAGATGGGCGACAGGATGAAGAATAATCCGGCGAGGAGGATGGTCAACAAGTATTGGACATCTTTCCACGCCATTCCACCTGGATAAAATATACAAATTTTCACAATTTCCACAAGCTTGTAGCAAATTGAGACACAATTTTGGGCTGTCTATTTCGTCTTTTATAATTTTATTTTAAGATTTTGACTAGAATTCCAACTAGAAATTACATTACTACATTTTTTTGGAATCATTTTCTCATGAAGTCATGAATAAGACCAGAATCAGCTTCCATACAAATAATCATTGTATTCCCTCTGGAGATTTCTTTTCTATGAAATTACTCTTACCAGACTCCCCACTAGGTGTGGTCGTGGGACGATCACAGCCTTCTTCGTCCTTTCCCGATTCGCAATTATTTTGTCCATTGCATTTCAACTTGGATGGGATGAAATTGTCTTGTTCGCACTGGACCCATAACGGAGAATCAGTTTTCTTCCGTTCCACGTACAAGTTGACGAGCAAGACCGCGTCACTGTTGTGAAACGATCCTGAAATGCTGACCGTTTTGGCTTTGAGTAGATTGGCAAAGGTGATGTCAAACTTAGTGGATTCACCCTAATTTGAGGAAATCACGGTATATTTTTGTGCATATATTTGTACATATTTGAAACCAGACGAATACTAACATTGATAAGGAGTTCATCTGCTTCATTCACGCTACCAGAGACCCTTGCGACTCTCATGTAAAAGTCATCTTCAGCCTCTTCTGACACTTTGAGGTCGAGTTTGGAGAAAGTGGTATAGTTATTTAGCTCGATGATTACTTGAGGGATGAGTTGTGGGTCGATTGTTATGTCGACATTTTTTTCAAGTCCAAACGCCACTGTATATACATACATGAGTAAAAATTGAGACTTACATAATCTTAATTTCTTTGCAAATAATTTTTACCTTGACCTCCTCCAAAAAGTAATAATAAGACACCCACTACCCCCACTCTTCTTGGTGTCATTATATGTGGCAAGGTTTTATATTTGGTCGTCCTCAACAATTCTGGCTGCGATGTACAAGGTAGTCAATTGATGCTGCATATGATAAGGTTTGCTTTGTATTACTAAATATATTGGCGAATGATAAGCATTCAGCCTATGTACACGTATTTGTATGCATATTCGAGTCTTGTTGGGCGTATAATATTAGAAGAATCTTCTCGACGCCATTTTATTTTATGTATGCAAAATCATATACGATACATATATGTTTGTCCATAATCTGTATAACGTATTCCGTCCATGACCTTATCTTTCATGTATCTTGCCTAGTTGTAAATATCGTTATGCATGGCACAAAAAGCCGATATTTTATTGTACACTTGAACTTGACTCTTATTTGCATTACTTGGATAAGGTGCGATATACAACTTTTATCTGTTTGACGTCGTCATTAATTTCAGGGCTTATCTTACCTAACAGTTCCCGATCTGTTCAATGTAATTATTTATTTTATTATTTCGTTACATTTACTTTGTTGATCCATCTGCGTGATAGAGCAAATTCCATCCAAAAACCAATGTACTACTGAAATCGAGTATCGATACTATTCGATTTGAGATTTTAAATACGAATTTTATTTTCTCATCTATGTATAATATCACAATGGCAAAAATAAAACAAAAGTATGACAAAAAACGATGAAATTGGGAATAAAATCATACAAAGCTATTTGTATGATTATTATCCTTTGTCATCTCCGGTGATTCGTTCGCCACTATTTTTATCGCTGGTGATACCGCCACGGCTTCGCAGAAAGACGGGGGTGCTTCTTTAATCTCGTAGACGTCCTCATACGTCGGAGGAATGTCGTGTCGCTATATACATTACACATGATTTGATTATACACTAATTTACATGTTCATAAGGATAACTTATCTTATCACCTTCCGTAACTTACCAAATCGCTGCTTATCACTGTGATCGAATATCTCCTCCTGTTCCTTCTCTCCTCTTCCTCCAGCGCCCTCCGCCTCTTCAAGAATGCCTTTCTCCGGCGGAAGAACATGAACAAAATGGCGCCTGGGATCATGACAAACGTAATGGCGACCAGACTCCGTAACAAGATATGCATGAAAACAGAATTGTCGCGGTATACGACCACTGATAACTCTGCTGTCACTTCCTCTCGCCAGTTGTGAGTGGATATAATCGTCGACTCCATCACTTTTGCTGTAGAATTGATTGTAGAGTTGCAGGTCCACTGACCCTGAATAATTTATAATACCCGGGTATTTACAGAGTAACAATTTGCATTTTTTGATTGATTTTTATACTCACGCTATGGGTCGACAGCCTAATTTCGGAGGTAATGTCGTTTTTGGGACACGAAAATGATTTGAGGACGATTTTAAGGCTGTACCACAAATAGTCGGGGGCGGCGAGGTAGACATTGACTCTGGAACATTTTTTGCTTAGAGTAATATTTGTCGAGGACCCATCCTGCCCGTAGAATTGGATGTCTTTCGGGCAGACACCTTCCTTATGGCCGATGACAAAGGTCACGGTGGCCAAAAGAATTAACAAGAACAAGTGACCTCGCATGATGACTTATTAATTAATGGGCCGTTGTTTTTTTGTCCTGACAAAAAGTCAATTGTCACCACAGTTGTGGAAAGGATAGAAATAGTGGAATACCTACGGCATGGGCGCATGATTTGAGTGTGTGACTGATGCAAGACAGCATAAAAAGCATAACAAGGATTGATAAGATAAAGTGCATTTAGCAGGGAGAGATTCATGCAAGATAAGGAAAAGAGATACGTCGCATGACGTGTCACATGCCATTTAAAATCATTATTTCAAATTGATAATTAAACCAAACATATAAAAATGACACCACAAAAAATAATATAAACATTGTTTATTAAAAATTGATTTGGTTGTAAATAAAATAATACATGGAATAAAATTACGTAAAAAAATCTAAACTAATGCGAAATTTTATGTATGTACATACGTAATTTAAAATATTGATGTATGTGTGGATAAGAAAATTTGTGAATTAATTAATTACTAATTACGGATCTGACCCCGTTCCTTCACTACCCGGAGGAGCAGGAGCAATTCGTTCATACGCACATTCGCCAATTTCGCCCTTGTCCAAGCCCAACCTGGCTGACGCAGCGTCAACTCTTAATTCTAACCCTGGAATTTTATTCATAACCCATAAAATTCCATACGTCACGACAAAAGACCAGATTCCACCGGCGACACAGTTAACCGCCTGAATTCCCACCTGGATCCAGTTTCCATCAATCCAACCCCCCCGAATGTCCGTCGTTATCCCGTCCAAAGCGGCCATCCCACTTTCCGCAAAGACGCCTGTAAGTAGGGTTCCTATGAGGCCACCCACTCCATGGACGTTGGCGACGTCGAGTGCATCATCCACTCCGATGATATGCTTTAGCTCAGAGGCCCAGCGACATGCCACGGCACCAACGATACCAAATATTGGCGCAGAGGCTGGACGGATAAACCCGGACGCGGGCGTAATAGTGACGAGACCTGAGATTGTTACCATCAATCATTATGAATTTTCATAGCTTTGAATGTTTCCCGATTTCTTAAACTTTTAGCTTATAAAGACTTGAGCATAACTTTTGAATTCCAAAAAGCTTAAGACAATCGACGCATTAAGGTTTCAATTTTATACCTGCAACCGCCCCGAAACAGAAGCTCAACGCAGAAAACGATTTGTTCTTCCTGTAATCCACTAATGCCCAGGTGATCCCACCGAATGACGCTGATAAATTCGTCACTAGCAGTACCATCGCTGCTCTGGCGTTCGCTCCCTTTGCATTTCCTAAATTATAAAAATCTCTTGAATCAAATTCAATAATAATGTTAGAATAAAACCACCACTCTCGTAGGGAGGAGGCCGGGGTGTTTTACCTGAATTGAATCCGAACCAGCCAAACCACATGAGTGATGTCCCAAGAACGACTTGGACCAAATTGTGAGGCTGTAAGGTAAAATGTATATAAAAATTGTTGCCAAATTAATCCAATTTATGAGATTAATAATACCTTATAATTGATAACGTGCCGCCCCTCTCTCTCCCCGAGCTGCATCGCATAAGCTATCGGAAAGTATATTAATAGTTTTATTTAAAATATTCAGTTTATAAACTATATAGTGTTTAGCTATTCAGTTATATTTATATTCACCTATAGCAGCTGCGCCGGAAGCGATGTGAACTGTAATTTTAAATCAATTCTTTCTTCATGGTTGTAAATTACGAAAATTTTGCATAATCTGGTTCTAAAGTACCCACCTGGCGTGCCCCCAGCAAAGTCCAGCCCTCCCAACTGGTTTGACCACCCAGCCTGCCCCCAGGTCCAATACGCAAGGACATCGTACACCAAAGTAGTCCAAAATAGCATAAATACAACCTGTGCAATAAGCTACACTCTGATAATCACTTCCCCCAAACGCCACCAATCTGTATCAGCTATTCGTTTACTTACCGTTGGAAGAAACCGACCCCTCTCCGCGATTGCTCCCACGACGAGGGCAGGCGTTATTCCAGCCACCATGGAGTGATAGATGCAAAAAAGTACTTCCGGTACAACTCTGCCTCCTCCATCCTCCCCGATATCACTGGGTTCATCCAGCCCGTAGAGAAGGACACGGCCGAACCCACCAATAAAGGGACATTTGCTCCCTTCGCTTAATGCCAACGAGTAGCCGAATAAGAACCACTGCGATTGATACATAAATGCTAATCTCATAAGTTTCTTATTTAATTGAAAGCTATTAAACGCACCTGAATTGAGACTACGGCAATGGACCAACAGCACAAGATGATTAATGATAAGGCACTCCGCGATCGTGCCATGCCAGAGTAGAAAAATCCGATCCCAGGGATCTTAGAGAACAGGAAGCTTAATTTTTGATGTTATCATAATTTAGAAAATTTAGTTATTAAATTAACGCATACCAGGAGCCAAACGAGGGTCGTGCATGACAGGATCCAAGCAATGTCCCCGGAATTGTACACCGGACCACTGCCACGATTTTCACTAAAATTATGTATATTACTCATTTTTCAGCTATATAATTCCCCCATGGATAACACTAAGCTATTTTTTAGCAGTCGTTTAAACACTATTAATAACCCAAACTAATTAATTCATCCCCTACAAAAAATAGATATTTGCACAACTGGCTGACTGACTCTGAGATTTGATAAGTTCGACTACTGACCACTACTGCTACTAAACCACTGCACTACTTTGTTGTTTTCATGATGATGGCGACCTAAGCAATGATGGATTGACTTATTTTAGCTGAAGAGTACGGATTTACCGATACATAGATCTATGGGATTTATGTACGAATAATAATTGAGTCCTACATATATCCATTTACATATGACTGAGGTTTGATTTAGCACGAAAGTGTTTGAAAAGTTGGTATGATATGTTACACATGCAATTGTCTGTATATTAATCTGTTCATGATTGATAAGCCTTTTTCCTCGTATCCACATGCACAATGTGATTTTGCATTGATGTTCGTGTCCAGTAAAATAAATAAAAGTACTATTTAGTTAATGGTTTTCATGTAAATTTGCGTATTGGGAGGTATTACACGCTAGATTAGTCATTATTTGTAGAAATTGGAGCTGGACTATCAATGTTTGCACTATATGAGTCCATTGACTCAAAAATAATACATTCTTGCCAATTTTACCAAGAGAGGATGTTTATGCAAAAAAAATATGTGTAATTACCACCCAAACTTTGTGTACCACAATAACGTCAAGTACAAGTACAACAACAGGGAAGTAAACTGGACAAAATCGTACATACGAACTAAAACTAATGTAATAACAACGTGCATAACAAAGTAGCGGAAGTGCTTATCTAACAACCTTCACCAGCAGTTTGACCATTCAAGAAAAAAATTTAAAAATTTCGAATTCAAAAATACAAACTAAAATCTTACTAATAGTTGGATTAGCTGGATAATGATATTGCAAAATGTGTCTGCTTGCTGACTGACTAAATGATGCACAAGTAAGTTGTGCTTGTTTGCACGATCTGAGTGATTGATTGGTCACTCCCACAGGCACACCAAGGTCAACTTTCACAATTGCTTGCTTGCTCCTGCTGACATCTGATATTGCATCATTAAGACAAAGACAGTCCTCCTTCAGCAGTCTCATTCTCTCGCCAGATCTCGAGCCGTGCACACCTCATCACTGCTCTCTCCCAATTTTTCCAAGAAAAATACAAAGACATCAATAGACATTTTCAATTACGAAGTTAATAATCATCACCAATCAAATCATCAATTGTTTAGTAGTGCTGGATTCTAAAAATCGAAATGGATTTCAATAAAATTGCCGACTGGGTGGACAAAGCTGAACCAAGTTTACCTGTGGATGTTGAAGAGGTGGGAACTACTTCGACGGTAGAAGAGGACTCGTCAGCAGCTGTTCTATCAGACCCGTCCAGACCATCGTCGTCTTCTTCTTGTTCATCCGAACATCGTGAGGCCATCGTTTTACCCCTCGACGTCGACGAACCCACAACGCCCCCCGCAACCACTGAAGCACTAATGGAGACGGAACAAATGATGAAACAAGCGCAAGAAGAGTTGGAACGCATCATGATCCACCAAGAAGCCGAAGAAGAATGGACACGACTGCAATTCGGATTCAGCAAAGTTCGTGATCGAGGCGGATTCGTAAATCCTAGCGACAGACCAAAAACGATGTCCGACTTGGTCCTCACTGGAAGATATTATGCCGCTCTGATGGGATACGTCGACACACCGGGGGAATTTTATCTCAATCCCTGTGAAACCTGGAATACTTTGGAGAAATTGATGGCTGACATGCAGTACGTGTAGTTAAATTTATTATTTAGTCCTTTTAGACTTTTATATTATACAAATATTTATTATTATTATTGTATTATTGTATTTCTTTAGGAAGGAATTTGCAGACATTCAAGAGGTCAACAGGAGAGAGAAAACGTCGATCAGCATTCCATGGAAGGGTCATCTCGTTCCCGGCTTCATCGGTGCGGTTCTCTTCAACGGAGAGTTTCATCGAGCAAAGATTATCTCAATTTTGCCTGATGAAAAATTCAAAGTAAGATAAGACAGAATTATAATTTGGGTAAAGTAAATTGGAAATATATATAATTTTATTTTATTTTATTTTACAGGTACAACTTTTCGACTATGGGGATATTCGTTCCGTATCGATCAATGACATTCGATATCTTCGACGCCACCTGCTCTACAAGCTGCCAGCTCAAGCCATTCGCTGCAAAGTTCGATATCGCAATTTGGATGCCGACCAGCCCTGGAAGAAGGAAGAAGGAGATCTTCTAAGGAAGTTAAGCAACAACAAACCACATGTCGTGCACTTCAAGCTACCTTTCCTGATTGATGTATGTAAAACACCTAATTAAAAAATATTAATTTGGAATGGATTTTATTAATTAGTTTATTATGAATGAGTCTAATATGATTTTCCCTGTTTTTTTTAGGGGGAACAAGCATGGGAGGTCTACCTTCACCTGTTTGACCAGAAGACTGACAGAATTGGTCAATTTCACATTGAGCGTCAAGTCTTGTTTCAGCATCAAAGAGTCCTCAACCAACGGGACAGAAACCAGACGGACTCAGATAAGAATGTCGTGCTTGCGAATTTCTCCAATCTCTTGCATTATGATGTCGACGATTCTCAATTTTGCCCAAAACTCTCTGTATATATGTAATTAACCTGCATGAAGTTCTATTCTACTCGCAATTATTTCCCATCGACGACTCTTGATTCTGCTTAGCTTTGACTTTATCTTTTTATGTACAAGCTTCCTACAAGCTTCCAATATGTATCATTCAGTGATATTAATGAATTTACATTACCTGTGTAGCAATAATGCAACAATTGTTAAATGTTAGAAAAATACAAATGAAACTAATTCATGCTTTACATATGAACGATTGGGATTATAGTCGAGTAGCAAACTCGACTACGCTTTAAAGCTTTAATTTTTATTATTAAGCTTTAAATTTAAGTCGATTAACAAGAAATTAATTTTCATGTCTGTCGTCCATACGATTCTGACGTACAGTGCAAGTAAACGGACGGACTGAGGAGGGGAGCTTGCGAGGTTGATAATAACAGATCCTGATGCCCTTTGGATATGTGGTAGGGTCCTATGAGTGTACTAAAACCCTGAAGTGGTTTGACTCCATGGCCACATTTGCGCCCGCCACACCCACTCAAAAATGCTCAAAAACCGCTTTCACTCCGGTTTTCACTCACTCAAATCCACGCCAAAAATCCAATTTTGCTCGGATTTTGAAATTTCTTTCACCATTACACTCCCAGATAGTTGCTTTCTTCAATTCGATATCAAACTCAATATTTTCGAAATTATTAGTATTTTTAAAATTTAAAATTCTGAATGAGCATTGTTGTAGTAATCCACAACGCAAATTATGCCTGCGAAATAATCATCATCAAAATTGAGTTTGACATTGGATTGAAGAAAGCAACTATCTGGGAGTGTAATGGTGAAAGAAATTTCAAAATCCGAGTAAAATTGGATTTTTGGCGTGGATTTGAATGAGTGAAACCTGGAGTGAAAGCGTTTTTTGGGCATTTTTGAGTGGGTGTGGCGGGCGCAAATGTGGCTATGGAGTCAAACCACTTCAGGGTTTTAGTACACTCATAGGACCCTACCACATATCCAAAGGGCATCAGGATCTGTTATTATCAACCTCGCAAGCTCCCCTCCTGAGCGTTTACATGAGGTAGCCAAACTACAGAAGCAACTGATATACAGGATCTATACATGTAGGCTATTAAACAGAACGAGCTGAATCTTTTGTGGACAAACGTAAGTGTCGTATTTCATTCTTACATCCGTCCGTTAGGTTTTGTTTATATAAGATGTGGAAAATGCAACCACAATTTCATGACGTAAATATAGACATGAATTTTCATGAATGACTCATTTATATATATATTTGCATTATGTATGTACCACAATTAACAATTTCTTATTAATTTTTTCGCTAACCGTTAATTACTTCACTAATCCTAAATATATATTTAAAAGGGACAAGTTTACAATTGGATTTTTTCCTTAACCTAATTTAAATGGTTCATGACCATTTAAATTATTTATGAACTATTTATTTATGTTCTTAATCTTCTTCCCAGGACTTTTAAGTAACGTCTTGGCCGCTAAGTAGCCTGGCAGCCCCATCACCCCACCCCCAGGGTGACTCCCACTCCCGCAAAGATACAATCCTTCTACCGGGGTGGCAGGGAATCGAAAGTTGAACTGCTTATTTCCTCCAGGATTTGGGAAGGGTCTCAGCCAATATAATTGATCCATTGACATGGCTCCGTGAAATATATTCTGTATGAAGATAAACAAGTTATAACCTTTGACCTCGTTTAGTTGGAGAATTATTTACCCCTCCTGTGAGACCGAAAGTTCTCTCTAAATCGACGGGAGTGAGAACTTCCTTCCCAACAACACTGGCCTTCCATCCTGGCGCATATTCTTCAACAACGGAAGCCACGGCGTCCCAATATTTTTCTTTGTAAGCTACATCGTCCCAACTTCCGTCTAATAAATAGTGACATAGTTTTCTTAAATTAGATTAAAATTTCTATAAATTAGATCGGCATTAGAAGACAAACATATGGTCACCTGATGGCGTGTGAGGGGTGTACTGTGTGAATAGGAGGCAGACATGAGCCCCCTGAATTAATAAATAGCTTAAAATAAGAACTTCTTCTTCTTCACATTATTTATCTAGTTTTGTGTCACCTTTGGAGCTAGGGTGCCATCCAAACTGGACGGAATCACCATTTCGATCATGGGTTTCTTTGACGGTACGCGACTTCCGATGCAAGATGTGTATGATTCTTCAAGAATCGACATGGATTCACAATTGAGATGCACGGTGCACTTATGGTGGTCTCTTATCAGGTCGGGAGTGGTTGTGTTGTTCGGGTCGGCGATAAAGTTAGGGAGGCAACTCACAGCAACTAAAATATGAATATGATGTTTTAAGAAAATGCATATTTTTTTAGAAGGTTAGGAATAAGCTTGAGTACCATTAATTTTCGTGACCGGACTCGTGTAATCGATGCGATCCACCGCCCCCATAAAGTCCTGGCCGAACAAGGACACGGCAGACTTTTTGGGAGTCAGGTTTCGAAATGTGACTTGTGGCGTAGCGTTGGAAAATACAGCACGATTCGCGGTGATAACTCTGCCATCTTTTTTTAGTAAGACGCCCACAGCAGAACCATCCTTGTATTGAATGCTGTCCACTTCCTGGTTGAAAAATCAAACAATTTAAACTCTAATCTCTCAACATTTAATTGACGATACATATATTTACAAGTGAATTTTTAACCAGACACTAACCTGTCCGGTAAATATGTCGACTCCCAACGCTGCCCCGCTTTTCGCTATAGCTTGACTAACCGCTCCCATGCCTCCTTCAGGGTAGGCCCACGCTCCAGGTTCCCCATCTACGCCCCCCATGATGTGATGGAGCAAGACATATCTAATCACATCCTTAACATTGTTAAATGTTCTTCAATGTATACTTCTCTCCTCAGTTAAAATATATTACTATATTTATATTATATTTATATATTATATTACTATAATTTCCTTACCCCGTTCCTGGCGTGTTTGGCCCGGACATTGTTCCAATTAAGGCGTCAGTCGCCAGAGTCGCTTTTAAAGGTTCAGATTCAAACCACGAGTCTAAAACGCGAGACGCTGGTGCGGTTAAGAGTTGATGGAGACGAGGAAGGTCACCTAAATCGATGCAACGTCCCGCTCTAATAAATAAAAATAACGATTTAAACGACACACGTACCGAAGTAGCGTAACATTACTTCTTCACGTCAAATTTTGGTAATCTTACTGAAGTAATGGCTTCAGGCTCTTCATTTTGTTCCATATTCCTCCCTCAGAACCGAAATGAGGTGGCTCCTGGTCCAGCAGATGTACAACAGCGTTGACAAATCTAGCCATGACCTCTTCATACGCTCCGTATGCGGTGGCATCTTTTTTAGAAAACTTTTCAATCTGAGCCTGACTTTCCTTAATGGTTTGACCCCCCAGGAGAAGGGACCTAGCCGGAAATGAGCCCCATTCACTGGCACGAATCGGGGTGTAAGAACTGAATGGTTTCCGGAGATGAAAACGCAAACCAAATTCCTACCATTGAAAAAATTCTTAATCTAACTAAACTACAGACAAATTATAAAAATACCTTAAGCTTTAGGTCCTCGATGATGAACGGTCTGAGCAGGCTGAGAAGGTACGAAGCTCTAGAAAACTTGAACCCGGGCACGATTTCCTCTGTAACTGCCGCCCCACCGAGAACATCCCTGAACAAATTTGTCCCCGTTCGACACACAAAATTTGCTTAATTTTAACGATAATTTTAACTTCATACCTCCGTTCAAGGACGGCCACAGAGAGACCAGCCTTTTTTAAGTAAGCGGCACTGATAAGCCCATTGTGACCTGGGTCATAAAAATGTTTGTTAGGACAAAACGAGCAAGACTTTTAATCTCGTCTACCTCCTCCAATGATGACCACATCGTACGCCGATTTTAGTTGAGTTGCTGCATCCTTGGTTATCGTGCTGGTGGATTCGTATCTTCGCGTGGCGATGTGGCGTAGGGACGGTGATAAAAGTTGACCACGAAAGAAGGACCACATCGTTGTCTCAAGACTACATGCAAATTAATGACTAAAGTAAAATCATTTCATCAATTTAACCAGTCCAAGCTAAACACATGTTTTGTCGTCTTTAGCAAAATGGCCAAAAAGTTGACGGTGAAATTAGCACAGACTTATGTGTACATAAGCAATAGTGTTACTTTATCGCAAGTTCATCCTCTAATATCAATAAGAAGTATGCATATAGATTGCTCAATATGCCATAAAATGGAATGAACTATAACGATGCGGTAAAGTTGCGGATCAAGTTTTGTCAAAGATTTGACTACACGTTTAACTAAATGTACTTCCCTACACTGTGTTCATTTAGGATTAGTGAGAATTACACTGTCAACTATGGAATTACATGAGGTAAAATCCAATCCAATGTAATCATGAATTTAAAACATATATATTCATGAATGTAATGCATGCCAAATATAAATGTAAAGATGAGACGCTTCCATGATTTGGTATCAATATGGTCTTTTTTCCCATCAGTGCAAAGCGCGACTAACTTTTGCATCCACTGTCGAGTGTTTTTCCACATTTCTGCATTCTTCTTGTTTGAATTCTTCTTCTTCAAATATTTAAAAAACATGACCGACGACGACGAGGTCCCGGAATTAGTCCCACTCGGAGGCAATCCACCCGTCCCGGTCACCATTCTTACCGGTCAGTAAATATATATGTCGGTCGACATTTAATTAGAAATTCACTCAAAATGTTACACAGACTGTATATGGCACAGAAATTTTGTGTGATTTAAAATTTATTTTTCTCTCTCAGGCTACCTCGGAGCTGGAAAGACCACCCTCCTGAACTACATCCTTCATGAACAACACGACAAGAAAATCGCCGTCATTCTTAACGAATTTGCGGGCGAATCCAGTGGGGAAAAAGCCCTTTCGGTCGGAGTGGGTGGTGCTTTGTATGAAGAATGGCTAGAGTTGAGGAATGGCTGTTTATGCTGCTCAGTAAAGTAAGTGAGTTAATTGCGTTCAATTAGTTACTTGAGTAGTTAAGTTAATACATGATAATTATCTTAATTTCAGGGATAATGGAGTCAGGGCTATCGAACAATTGATGCAACGGAGGGGCAAGTTTGACTACATTTTGTTAGAAACGACCGGCCTGGCGGATCCTGGTCCTATCGCGACGCTTTTTTGGTTAGACAAAGAACTCGGAGCGGATGTTTATCTCGACGGGATAATTACCGTAATAGATGCCAAGTATGGGCTGCAGAAATTGGGCGAAGTTCCGTCATCTCCGTCTCAAGTCTCTGCCGCAGTGAGGTTCGGAGGAATACTTTAAGTTGTAAAGGTAGTAATAATCACACACAAGTCTAAATCTGTAATTTTCTTTCAGGCAGGTTGGTCTCGCCGATTTTATTCTGTTGAACAAGACTGACCTCGTTCCTAACGAGGCCTTAACGAAGGTGAAGAGTGCAATTCAAGCCATCAATTCTACAGCAGCCCTTCATCTCACGCAGTTTTGCAAGTGGGTCGAGCATCATCATTAATTACAAAATGGTTTTATAATGCAATTAATTCAAACTAATTTGTATTGTAGGGTTGATCTTTCTAGTATTTTGGACCTTAATGCATACGAAGGGATAAACCAGCAACGGTATGAATTTGTATATAGCAAACTTTATGTTTTACTTAATATTCTAATTAATTGTGCTGTTTAATTTCCAGACTAGAAAAAATCTCATCCCAATCAACCCCTTTTTTCACACATCTTGATCAAACAGTGGGGACGTTGTGCCTCCCACTTCCCACCCCTTGGACCAGATCAGAGTTAGACTCCCTGCTTCAAAGTATTTTATGGGAAGAGAAATCTACAAGTGATCCCCAACAACAGGAAATCTGGCGTCTCAAGGTGTCACAGGAACTATAGCTTCTGGACAAGTAAGGTTCAATGCATAAAATTAATAAATTTTATATTTAGGGCGTCGTTGAAATTGATGGAAACGACGGAACTCCCGAGATCCTTATGGTACAAGGAGTCAACGAGACGTATGACCTGACCCCACTTGCAGCAAATTCGTGTCAGAATCCTGTCACCAATCAGCTTGTTCTTATCGGTAATTTTACAAAAAATTCTATCAATTTCAATTATTATTTTATCATGTTAAATTATCGTATACAATTTCAGGACGCAATCTCAATGAGTCCAGCCTCACTAAACGTGTAAAAGAAATCATCCTTAAAAATCAAGAAGCTGAAATAAGCTAATAATAATAATAATGAAAGTACTTCAGTATATTTCATATGGTCCAACCAAACTGTTTATATGTTATTTTGAAACCCCAGTCATAATCAAGCACTAATTATGTATATAAACCACTCCCAATTAGGTACGCTACTAGTAGTTTAATCGTGTCCCTATTATCAATCCCGTCATCTAACATTGCGCATGTTCGACCCATTTGATAATCGTATACGCTTCGAGGGACGACAGTGTCACATACAGCAGCCAAAGTCCTATCCAAAAATAGAAGCCTTTAAAATTATCCTTCATCTTAATAATTTCAACCTGTGACCTTACCTACTAGGAGCAATGAGGTTATAATCTTTGGTCCCGTAGACCCACCCAGTTCCGCTTTTCCAAAAACCTTCAAAAATCTCCTCGCTGTCAAGAGTCCAACCGCAGCAATTGCAACCGCGGAATAAACCAGGACAGAGAATCCTAACGATCCGGCGGGTACATTATAACCACCCGGCGTGCCCCTGACTGCGTGAAAAATTGTTGCCATCGTCCACGGGAGACCTAGTCCGAGAAAGACGTTGACCGAGTTTGAGCCCGTTACATTTCCTATTGCATTGTCTGCAGTGTCGTCACTACAAAAATTATGGATATGAATGCATGCAAGAGATATCATTAGCTGCAAAATTCTTATTCCTATTTAAACTTACTGTTTTGCGGCCGCCATGGAGGCAAAAGTATCAGGCAGAGACGTCCCAAGGGCGACGAAGGTGATAGCTACCATTGGTTAAAGGTCACATGTACTTTTCATTTTCACCAGCGAAACAAATTTATAACTCACCCGTGATGGTCGGCTTGAGTCCGACAATACAGCCAAAAACGGTCGCAATATCTCCAATAACCGCGGTCAAAACACCAATCGTGAACAAACTGATTAAAAAGCAGAGCCAACCTCCCAAATAACTCGGTGGTGGGATCAGCGCAAGCAGCACTTTCCACGGGAGACAAATCTAAGCCAAAAAATTCGCTTCATTAATACTTCAAGACATTAAAAAACTATCGCTCACCAAATGCATCACATAATCCATCCTCGTTGGCTCATCGTCATCCCCAACTTTGAATGCTTGAAATAACATACGTTTTAAATTTAATTCTTTTGAATAATAGTAACAAATAATAGAAAACTTAATTATTTATTTATTTACCTTGAATCAACTGGTCCCCGATCGTGTTATGGGCAGAGATGATTTCCATTTCGGCCGCAGCCAGCTCAACAACCTTGTTCACCGTGTCCTGAAATGCAGCATCGTCAGAGATCGTGATGGACGCCTTGACCATTTTCCCCATCAGGGCTCGACCCTCGGTCTCGGTCAGAAATACGTCAAACGTCTCGGCACTTCTGTCCTGATTGTTGTCCTGGAAGAGGGGGATGTGGAGCAGCTTGGATTTCTGCACCCACAAAAAATAAATAAATGACACTAATCGTAACTAATTTGCGCTCTCAATTTGCCCATTTTGACTCACTTCTCCATGCTGGAAGGTCAACTTTCCCACCATTCCTGTGGGGTGCTTTACTCCTCCCATCGGATCTGGTACGGTTTTCCACTTGACGGACACAATCCCGTCGGCGCCATTGGTTCGGACGACTTCTACGTCGACTTGTCTCGTCGTTTCGGAAACGAGCATTCCCCTCTTGGCGAATGAGATTGTTCCTGGATCTGGATAAACAAGCAACGGTCAGAATTTTATTGTTGTTTTTTTTTTAATTTTTGCTGCGTCGTCATAAGCATATGAATACTGTCGTCGTCGACGATAGTGATTTCCATCGTGTGGGTTGGACCGAGCATAGCGTCGTCACGCATGAGACCATTTTCGACGGTTAAACGGAGAAAGAAACTCTCATCGGGCTCAGCTTGGTTGTCGTCGATGATTTTTATATCGACGGTCCTCTCATTTACGAAGGGCTGAAGGAATCAGTGATAGGGAATTAGTGATTTTTGAACCTAATAATAATAATAAACTATTTATTCTTACCTCAAAAACGACTTTAACATCGACCTTTTCATAGTCGGAACCTGCAAGATAATTGATCAGAGGTTGACATTTAGTTTGACCAAAAATCTGAAAATATATTTACTCTACCCTCTTTCGCCGTGCCCTCGATACTCAACACTCTCAGGGTGACCTCGTTGTCGACCCTGCCAGTTCGTAAAATGGTGACTGTGAGAGTTCCAATGTTTTCCGGGACCGAGAACGATGCAGCCTGAAAATCAAAGATGGCTTTTTTGTGCAGCATTTCCGGACTCACTTCTATCACGGTGAGGGCTGCGGAAGGTCTCTTCTTCTCAAAATCGTTGATCATGTTGAAAACTTGTTGTAGCTTCTCGTTCAGGGCGGGCTTAATTAAGTAATTAATTAATTAGTATGCAAATTAATAAGGATATTACTAAAAAAATAATAGTAGTAGTACGCAAACACTAAATGTACCCACCTGTAATTTGACTGACCCCATCAACGCTCGACAAGCCCCCATTCGATACCACAAACGAGAATGGCGTCGTGTCTGGACCAATCTTTAAAACCGAATCTGAATTTATTCAAATATCCCATAACTTTGTGTCCGCTATGCAAATTTAATATTACTTGTACGCCACGAGGGACGCGGCTTCCTCATCCGTGAGTTCGGCATTACCACGAATCTCTTTGTAAAATGAGAGCAATGCAGCCGAGTTGATTTCACCGTTTGAATTGTAAAGAGGATTCTCATCGCCTCTGAGTAGACCTACATAGATTTACGTGGTAAATTGTCAATAATCGGTAATTTATCCATTTCCGGTATTAAACTCACTCGGTGTCGCGCTTTCCTCCTGTCCGCCGTCCATCTCTCGCTGAATTTCGGTCGCCTTTTCGACCAAACTCTTTCTCAAATTCTTCCTCGGATTGAAACAGAACTGATTGTCGGCCCACCACGCGATCATGACCAGACCAGGAAAGCAGAACAGAGTCACAAGCGCTTCCCAGAGTTCAACCACGTCTTTCGATATAACCTCTAGGACGAGCCAGAGCCATAGGTACGCGAAAAGAGAAAACAACGTTGTGATGATGAACACCTAAAAAAATTGCAAGTTGTAAGTTTCAAATTGCCGCTATAGCGCGCAACAATAAATCGCCAGTTAAATCGCATCATTCTGGCACTCTCTCAGATTACAGATATATCTCGCGATTCAATAATTTTAAAAGATATTGCCTCACATTGTAAATATCGATCCTCCTAATCTCTCCCCTCGGCACTCCGATGACACATACGGCCGTAATAAATAACAAATTAAAGGCCGCCGACCCCACAATAGTTCCGGGTCCGAGGTCACCCGGTTGGGATACGAATTCGTGGTTCAACGTTTCGATTACAGAGAGGAGAATCTCGGGGGCAGAAGATCCCAACGCCATCAATCTGTGAAACACTACCTTTTAAATTGTGGACTCTCAATTTACCTATGTGAGGAGATCTTACGTGAGATTCGCGACTGTAGGATTCCACACCCGGACATTTACTTTTATAGTGGTTTGAAATTCTTTTCCTCCACTCCCGACATCAAATGGGATCTTAAAAGGTCGGAAATAGAGTTTGAAAATCCACAATATTTCCATCATATTTTTTTAAATGTGCAAGTTACCGTCTTAGATTTTGAGATAATATATTCGATACTGTTCATGAAAATGTCAGATGCGATTGCCACCCCGATGAAGAACCAGACGAGGGCCAAGAAGTAGACGATACCACGAATCCACTGGCGCCACAAGTCCTCTCCAGGCAGTATCGGGAGCCATAGGGTGCCAAGTGCACTGTGATTTGTACACTTCTGTGTGTAGTCTTCGCATACATGCTTCGGATTTGCCGTTGTAGTATTAATAGTGTCATTAATAGTTTTCGCCGTGGTCGTGGCGATGGTGGTAAAGATGGAGGTGAGATTAAAAGTAGTTGCCATTTTTTTACGTCTCAGATCATTTGGCCACTAAACTGACTTCGTAATTATCAATTGTGTCATCCTCTCCAATAATTAATTTTATAAAGGTTGGTTTCTGATTTCGAGTGAAGAAAATACAAATTATTGTTACCTTTGAATTTGACTTAAAAAACAAATGCATGCATGTGTGACATCAAATTTTGACTGGCAAGGTTGAAAGATTTATATTTGCACATTTACGTGGTGATTATCACTTATTTTTCTGTAAGGGTTAAAATTTGTTGCTATGCAATGAAGAAATCTAGCAGGAATTTCCTCACTTTCGTCCACATATCTATGTGAACGTTTTTGACGAATTTTTCAGACACCATAATGTCTTCACTTCCGGTGCCCAAAGCGTCGCACGCAATTGTCAAGGTGTGAGAACCTACATAGAAATATATGATGATTAAATAAGTATATGTAAATCGCTCCGAACCGAATTTTTATTTCCGTTTAAAACTATTTTCCAGGTATCGCGATGGACGATGCTGAGCTTGGGACTTGTTTATGGATTCCAGAGAAATAAGGTCTTAGGCAATCGGGAGACAGGACGTAGGGCGAAAGAGGAAGAAGAACGACCAGCCAGGGAGGCGGCGTTGAAGGTCGAGAAGGATAGGAAATATAAAGGTGGTTTGCAATTTGTTGAAATTTTTGGAATTTTATTCTAAGGATTTTTTGACATTTTCGTCTTTTTCTTTGTGGTTGCAGAGGAAATGGACTATCTTGCACGAGCAGCAGGGATCATTACTGTTGGATCTGGAGATGGAAAGGTGGCTACGGATTTCAAATTACAATAGGGTTGTTTGTGGGGGCAAAAATAATTATATGAATACGACAGACACTATACATAATGTATGTAACCTTAATTTCCGTTTAAACCTTACAATTCCTTATTTCAAATTCATGCGCAAAATTTAAAAAAAGAACATTACAAAATGGAAAAACTTGTCAGCTGCATATATAAATTTGGTTTCATGGTCATTGCGATAAGATGATGACGACGCATAATGGGAATGACCAAACTAATCTTAAGACAGATACGTAGATATGACGTGACCCGATGACAATTTAAGTATTTAAGGTGAAGTCGAAGATGATGTTGCTCTTGCCGTCATGTCGCAATATTTGTGCAATTCCGGCAACGTATTTATGCATATTTAAAATAAGTCTCGTTTCTTACGAGGGGAAGGATGTTTGCCTAAAACTCTCTCCTCGTCTCATCTCATCTCATAATAAACTCGCATTCCATTTTTTTGTATTCCTCCACGCCCATCGTAAAATCCCATAAAATAAAATATACCGGAAATCCTACCTCTTCACCATTCAGTAGGTCATCCAATCCAAACCAACAACTTGATTTATACATAATTATCCAAATAAGAGACTCCTCTCTGGGTAAGTGGTCACCAGTTGTGACTTTGCCACTCATCCAGCAACAATACATAATTGTTAGAATCTCAGAAAAATGACCCTGTATTATCATCTCCTGGCCTTCCTGGTGGTGGGTGCAACTTCGGAAGATCGCCACCTTCAGTTTACTCCGAGTCGCCCAGATTTGTCGTTGACATCCAGCCAGCATCACAACACCGTACTTCCGCCCCCCAACAGTTTCAATGTGAATAGTAATAACAATATTGAGGACAACGAGGTCACGAGGTCATCCGCGTCGTCGCCAGGGTCAGAATTATCGGCGTCAGCTTCACAACATAACATTCTTCCTCGGCATTTTAACAGTCAACCGTGTCACGGCGGAGGTGGGTATCATTCTGCTGGTCCGTGCTGCGTAAATCAGGGACCGTTGCCGTTGCCACATCGTCCACCACTTATCATTCCGCAACATCAGGGAAATGTAGGATGGCCAAGACCCCATCGTCCCCCGCCACCACCTATTCATCACCCACCTCCACCACAGTTGGGTATGACAAAATGAATAAGTTTTGTAGGAATTCTGTAGCCAAAATTGACTAAAATTACATGATAATAATATAGTTAGATTGATTAAAAACCCTTAATTATCTAATTAATCCTGAAAAACTGTTAGGATGGGTGAGCGTAAAACCAGGTTCTTGCCATTTCAAATCTCCACTCGCCTTTCTTGACAAGTTCTTTCCTGAAAAGGGGGCTGGCCTCGGTCTCGGCGTGGGTTGGGGGCACAACGGCGGTGGGAACCATCTCTTCAAAGGAAAAGGTAACATAGTCGGCTGGACGGGATGGGAACCACCCTCGCAAAATGCAGGTTTCCACTTTTACCGGTAATTGATAACAGCTTATCAAACAAATCCAAATTTTATAATAAATTTTAACTAATAACAACCCACATTATCTTTATGAAGACGTCGCCACGACCAAATCCTTCACCCTCATGATCACCAAACACAAGGCTGGGGTCGTCTCTTTGGCGGAATTAAGACTGGTGGATGGCATCACGATCATCACCAATCCTGCCATTCCGATCATCACTGTCCAGGTAATTGTGCAGTATTAATAGCAACAAAAAGATAGGCATTAGTAGTGCATCCATTTTTTACGACTGTATGTAAAAGGGTGCACCAGATAAGATAACAATACACTAAAAAAGAACCCAGATTACACTCTTAATGCATACTTGTTAATTTACGTAACAGGGTCACAAAAATGCTGTTCTGGCTTGTGCAAACTTCCTTCGGGAGCAGGACTCTTGCTCGGCTGAAGGAAAATGAGGCAAGTTGAGACTCTCTCAAAATCTCAACCCGTATATTCATCCCATCATCATCAAATACACAGCAAAAAGAAAAGTGAGAGTTTCCCACATCCATCCCATCTCGTCTCAGAAACCAATAATATTGGTCTATCCCAAAAAAATATGCTAGTTTAAACTCCTCTCTCTCTCTCTTTACACAGGGAGCTCTTTTAAAACAAAATGTATTCATTCCTTGGTATTCCTCGTTAATAAGAATAAAGACCTCGTTAGTTTTACATGAGCATTTCTCAACATGCAGTAAGCGAGGTGACAAATGAGGGTGAGTGAGTGAGAGGACATACATACAGCCGCGCAGCCAGCCAGCTATGTACTTACTTATTTGTACCGCTTATTAGTCTCGTTTCCAATCGACTGGAAAAAACATTTGGTCTGTCGGTTCTTATTTAAAAGACAAACACATGTTTGTTAAACATCTCTTTTCCCTTCTGGAGAAGTGCTTTGAGGAAAAATCATCAACATTTCTTGCTTTCTCACTTCCCCTAAATAATTTCGTGGTTGGTGTCGGTCCGACATTTGAGACCTTGTTTGAAATAGCTGCCTAACAAGTAACCAGTCCAATTTGTCAGTAATGTGCTGTGGTAGATTTAATATCGGTAGAAAATAATATTCCTTTCTGAGGAGAGAGACGAAGCGGCGTCACTTTTTTCTTGTCTTTTATGGCCCAATTAGGTAGGTATCCTTACACTTTCTGGTCATACATATTTACGAACACAATGCTGATTAACAGGCATTAAATTTCGGGTGATTTACATTTATTAGAGTAAACAGCGCAGAGTTTAGGATACACGACGAGCAGTTATCTCTCGTGGGTAATAAATGTATAATAATACTAATATTTCGCTCATCCATCCATCCAGGTGAGTAAACCCGTCGGGTTTGGTTAATCTTTACCAATAATGAAATAAAAAGGGCGGCCGCTGCTTTGGCCTTATTTTCATCTTCCTTCTCAAAGTACAAACAAATATTAAATGTTGTATGTATAAATATCATCACAATCCCTTCACTAAATATTTTCCGACGTCGAGTAAAGTAAAACTTATTGAATCATTTCACCATTCTGCACACACAGTAAATGTGAGATGAATCCAAAATCACAACAACATTGTACAGATACACATACACACATTATGAAAACATGAAAGTATGGTGTACCCCTATTATTATTATGCTATTATTACTATTATCCATCCTGACTGGATATCTAGCTGGCCGCCGACCCAGGAGAAGAACACAATAAATCCAAACAAATCAGCATCACGAGAAATCATCAAAGGGCTCCATTTCACATTTCACTAGACTAAACTGTACTTACGCAGAATGATTATCTTACCTGAACGACGGAAGGGATAGACCGACCGACATGAATGATGTTCATCCGACCATACGGTCGGATGAACCCCACAAATCAACAACCCATCCAAAAAGTGACACATATTATTATTACCATTTCAAATAAATGTCAAATCGGACAAAGGCCCGGTCCGATATGCATAATGGGATGCATAAATAAATAAATGTAAGGCCTATGTACACATATTATTTACTTTTCAAAACTTACTACTGGGTGTCTTCTTTGTGCTAATAATAATATAATAATTCTAATAATGTGGTGACCTCGGGTCAAGCCAGAGCAGATATGAAAGTAAGAAAAATTGGGGTATTTTGAGACTATCTCAACCTTTTCCTTCTCCCATATTTATTCAGTTTTGTTGAAGTAAACTTTTTTTAACAGATCATCATCATCATGATCCCTATTATGATTTCGTATCTTATCATCGGAGCAGTTGGTGTACATATTGCCGTCGTGTTGGTGTTGGTTAAGCCCCAAAAAAACGTTAGTTATCCATCCGAAGAGAACAAGATCAAAGGGGAGTGAGAGATAAAGGAAAGAAGGCAGAGATACATACACTGTGCTGCACTTTGTATGTATCTGAGGGTGAGGAATTCCAATAATAAAAGTAGCCAAGTTTACATAATACGTTGCAAATATTTTAAACAAGACTTATTTCAACAGAATAACATATGCCACATGAAATCAAATCTTAAACCAGGCAACAAACACCCGTTAGTTTTAGTGAGCTTTGATTTGATCTATTATGTGTGCATGCATGTGCTACTAACTAAAACTATGCATACTCTACATAAAAATATACAAAAATAAATTATCTCACGGTCTCTTCTTATTCTTCTTTAAGTCATGTCACGATGTACAAACAGTGTGTAAAGAGAACGACACAGATTTATTTTCGTGAATTTAAGTAACGATTCATTTAATTTCATGATTGCATTTTTATTTCGTTCTCTTATCTTCTTCTGTACAACATTTCTAAGTATCTACAAAGTATTTATTATTAGTTGGGGAATACATATTTCACAATAAGTAAAACTAAAAGTATTCCATTCGCTGATCCACCTCCGATTGTTTCGCAATACACACATACATAAGTAATTGGAATAAAAAATATGGAGATAAATTAATTAATTAAGGACATTAATTAATTAATTAAAAAGTATCACAATAACATGCGTCACGACGAATAAACAAGTATTAATTATCATTAACCATTTCATCAATTATGACTAAAACTGCTTCTTCTTATTGCTATCACTCCCTCCACGAGCCCCCATCGCCCACGGGGAGAAATGCTGACGAGGAATTGTTAATATTTGTAAGGTTACTACTCGACCTTTTCCCTCTGTTACCACCCCCACTGCCCCCAATTGTTGTCAAATTACGCAACAATTTCTCCCTCTCCTTACCATTTCGTGTGGCAGATTCATTATTTCCACCACTCCCACAATTTCCAATAAGCCTCTCAATGGAGAAACCCGCCTTGAGATTGGTTTCATAACTTATTTTTCTTCGTCGACTTTCCCTCTCGATTTCATCCTCTTCGTCCTCCTGCTCCTCGTCACTGATAACCGTGGTGATAACGTCGTCTCGGGTGTTGTGGTCGTGCTGCTGCTGCTGTAAGGATAATGACGTCGGTGGGGGTTGTGGTGGGGGTGAGACTTGAAGCGGAAATGGTGGGAGTAGTCTTCTCAGGGTGTCCGGTGAGGGGAAAAGGGCTGGTCGAGAAGCTGATGTGGGGGGAAATTGGTGCAAAAAGGGGAACAAATTTACCTCCAGGAGGGACGATGGTGGAGGATTTGTCGAAAAGGGGGAAGGATTGGCGGAAAAGAAAGCTGGATGTTGGAAATTTCCGCTATTTCCACCTCCGCCTTGTTGTTGTTGCTGTTGCTGCTGTTGTTGATGGAATAGTGCAGCGGCTGTGAAGAAGTCGGCCATTGGGTGGTGAGGGTGCATGTTGTGGGGGTGGTGGGGAGAGTGGTGGTGATGATGGTGGTGATGACTTAAATGAGACATGGGACGTTTGTACCGTTTCCGCCGGCGGAGGAAGGACCCATTGTCAAACCTTGGGGAATAAGTGGATGAGTTAATATGTGTAAATGTATCTATATGCATATGTTGTGTATGTTGGGTGTGGTTGAGATGGGACTCACATATCTTCCGCCATGGGGTCCAATGTCCAGTAATTTCCTTTCCCAGGATTACCAGGTTCGCGTGGAATCTGGTTAGACACATACACACATGATTAATGCTATACAATATATTCAAATGAAGCTCGCTAACGTATGGATTGAATTTAAAGATAAGGTAACCCTACGAGTGGCAGAAAACGTCATACCCAAGGGAAACAAGGGTTGTGTTTTAAATGCAGAGGAATTTTTGATGCATTGATCGGTTACATATTTAGAAAAAATGCAGCCAATCCCCAATTAATTAAGAGACAAACAACTAATTATAAAAATCTTTGCTGATCATTAAAAACGTGAAACATGAAACGCCAGCAGGCAATATCAGCTGCTAACGTCCCTTGACATCATTTCTCAAAGAGAAAGTCTTGAGTCGCAAGACTTCTATGCGACTCAAGACTTTCTCTCGTGATATTGCTCGTAACATTACTTTTGACATTGCACATAGATTTATGCTGCATGAATTGGGTGAAAGTATGAACTTTTACAAAAAGAGAAAGCTGTGACGCAATATCCAATCTAGCCTAAGTCCAAAATACTACTAAACTATGAAATATTCGAGGATTGTGGGAGTGGGTACTGGGTAACTACCACATATTCGTTCAAAATTAATGTGCAGTAAAAACCTGAAACGCTGTAAATGGCAATCAGTAACTTGTGCGATTTGACTTTTTGCAAAATTTTAAGGGCTTTACTCCATATTAATTTTTACTCGCAACGGTATGCATGTCCATATGTATCTTAATCTTACACGGTAAATAAAATCACGTAAAACTACTTACTTTTATAAAACAGTCGTTGAGACTACATAGGGAGCGTTCAGAAATAAATCAAATTAAAATTATATGCAAACTATAAAATTGTATGTTTCATAATTATACAATTTCTGACCTTAAATTGTGGCGAATACTATTTTGCCAAGCTGGAAACTTTTCTCTGAAAAATGGACAATAAAAAATCAATAAACATACCGTCGAAATGAGATCATGAGTAAATTTAATCGAAATTATGCATCATATAATCACTAATAAATATTTCGTTGAGTTATGCAAACACTAAAGTTTTATTTGCCAAAATATTATCCAAGACTTGATTGCATATTATTATGTAATATTACTAAAAAAGCGGCATCATATCATAATAGTGAATTGGACGAGAGATTAGCATATTCGACAGATTATTGTATCGCTAAATCCGTCCACCCAATTAATGACACAGAATTAAGTAACTTGTCCAAATGCACTCACCTGTAGTATGGGAATCTGTTGATGATAAACTCGCAAATGCCAGAAAGTGTCAATTTCTTGTGGGGACTTTGTAGTATACTCATCGTGATCAAAGCTATGTACGAATAGGCTGGCTGTGGAAAGAAATAAAAATACAAAAATTAGTACCATCCAGATTATATTGCATCATTAAGTTAAGGGGACACAAGTGGGGTACTTCATTATCCCTGCTCACTTTCCCCGATTTTTTTCCATATTTGAGACCATTATGGACAAAGATCTTAAAAATTTCGAGTGACCTTACCCGAAGGGGGCAAGTGTTGGGAAGGTGACTATGATTTTTATATGCAAACGACCAATACTCCAAAAATGTATCAACTTGAAATTTTGAATGAACATGCAACGCCAGTAAAAAAAAAAGCTACATAAATAATTTTTAGATTATACCTTTGCATGTGTCGAACCCTTTCCCCCTTTTGCCCCCGAGGTGGCCATCCCACTTCCCCCTTCGCCACCTACACCCTCACTTCCATCACCTTTAAGGGTCACCTCGTGACCTCCTCCTCCCAAACCCCTCTCCAATTCTAACATTTCTCTCAAATCGGCCCCATCCCCGTCACATTCGTCATGTCGTCTGTCTTGATGATGATGATGGTGGTGGTTGTGATTATGGGGTCGACTGCTCGTCGTCGTCATCATCATCATATCATCCTCCGACCCAGAGTCGACATTTACATCCGAATCGGAATCTAGTATCTCACTCGACAGCATACTTTTTGCTGAGGTTGTTGTATTGGTATTATTATTATTATTGTTATTAATTGTGGGTCGCAAGTCGAGCGGAGAACTTGTGGCAGAGTACATCATCATGATTTGATTATTGTGACGGTGTCACACCACTTTCACTTTTTTATTAAACCACACCACTATTAATTACCTTCTCGAGTCTCAACTTGCCTCCACTTTCACTTGGAGTGTTAATTCTCCACCAAAATCCGTAACACACGTACAAATCCTCTTGTTATCTAATTTAGATACACCACCCACTACTCCAATAATGTATCCGTCCTGCTTCACTGCTCGCACGGTACTGATAGCATTTCATTACTTTGTTTATGATCCATACCCTAAATCCGTCCGTATACGTAACGTGGGTGTTATGTAGTGGTACAAAATTTATGTATTATTCTTCTTCCTGGAACTGGGGTGTTATCTTCTCGCGTTGTGTCGGCGCAGCAGTCTGATTTTTTTAGATTTGATAACTTAACCGTCTTCCCTCTGGATAAGAGTTTGGTTAGTGACTGCATGGTCCTCTACAATTATCCTGCGTCCTTCTTTTGTTATTTTGAGTCTCTCGAAATCATGCCAAAAGTACCAAACCACCAAAAACGGTGTAACATTTCGTCCTATCCGATTGGATAAGAGATTGTCGGGAGGGCGGCGTTTCACCGGAAACCCTGCGCCTCGTCCCCTCCCCTCGAAAGAGTCGGTGGGTCGGTTGTTGTTCAAGAAGACCAAGCTTCGTATGGAAACTAAAAGTTATGCAGGCTTTTCTAAATATGTACATGCCGCTGTTTGAGAGAGGGCTCGAATGGCTTTACAACACTTCCGTCTGTCTCTCTTTTGTGGTTTGGTTTCGTGAATTGGATTGGATAAAAGATGACAAGTGATTAGTGAGTTTGCAAGTACGCCTCATTTGTCTTTCATGTCAAGGGAGAGACATCAACGCGCTCGAATGTGTGTAACGGATTCAGAGATCAAATCAGATTATGTAGATTTGAGAGGAGGAAATCCTTCTGAATTTATGATGATGCATATGTATCAAGAAGCTGTATTTATTGGTTTAATTAATTAAGCAATTTAATTATAGATGTGGCTTAAATATTGGAGCATTTTTTTAATTTATAGATATAATCAATCATAAAAGGACTATTTCTAATCGCACTTTCTTCTGGTTCGCCTAACAAATACTAGTTTTAGGTGAGATTAAAGCGCAATAATATGTGTGCGAGGCGCGGATGCGGTAAATTCAAAATGTTCACATACAACATCACGCAGATACAAAATCTACATGAAACCGGAACTGTGCGAGGTGTTTCATGGCCGTGTGTGGTGACTGGTCATGCACGTGTGCCTTTCTCCGAAGGCTCAATAAAATGACAAATTGTACATGCATGCATGGACCTACATATAAAATATCAACAATACAATGTAACCCTTCATTTCATTTCATTTCATCATCACTCCCTGCAGGGTTTCCTTCCTCATTCGCTCGTGATGATCTCTAATACCGTATCGTTTGCATGGATTTTACAATGATATCCATAACGTGATCATCATCATCATCATTTGACCCCAACAGCAGTTGACCAGCAGACAAATCATTAATTTGTCTCATAAATTAAATCATTACGCATCCATATCTTAATACATTTAGATACAATTTGTCTCCCAATGCGATTCTTTTTCCGTGTAGTAAATAGAATGATTTATTTATCTCGGTTCGTAAATTCGATCCAATCTCGTACAATTTGATTCTTCCGACAAGGAATTGATGACTGGTGGTGGAGAAATAAATAGGTATGGATCCTTCCATCTCCTCCCGAATTACTCGTCAAGTTGGAGAAAGTCTTGGGGAAAAAGAGAGAAAATAAGTCTACTCTAGAAAAGAATCTCTTTCTTTTTTTGTTCCTTGATTAAATTACGCCATAAAAACCCGTGACATTTATAAAGGATCATTTAGGCGTGGATAAGTCAATAGTTGGTGGTGAGTGAGAAATCTGGCTGTAAAAGTTGGCAGAAATCCACTCCACTCCATCTCCAGTCTTTCTTCTTTTGTATAAACCGTAAATGGATAAAGTGTTGGAGAGAGAGATACATAGAAATCAGAGAATCCATCCAACTTGTACATAAAAGGAGCACTTGAAATCTTGAATAGAGAAATAAGAATTTGTATCCATCCGGACAATAGTATCATACTCACTTATTCACACTCCCCTCCGACCGATGTCATCAACGACGACAATCACGAGATAGGACAATTTTGTCTATTTTGTCGAGAATAAAATCACGTTTAACTCCAAACTCTAGAGAAGCGGAAAGTTGATTACAGGAGTAAATTGTCTGTCTGTCTGTCCTTCTGGCAAAGCAAATTGGATTTTGTCAACAACATCTCTCCCTTCTCGAAATCTTGGTCTTCTTCTCTCTCCATTCCCAGAGAGAGAGAAAGACATCAAATTGTTATTCGACTCTACAAAAGTTTTCTACTATTCCAAGATCCTCTTTTCATCTCAAGTTTACCCCGATCCCAGTAAATATTTGCATTTTGAAGCTTGCAAGGAATGTGACAACAATATATATTTTATGCAATCCGGTCGGAAAATTTCACGCCTTCTGCCCACCAAACTTTCTCTCACGTATTTTATGCATGCATGTGTACGAGTGAGAGAGAAATTCATTATCATCATCAACCAACACTTGGTACGTGTCTGTGTAAGCAGAAAGGACGTCTAAAATGAAATAAATTCCTGACGCGTTATATCGACGACGGGATATGGCTGGGACCATTATACGAGGCAAGTTTTCTCTTTTAATGAAAAATATTATTTCATGGCCGTGTTCTTCTCTCGGAATCATCGCAAGCAGTGGGTCTATGTGTTTAGGATATCGTAGTGGATGCAGAATACACAACAATACAATACCCGCATTCCTCGACCAGATTCCAGCCCCGTTAAGCCATATTATTCGAGGCAGAGAGAGACTCAATAAAATAAAATAAATGTCACTCTTCTCTCTGACTGATCTCTCGGATTCATGGCAAAAATTGCGAGCAACAGAGCATAAATACACATCAGCGAGAGAGACCTTGTTTGTCAACAGATTAAAAATCATACTGGATTCGATCCCTTTAAAAGTGAAATGTAAAAAATATATATGCGTTCTTTCTTTCTGGTGAAGTGGATTTTATGGTGGTGGTGAGCGTTTCTAAATAACGGGATAATTTTCATCTTCCATTCTTTCCGAGTGAATCGAATTGTGAGAGATTCATTAAATATTGATTCAGCTTCTGAAAAATTTACGATAGTCAGCAGCATTCAAAAACCACTTGCACTTGTCGAGAAAAATGAATGCGGAACAATCGACTCACTCACAGTCGAATCGTCTCATATTCCCATCCCAAACCTAATTGCATCGGTCTCAACAACTTGACAATGCAATGTACTTACTTGAGTGAATGAGTGAGAGAGAGAAGAAACAGCCAAATCACATTATTTCCAAACAAGTCAACTAAAAAGTAAAATATATCCTTTCACATAGTTGTATTATACTGAAATGTATGTAGATATCTATAACATGTAAGTACTTATATGTACTGATTTTTGGACAGGGGAACCCCTTCGCACTTCCGCTCTTCTTCTCCTCGTCAAGAAAAAGGAAATCTAAATCCATGAATTGACGACATTGACAAATAATGTCGTTTGTCGTCCCTTCTTGGAATCTTTTGTGGTTTAGGGTTTGATTTGATTTTGGTCATACTTTGTCTAATTTGTTGGTATCTCTTTCTCATGTTTGACTGGATTATTGCATAAGTCTCACCCCCACCACCACCCTCACGACAATAATCATTATCGGCCTACCGAATTGGCGACGGATGGACAGTATTTACTAGTAGGAGTCCCACACTAATGAAATGATACTCTCGTCATCCGGGCAGCAATAAAGATCACTTTTATTGCTGGCATATATACAGAGGACACAAAATAATACAATTGTCACACCGCACACCCGCCCCAAACAAATTGCCATGAAGCCAAAATCAATTTGCTCACACACTCATCACTACTTCACCATTTACCACTCACTCCTCTCACTTATTTCAAAAACGGTCCCGATGGTCGTCCAAACAGCCAGCCAGCCAGCCAGAGGATTATACGAGTTTTGGGTCTTGATTACTTCTCACATGTGGCTAATCCCTATTCATGGCTTTTGCTGTGGATACGGCTTAAATAAAATGTCGACCCTGTTGTGTGTGTATCTATGTATCTATACATACGCGTCCTTTATTGGGCATTGTTGGGCTCCGCTCAATTAAAGGAACCCCAAACAACTTACACACTAAACTAAACTATATAAGCGCATTTATTTATTTCGTCTCCTTGATCCTTCCTTACTCGATGAAATCCTGATGATATGCTCGTTTTAACACAAACATCACATCAATTCATTCAATGAAATTCATGGGTTCATTTTATTATTTATTCTCTCCATTTATTCTAAAGAGATCGGCGGAGAGTAAAATATAAGGAAAAGTTGTTCTTCTTCTTTTCTCTGATGAATGAAGATCACACAGCATCCCTTTTTCCAACCAACTAAACATAATCCATACCGCATTTCTATGTACTTGTAAAAATTACTAAATATTACTTTACGTACGAGACGAGGTGACGCTTACTTTACTTACTTAATAACAACACTATGAATGAAGCTGGTTCTTGTATTTCGCTTAATATGTTGTTCTTGGTCTTGTTCCTCACACCAAGCGCCCCGCAGTCTGGGAAGAAAGAAAATAAAGTTTTAAGAAAATGTTCGACTTTTCAAATGTTTGTCCAGCCTGGTGGATGTGTACGTACGTTTTCTGCAGGATGGATATGGGATAGCTCGTCTTACAACATTTTACCACTCCTCCTCCTCATCATCATCTTCTTTCTCAGCCTGGAAACACTTTATACTTTTTCCGGCAAGAAAGAATTTGAGCCTGATTAGGCACCTCATTTAACAACATCGGCAGGAACATCACACACAAACCAACGAAAAGAACAGACGACGAGGACGACCCAACCAGCAGAATCTCATCTCATCTTCTCATTTCGTCGTCGTCGTGATGTTCATGTGTATGTATGCCGACTAAATAATTCTTTAACTTGGTAGATACACAAAATCTGCGCAAATGTTGTCCGCGATGATGAATGAGGGCTCGAAGTAAACAGTTTTCCTAGCACTTGGGCCAAACTAAACGGAGAAAAGCTCTTTCTGGCAACCTCATCAGTTTCTTCTTGCAAGTAAATCCTTCCTCTCTGATTTATCGACACAGTTGTCCAACCATGTTTTCTTTACTACACTCTAATCGCTTCAAAACACAACTTGTCTCTCGTACCAGGAGATGAAGACATGCTCAGCGTGATGGCACCCATCCCAGTCCTATGCGAGGAGATCATTCTGTGCAAAAATGTTTCCACCATCGTCATCATTATTACACAGATAATATGTAGCTCTTGTTGACTTAATGATATTCTTGGTCGTCGTTTTCGTCGACAAGTTTGTTGTAACAGATAGCAATCGTCAATCTCAGGAAAATCTCGTGCAAAGTTTGGTTTATGCATTTCGATTGGATTTAGGAGAGGAGGAGTTTCGAAAGGGGAGTGTTTTTATCCTCTCCTCACCGTTTGTTATTCTTTCCAATCCTGCCCCAATCTCGGCTATCTGGCTAAAACCAACCCTCCGTTCGTCAACATTTCTCTATAAAACAACCATGATTTCATTTTCATGATTTGTTTGTCGACATGTTTTCGAGTGCTTTGTATGTCGATCTGTCCGTCGTCCGGGTGGATCGAGTTGTTTAGTTTAACTAACTAAATTGATCATCATCAGCTTAATCACAAACAATGTAGAGTAAATATTCTCATCATCCTCTCATTAGACACGCACTCGTGAGTTGAATTGAATCCATACATACACTTCATGGCACGCATAGGGAATCTCGCCATCAATCAAGTATTCAAATTCGGGCTCACTCATTTTTGATCCGGATCGGGCATTTGATAAGTAGACGTGCTAAATAGGACCCTTCTTACGTATATGTACTTTGGGTCGAGTCTCCCCCTGGACCACCAACCACTATTATGCACTGCGTGACGTACTTTTTGAGCGAGCAGTTGGCTGAGGGCACTCGGATTTTGAGAATACCCACGAAATACACCACTTGATCATCTGCTAGTAAAAACTATACAGAAAAACCACCCCCATTCATCCCATGATGGTGATGACCCCGCTGAGCCCTTGCCCAAATATTGGATAAGTAAATCTATTCATATTTAGAAGGAAGCCTTTATTATTACATTCATTTACTTAACAGAGGACAACACTCTTTCATAAATACGCTCAAATTCCAAACCACCAAAAGAAGAACGGCCACTACTGTTTGAGTTTCCGCTTTTAAATTCTAAAAATTAAAACTCTCTACCCAGAGAACAACAACGCTCTTGCGAAACCAAAAACAAAGAGGATTCTATACTTTCTAAAACTCTACACATTTCAGGATTTCTTAAACATCATCATCAGTATAACATGCTGATTACATTTTCTAACCGAATCCTTGTGCCAAGCCAGCCCAATAAAGGAGGAAGTGTGCACATCTAAAAATGTACTTCTCCTTCTTATTGTCTCATCATTGGTACAAATAAATGCACAAAATGTGAAGAGACAGAGCCGCTCAAGTACTCAATTTACTGGTTGGAAAGTCAACATAAGAAGATCGACGCACAATTTCGGAGAAGAATAAAATGAAAGCAGCAGTCTTTCCATGTAAATGTATTTATTTGTCATTTCGTGTTTGCATTTGCCGAGTAATTTTCCTTTGTATCTACGTTCTTCTCTCTCTCAAGTGGGAGTGGCAGCCTGTCTTTAATTCCTTGTCGAGCAATAATTGTACAGACGTGTGTATATATGCTTGCTTGGCCTGTGGGGCAGAGAAGAGAACATCAAAAGATACTCGGGAGCACAATATTGACTCACAACTATTCCAATTCCGATCACAAGTTTACACACACTTTCACTCGGGAGGGTGCACGTTTTGTGGGGAAATGTGACCCCGTACTTGAATCCGTGGGATGTCTCAACGCCATCCGAGATGGATCCCTCCTCCACCAAAGCAATAAAACATTTGTTTGGCGACATCCCTCCCGGCGATGGATGTAGGCACTGGAATCACGACTCAACACCCAGCAGTCTCACACTCCTTGTGCCCGGATATTAAGTCCCAGGAATAGGAGCGACATGTCCAAGCGGGTGAATGGTGGAGAATTTATTTATTATATTCGCTTTCTCTCTCTAGGATATTCCTTCATGGGAAAGTTGTGGCCGTCACATGGGCCTGCTCTCAGCAGACAAATGTCGTCGGGAACAACACAACTTGTCCATTAAATAAAAGTAAAACTTTCTCCTACACTTTGTCGTCGGTCTGTCCAAAAGTGTACGTTTTATCAACTCGCCCCCAAAGTTATTATGCAACACGGAGTGTTACATATTATGGAGAAACCATGCAAAAGAAGAATGTAATAAAATTTTGCAAAGTGTTAAGCACAACAATGGTGGCAGTCAAGTGGTGATGATGGTGGTGGGGAATATGGTATTGAAATTAATCTTGAAAGAGTGGAAAAAGATGCCACCAACCTCTTGACTCCATCCATTTCATTGTTGATGTCATTCACATTATTATCCGTACGATGTGTGTATGGGGGGTCAGTGGCGCGTGCATTATTGCCAATTGGTGAAACCAGGACAAAGGAAGAGGTGCTACTACTGGATCCTTTCTCGTCCATGCATGCACTCAATCACTGCATTCCAAAACGGATCACGCCTCGTTGTTGTCTGGTACTTTTATTCTTCGATGGGGCAGCAGATGAGGAGGAGAAGAGGAACGTGTGCATGTGCATGTAATATGCAGATGTACATATGCATGTGAGACGAGAACATTCCAAACTTATTTTTTATGGGGGGAGGATAAAAGAGGAGGACACCGAGCGAGTGGATGAAATCGACTTCAAACACCAAACATCACACGATCATATCAATCATCACACCATCTCGATGATGAGACAGACGCACAATAAATGTGGAGTCAGATACAGATCTGCGTAGTGTTGGAAGAGTATGATATACTAGAATATTTTATTTCGTTTTGAGCAAACCCCTCAGTAGCAAGACATGCATATTTTAATGTTTTTATCATTAACTATGTGTGGTGTTTTAATCTATTCTATGGTATATATTTTGTTTGCTCACTAATTTCTTCTTAGTTCAGTTAAAGGGAGGTACAAGTCTATAAAGTCGTCATATTATTGTTAATGAATTATTTACCACCAAACTATATCAATTCATGAACGATATACAATCAGGTACAGGTGTACGTACACGCATGAAAAGGAAGCCAGAAGTAAATCAGTGTCTTTAAATTCACAACTACTTAAATATTATTGTATAAGGAAGTATCATTAAGTGATCCAACACTGGCACTGTGATTTATTATTATGACGTTGAGACTGTTCTCTATTCCAAGTGGGAAAGTCTCCTGGTCGAGCACACATAAACAAATGGGTTATTCTGACTTTTTATTGAGGTATTTTCACGACCTCGTCATCATGTCTAACAGGATGAGCAGAACTACTACTACCACCGCCACCAGCCCCTTGTTGATCGATCTTCTTAAAGTAGTTGACCACAAATTTTTCAACATGCTCGCGATCTGTAAGTATGAAGAAATGACCATCAATCCTTCAAAAATTAACAAGGATTATTATTGTTTTATACCTTTGAGCTTCTTCTCACACGCTTGGTGGGTCATATCTCTCGCCAATATTTTAAATGCATCTTTCCCACCCCCAGTGTTTGGAAACTTTCCGGCACGGTAAAATGGCATCAAACAATTCACGATGAGTTCTCCCATTTCCGTCTTCCCGATTTCAGTACTGTCCGCCGTGGCTGCTTTCACCTTTGCAGGTGAGGGCGTGTGGTCCTTATTCCCTCTAATCTTCCCACTGCGAAGGGAAGACGATGGCGGTTTTTGAGGCGATTTGTGAGGTGAAAATGTATTCTTGGAGACGGATGAACTTGTGCTGGTAGTGCTAGTAGTCGACTTGTTGTTGGCGCCGCTATTACTGCCACTTTCGCTACTCGACTTTTTCGGATGTTGTGCTGATGAAGGTACTGGCGCGGCCGGAACTGAAGGCGACAATGCTTTATTATTATGGCTGCCAAAGAGATCACTAATGAGTCGCTGTTTTCCAGGTTTGTCCTTGCTGCTGCTGCTATTTTTACTCCCATTTCCTCCTCGTGACGATTGACTAGAGTATTCCCGAGCCAATTTCTTTTTAATTTCACCACCACCCCCACTACCCTCGTCACGGCCCCTTTTCCTCCCTATGGATGATGATGATCCACGTTCCCCGCCTTTTGAAATGTCCCCACTACTATAACTTTTCTTCGACGAAGAGAATGAAAATAACATTTCCTTGGCACTTTTGAATCCTGTTTGCTCTGGTGGTGGTACTGGAGCTGGAACTGGTTTCGGTTCTAGATCATCATCCCCACAATCCATATAAATGTCAATAACTTTCTCAGGATCACCACTATTATCAGTGCAACCAGCAGTCGGCGAATTAACGTTTCTTTTTGAAAATTTTTCTTCTTCACCGGATGAATCCAAGATTTCTATGATATCTTCCTCTGCCTTTTTCTTATCCAGCTCCACCTTCTTTTTGTCTTCTTCTCCGTATTCTCTATTAAAAAAGTCACTTAATTTCTTCTGCCCAATAGTACTATCTTGTTTCAGGCTAAAACTAAATTTCCTTTGTGGTGGGGTCGGGGTTGCAGTTGGGTAATCATACTCAACAGCATGAATATCTAAACTGTCGTTAAATATGGAGGACGAGTTGAGACTGACATTAAGAATATTGACTGGGTGTGGTGGTGCTAATAATTCTGATCCGTTACTCTTCGCGGTAACCCTCTTGTTTTTACTTGTATTATCCTCGTGTTCCTCCCTCTTCGGTTCGACTACTAGTTGAGAAGCCTTGGTAAATCCACCAAAATTTGAGCGTGTCTCATTTACAGGAGCAGAAAAGGTACTTCCAGGTACATAGTTCTTAATAGCCTCAGTCTCCTCAACATTTTTAGTATCATTCTTGATTCCTTGATTCTGGAGAAATAAACCAAAAAAATATTTAAATATTACACCAAAAGTTGAGATGCTAATTCGAATAAATAGGGTAAAAATATTATATAATAAAAAAGCAAAACAAGCAAGTTCCACTCACAGCAGCTGCCACCCTCTGCCGATACAAAGACATGACTGTATTTGCCGAAAATATTTTATACTCGAGCTCCACCCCAGCCCCCAAAATGTCCTTTTTACTTAGTCGTCCCCCACAAATTTTTGCATTATTGCTCTCCAACGACTCCATTAGCATGTTTAGGTAACTTTCTCTCACGGCTATACTCAACCCACGGATTTTTGTTGTTGTCGCCGAGGGTGCTTTGACTCTAGCGTTGTTAATTAGTTGACGATCTAGTATTGATGAGGCGGTGACAATTCCTTCTCCCCCGCCACTACTGCCCCCATTTCTTAGAGCAAACTGTTTCTTAATGACCGATTCTAGCTGACTCCTCGCTTTTTTCTCTAACCCACTTTCGCCCGAGTCGGCTGACTCACTATCCCGTTTTGCTCCAACCCTCCCACCCCCATATAAATCCTCATCAATCCCGCTCACATTTAGGGATGAAATGGTCGCCCTTTGGCGTAAAACGTCCTGTCACACACACGACAAAAAATCAGCAAGCAGAATCAAAACCAACCACACCCCTCTCTATTTATACTCTTTGAATCCTCACCTGAAACGAAAATGCCTGCACCGCTACCTCTAATCCTTTCGGATCGACGCAATGGTCACACATGGCGCCGCATCCGTCAACTAGCTTTTCCTCATCACCAAAGTATCCTGCAAAGTAAGAGTGTCGACACGAGGTCGAACCCTCGCAATATTTCACCATGGCAGAGAAAGAGTCGAGGAGGGATTTCGCTTGTTCTTCCTTTTCCTTTCCTTTTGCGCGGAGTTCACCGGCCTCCTTAGATAGAAGAAAGGTCAACGCGTCTCGCTCGCCTTTCGAATGGTAGAGGCGGCAGAAGGCCTTCTTTCCGTCACGACCACCTCGTCCAGATTCCTGATAATATGCAGGGACGCTTTGAGACATGGACCAATGGGCGATGAACCTGGAAATTAGATAAGAAAATAAATATGCAAGCGATTAAATTAAAATGCTAATAAATAAAGTAACTCACCGAACGGATGCCTTGTCCACTCCCATGCCGAAAGATATTGTGGCAACAATCACAGGGGTCACGCCGTTCATCCATTCCCCTTGTATTTTGTCGCGATCTGCGCCTTTCAGACCGCCATGATACGGCTTTGCCTTGAGTCCTCGTCTCGTAAGTATGGTTGCTATATCCTCTGTCATCTCGCGCGTCCTGCAGTAAATTATTCCACAGCCACGGTCACCCTATCACAGAAAACGATTAATGGATTTATTTATCCACTCTAATTTATTGTGTCTATTTAGTGATTAACTTCTTACGGGTTTTTCCGATTCCCAATCTTCTCCTAAACTTTCGACTGAAAAAAATAAGAAAACAGTGAGACCTATTTTAATACCAACCAATAAATCAAACTCATACCACAAAATTCTACCAAATGATCAAACGGTTCGTCAAGCAATTCTTTAAACTGCACATCGTAATGAAGATTGGACCGAAAGCAGGGGTTCTTAAAAGTTAGAGGTCGAATGAGGTTGAGTTGCTTTAAAATATCGGTCGCCACCTGGAAATTTATTCACAAATTAAGAGTTTGTGCGATAGTGAGTTAGTAAAAACTACAAAGCAGTTAATTAATTATCAGGGACCTTGGGTGCAGCAGTTGCTGTCAGTGCTACCCACGGGACGTCTCTAAACAAAGTACGCAACTCTCCAAGGCGGAGATAATCTGTTCGGAAGTCATGTCCCCATTCTGACACACAATGGGCCTCGTCCACCACAAAGTATGAAATTTTTCCATTTCGATGAAAGTTTTCGAGGTGGGTCTTATATAATCAAATAAAGATTCTAATCAATATCTATCGTTATAAGAGAATCATAAACTAGAAATTAATTTTAGATACCCTAAAATTAGGTGTGGCTGCAAGTTCCGGTGTAATGTAGAGTAGTTTCGTGGCCGGATTTGTTGTCTTTAAATCGTCCAGAATCCGTTTCCTCTCCGTCGTGGTTATTTTCGAGTTGATACTTTCTCCGCGAATGTTCAGCTTAGCTAAATGACCCAGCTGATCCTAATAATAACAAGATGACGACAAACTGTTAGAGACAGACGCCACAAACAAATGTGATAGATAATAAAATGTCTAACCTGAATTAGAGCGATAAGCGGACAAAACACGACGGCAAACTTTCTATCATGTAAAACCGCTGGAAGTTGGTATATTAAAGACTTTCCAGATCCAGTCGGCATCGAGACGTAGATGTCACGGTCAGCTAAGGAGATGACAAAAGTAATTAATTCAGAAATATCGACATCTTCTACTGCTGGCGTCCGGTTGAGTTATTTTTAACCTACATGCCAGCACGGCTTCCACAGCGCGTCGTTGTAGATCCGACCGGAACTGGACATGTTTAAAATGATTCTTTAGTTTTGTTACGAGTTGTGGAAATTTCCACGGCTCTTGTCCCCCGGAAGAAGTGGAATCCGTATTGTCGTCACCGTCATCACGTGCCTTCGATTTCTTATTTACTACACGAACCACGAGCGGCATCGAAACGAACGAGTCGACGTCAGGTCAGGTCAGGTCAGGTCAGAGAGTAGTGAAATACTATGCAGCCTCCTAACTAACTAACTGTGATCTCGCTAATTTTAATTTTTACGTCATCATTCTTAAAAAACTATGTTTTTTTTTTCTTTTTCCAAGGTTGTGCAGGCAGTTGTGCCAGTTTTACGATGGTCTCGACAAACTCGCGCTCAACTGCTGCTGCACTGCTCGATTCAACATCATGATAACAAAAACTCCAGCTGCGACAGAAATGACACCAAGTTAGTGAAATCGATTAATGATTGACCGATAAGGTCATGTCGCAAGACTACGAGGATAAGATGCAGCAGGTGAATGATCGTCTCCTCGCTTCCTGCGATGCCGCCCTGGTAAGAATAATAAAGAACGCATTTATTTTATTTTACAAAATCATGTGTAAAAGATTACTTAATGTAATTTCCATTAGGCCCGTGGTCTTTCGCCGAAAAGAATACAACGTACCCTTCACCAAGTTGCCGCCGAGGGGATTTCCTCCCCCACGACACCACCACCTTCGAGAAGTAGAGTCATCTTGTACACTATTTCAATCCTCATCGTCGCCCCCGTCGTTGCTTCTCTAGTGGTGGACATTTTACTAAATTGTAGTAAAATCCTGTCATCCTTCCATTCTCGGAGATGCCTTTTACCTTCACACCCACTCCTCATGGAGATGGTTAGACCCGTCGCACCGTGCAACTTTTGCGCTAATCAAGGTAAAACTATAGATTTGCATTCAAATCGATATTAACTAGTCTTATGATTTTTCTTCTCTATCCAGAACTGGTCGAACTATCGGAACCTCCGAATGCATCGTGGTTTGGTGAATTGGCGTACCGTGGATTGCCAATTATTCTTCGTAATTACTCTGTGATGACTAAGACAACTAGTTTAGATCTCGCTACACTAACTGGTATCTTGAAAGAGGAGACCAAATTTTGGGAGGAAGATAACCAGGAAGAAGATGAGTGTCAGTTTCTTCCGTTTCGTTCGCCATTTACCTCGCTTCGTCATGCGCTGGACGTCATACCAGACATGACGGGGTGGGGAGAGCCGTGGTATATTGGGTGGTAAGTAGATTAAGAGTTAACTTAACTATCGTAAATTGTCATTATTTATTTATTTCATTTTACTTCGTACATTTCATGTAGGAGCAATTGTCATCCAGGTGTGGCAGCAAAGTTACGTTCGCTTATCCCCAGACCTGCATTCCTACCCGAAAAGTCTGAAAGTTCTGCCATTGATTGGATCTTCATCGGCTCACCTGGATTGGGGGCTGCGATGCATGTAATGGTTTTTTAAACCAAATATTAACTGTTCATATAACCAGCGTCATATAAATTCGCATATTCCAGATCGATTATGTTCGACGGCCCTCGTGGCAACTGCAATTATCTGGAGTAAAGACGTGGGAGTTACGTCCCCCTCCAGAATGCGAGACCGAATGTCCCCCTTCCATTACGTTTACAATTTATCCAGGAGATCTCTGTATGTTTATTGATAAATATCTGTATAAGTAACTACATACTAGCCAATTAATTGTCTATATATGTTTTTTTGTAGTATTTCTCGAAACTAATACCTGGTATCATCAAACCTTCGTCGAGGGGAAGGATCTCTCAATCAGTATTGGATCAGAGTACGACTGAAATGACACTAAAATTTGTAGTCTACAAATAAATTTATTTAGTGACATATTCTAAAGTCTGGAATACTGCATTTGCATTTTGCATGTCATTTACCATATTTATTTATTAATCCTTTTTAGGAAAATTGTGAAAATACAATCAATGCAAAATAAACTGGTTCAATTATTCTTATCCGTCGCGATTAATACCTGCCTCGCTTTACATATAAGTTTGCATAAAACATTAAGTTTGTTCACGGTCCAAAGTTTTGCCGTGGGCTTGTCACAAGGCTTGTGTCCGTATTTTTTAATGCAAATTGCTCATACTCGTAATATTTGTAAAACGCGTTTAACAGTTTAACAATTATATTGTTCTGCTTTAAATGCATGCAAATTATTGCAAATAAACAAAGCAACTGTGCCAAGGGGCAGATTGACTCCTCATTTATTCAAAATTAAAGTTTTAATTAACAATAGGTGACTCCTCCATGACTCCAATTTCCTGACAAATAACTGCCATTTTCGCAAAGAACTTTAGTCGGAGAAAAGGCTAAGAACTGGTGCTATATTTTAAAAGACGCATTTCCCTATAATTGCAAAATGAGAATTCTTTATAACAATTATTTTTAACGAGACTAATCCTAAGTAATCTTGGCGTCGCATGCAGTCTCACATTTCTCCCCTCGCCCTGCTCCCAGCATCATCACCGGCACAACAACGAATCGTGTGAAGCAAGAGACAAGAGACGGGAGAGAATTTCACGACAACACGCAGCTAATTGTTAACTAAAAATTATTTATCTGTTGCAATATGTCGTAATTATTCTTATCGTCATCCTGATAACCCAGTAACCGTGACCTACTCGACTCGGTAACCCCGACTAGTCGACGTCTTGTCAAAATTGTGTCATAATTATCTTAATATAGGTGGGCTAATTTTGCTAATTTGTCTTTCCATTCAATTGGTCTTCTTTCGTCCCATATTCTTATTTTTGTTATAATTGTACTGAATAAATGTCGCACAGGTTACCAACCACCACCTTCTTTTGACTGGACATTGTACTATGCGACATGACTCGAAAGAAGACAAAAAGTAAAGCTGGCGGCGACACTGCGGCGTCCTCCTCTTCTCCTTCTTCCGGTTCTGGTCCTACGAGCAGTGTCGCGACTTCGTCATCTTCCGGTTCTTCAGACGATACAGAGCATCACCCAGAAGATGAATACATTGTCCCACAAATTGTTAAAGTCGTCTCTCTTGCGGATCATCAAAATTGCTACAACAATCAGAATCTATACTCCAATGGGGGTAGTAGCAGCAGTAGCAGAGGCGGTATGAACTACTAAATCTTGTTATTAAGATTATTAGTTAGTTTCGCAATTAGTTAACCATTAAATTGTCCTCAGGCGGTGTCACCTCCACCAACAACATACTTCTGGTCGACCACCCAGACAGTGGAGACCCGACCCATCCACCCCCTTCATTTCTTGACAATTGTGCTCCCGAACCAGAGAACATTCTTGGCCTCTCGTACCACGGTGATCCCGACGGTGATGATGACGATGACGATTTAAATGACGAGTTTAGCCACAAATTCGCTTCCTTCACCTTATCCACACCATGCGCTTCTTCCTCTTCTTCGGGGTTAGCTGCCTCCTCCGTATCGGATGAAAGGGTCGACTTCTTTTCTACAGTGACAGCCACGGCGCCAGGAAGATACCAACCATTTACGATTACGACGCATAGCAGCTCGATTGGGTCACCATCAAATACAATTTCGACGTCGTCGTCACCCCTAAGAAGTAAGAAATCGTATTACAAATCATTATTTACCATATACGTATATATCTAAGGAGTGAGAAACAGATAACATTTTACGTTTATTGAAGATAATCAATAGTAGCTATCTAATTGTAACATGATGTTAATCTTCAGGACCTTCCAATCCAGTTCCTCCTCCAAAAATTACGTCTACCTCTCGCATCGGTGGGGCCCGTCCTGGCGACGATTTCGACTGTGACGTCGACGACTGGGAAAATTGCTGCGGAACGGTCCCTTGTATCACGATCTGGGAAGAGTTGCGCTTCTGCGAGGGACACGACTGCAACAGTCCTGCCAACCGAAAATGCGCCCAGTGTAAAAATGTATTCTATTGCAGTCCCGAACATCACAGACTAGATTGGAAAAGGCATCGAGTTAATTGCACGCCGTTCAGGTAGTTAATTTTATAAACGGCGTTATTAATTAATTTTGTGCTAAATATTTTTTGCGTAATGCTTCTTATTTTGTATCTTGTCTATTACAGAATTCAATTCGTCGGAATGGGTGCGGCGGACGAGATGCCTGTAAGCCATTGGTCTTTTTGTTTTATAATTTTGGGAACTTACTAATCGTATCCATCGTTTGCATCCATAAGTCATGTAAATTACATGACTTAAACTGGGCCTTAATTTTTAAGTATTAGTATTTTAATAGTTAATTAGTTTTTACTGCAAAGTTCAGTGACTGGAAAAATTGTAAAACATTTATTTCTCACACGTAATTACGATAAGTAGAAATCTACTTCTAGTAAATGTATCACCTCTCCACTTATTGCTTGTGTATTAATTTCTCTGCAATTTACGTGTCACTTTCAAGGTCTCTGCTGCGGTCGCGTGTCGAAATATAGCAGCGGGTCAGGTGATATTTAACGAGAAGCCAATGCTAGGTGAGGTTATCTTATCACTTTCACTTACCTGTACTTTCACTTTCAGTTTAAGGGTAAACAATTGTATTGACTTGTTCTATCATTTTGCATAGTCTTCCCACTTGCTGACTCTCAAACCGAGAACCAACTCCGCTCCCCCCTCGACCTTCCTTGTATTCAGGTACTTACTACTAGTTTTGCGTATAAGTTATAAAGCTATTTGAACAATAATTACATTTTAGCACAAGATTTTAAGTGAGTTTATGTTAATCTTTCTATTCAGGCCCGAATTCGTGGAAAAGCGTCGGAACGCCAGTCCTTCTGCGATGCTAGTTTCCCTGCTTGTCTTGGTTGTGTTAAAATTGGGAATGAGTTAGATAATGGCGACGCGTCGACACCACATGGTTGCTCATGTTCAAATTGTGGTCTTCCCTTATGCAGCTATAATTGTCAGTTACTCATTGCACATCAAGTGGGCGAATGTGATGCGATCGCTTCAGCAAAGTTGGAGGTAAGGACACAACTTGTGAAACATGAAATGTGTTAATAACCAAGATTTGTAATACTCCAGCCCACGGAATCGACCTGGTTCCATTGTGCCCACGCATTCTACATGGATATCGAAATAATGCGTGCTCTCCAATTGGAGAAATATGACCGACCAGGATGGGAACTCTTGCTCGAACAAAGGTATGCTCTTATTCGTTAATTATTGTGAAAACATAATACTATAATAATGTTCCCGTCCATTAATTTGTATTTTAATTTAAAAATTAGGACCTACGTTCGTGTCGAACATTACAAAAATACGCCCTCTTATCACTTGTTTGCGTCAAATATGGAAACCCTAGTCCCATTTTCTGTCAAGATTTCCGGCTACAACTATGATCTCATTGGTGACGTCCATGCCATAATTAATTCACTGTCATACAGACCTAATCTTAACTGCACGTGAGTAATCATATACATTCTTCTAATATTTATGTAATTTATTTATGTATTATTAGCTGATATCTTAATTAATCAAGACTTGAATCATCTGCTCTAGATACAAACTATTGTTCTCTACGCAATCCCAATTTGCTCACGATTGTGTTCCCAACACTCTGCAATATGTGGAGGAAGAATATGGCGGAGATGGAAAAAGGATGCGACTCGTGACAAAGGCTGCCATACCGATTATGAAGGGAGAAGTTATAACGTTGGATTTTACACCGTCGCCATATCTCTCTTACCAGAGGTCAGTTAATTATTGTCTTAATTAGTCGATAAAACACAATGGAACTTAGTAACTATATTTCTCTTCAGACGCCGCCAAGTCTTGGACGACGTGCTCAACATATCCAGTTGCATGTGTCAACGATGTCAGTAAGTTTATTAAAACTTGATCGAAAAGATTAGGAAAATTGTATGTTTAGTTGGATGTTGGATCGTAGAATCCAGTAGAAAGAATAATTTATTGCGATCTAATAATAGTAAATATTAAAGGATTGATAATTATATTTCAGACATCCTTCCGTTATGAACGACCTCACAACTGAGATTAAATGCTACAGTTGTCGAATGGGAACTGTTTGTTCAGAAAATTATCCCCTTTGGAAGGAATCCGTCTGGTCGTGTCGTATTTGCCAGGAGGAAATTTCCTTCTATCGGTGAGATTACAAATATTGCTTTGTTTCATTGGCTAGTTAGAATTTGACCCGGTGTATTCTGATTTCTTTGGTATATTTTTTTGTTATGCAGAATTCAAGAAATCGAACGTGACTGCGCTTCAGAGCTCTCTTTACTTGTTACTTCAGCTAGTAATACTGGGTCAGTTCGTGAAGTGCAAGATTGGATTAGACGGAAAGGACAACTCGATCTTAATCCGAAACATCACCTCATCTTCACAGCATGGTTAGTGGAATAATTTTAAATGATTCATTATTCATAATTTTTAATATATTTTTTAACCTTCTGATTGATTTTTAGGTGCTACTGCGAGTCCCTGATCCGATCCCGCATTTCTCGCATCCGTAACCCAGATCCTGCTCATGTTTACACTGCTGAAGAAATGGAGCATTTTGACACCCTTGGGAAATACTCTGACCTCATTTTAGAACACCTGGATTCAATCCGACCAGGAATTTGGATAGATAAAGGTATGCAAAAAAATAAATGAGTGTGCAATTCTAGCGAAACTTTTTTGTATCTAATCTGTTCATTTACAGGAATCGCCCAATTCCACAAATTCTACTCAAGTTTCGCCCTCACGTCACGTCACTACCAGGTAATAACAAATAACCACATGAGACTGGATAATTAAACAGATTTTATTTTTATTGAAAATATTTTATTTATTTCCAGAATGGAACAATGTCGAAATTCGAATTCGTCAAGAATGTCATGAAAGCATTGAAGATATTGCAACAAGCGTTACAAACGCTAAGCGTGTACGAGGGATACAATTCACCCTCCGTTCTCCGCCTGACGCATGAAGTTACTTCCGTTCTGTCCTCGTTAAAAGAATACATGGCTCATTTCCTGCAATTGAGCGAGTCTGAGACGTACCCGTTACCTTCGTTAGAGAAAGTGCTGAACAGCAGGTCTCACGTTTAGAATGGTTGAGCACAGAAAATTGAAGATTTACTACTTATATGAGATTTGGCATTCTTCCTGCATTCGTATGAAGTTTAAAATTTTAATTTTTAAATATTTAGAGTAATCTCATCTCTTGAAGAGAAGGTTTTTTGAAGAATTCTAATCCAATCAGCCAAATTATAACTACAACAAATAACTTATCAATGCATTACTTATGAATTTAATTGTTAATTATTATGAGATTTCTTGGTCTTGATAATATAGCAATTGTTAGATTAGTTTAGTAAGGTAATTAGTTTGTTTAATTATTACACTTCTTGGCACTCGTCTTCTATTTTCCCGTCCCTGTTCCCACCCACTATACTGCAACAACGATTACTCTTATAAAGCTTATTTATCTCGACTGACCACCACCACGTAATTTATATATGTACTAACTTTTGAATCTATGTATGTACTTATCTATATTGTGAAATGGGGGTGAGACATAATGCAATTAAAAACAAATTGACCCATTCTAATAATATTTCTCTTCATGAATAAATTCATTCGCTCATAGAATTTTATCTAATAATTTGTAGTTCGGATTTAGCTTTCTATAAATGACACTCAAATTCATACATCCATCAGCGTGTGAAATAGAAAAGACCATCATTAATGCAAACTTATTAATCGACTTTTCTGTGGGGAGCTAAAGCAAAATATTAAGTGCAGAAGTATTGATTTAACTGTTCATCGTAATTTTAACGAATTAAATATAGAATTATGGCGCTTAAATAAACCAGGAGATCAACCATGAATTGGTATTAGAATGTTCTAAATTATGTTCTAAATTCATGAGATCAACCAATACAAAAGTTACTTAACAAGAATTGTATCGAAATTGCAATTTTATATGGTTGTTGTTGCACATTTTGTGTCCCATCTTATAAGTCTAAATAAAAATGAGTAAATACCATAATGCATGTATATCTTTGGATACGAAGTACACACATGAAAAAGTGAGACAACTTCAGAAAAGAAGTACAGTTCAGCGAGGCAAGGTGAGACTAGGATCTCATCTCATGCAGCCTGGGAGGCAAGGTGAGACGACGATTTGAGGAAAGAAGTTAACTAAAACGCAAGAAAATGAGCTATTTGTGAATTTCTGTTCTAATTCATTAAAATAATAAAATCAAAATATTTCCGTTGAAGTGCAGAAGGTGAAAGCAGGTGTATCTATCTAATTGCAATTGGACGAAACTAATCCTAAGTTGCATGCATACTATGATTATCAAAACGACGGATTTATATGTACCTATGCTTTTGATATAAGTAGATACATATTTATATGGTAGCTTAAAAAATGTGAAATTGCACGAAGCATTATATTCCAAGTAATCCCATCTTTCCAATTAAATTTCTGTGCAAAAATGCACCTGGTGAAAGTGAAGACAATTGTATACAATAAAATAAATTATATAAAATACATAGTATTTATTTATGTATTTATATTCCATTAGTAAATATATTTACACTATCGCACAAACTTCGCTTATCTTTTGGTAAGTCGTTAACTTCTTTACCGGCTCTATTTCCGGTGGTGGTGTGAACTCCTCTAAACAGATGCATTGATATAAAATTAACCTCATATTATTACTTAATAGTATTTAAATTTAAGTTAGTACGATCTCAATTTACCTTTAAATGCTGACACACACTCGGACGCCACATCTTTGTCCTTAGCATTGCAAATTTTCTTAATGTAATCAACAGGAATTGCATCTTGGGATAAGTTATCCGACAATTCGAGCATACTTTGCAACATTCCCTGTCCAAATAGGCGGCATTATTAGGACAAAATTGATTTCATGTGGTATTAGTCACTCAATGTAAGCATAAAATATGTATTATGAAATTTTGTGACTCTGTTTAGTCATAGTTTTAAGGTTCAAGTGTTGTTAATTTATTTTGTGGCAATAATCATACCAGTTTTTGCTGTATTCTTGCCCCTCTACTTCCAAAAACAACGAGCTCAGCCCTCTGCTTCTGTACCAATCCGAGATATGGGTTCGTTGCTATTGTCACTGGTTCTGGATGACTCTGAGAATTTGTGTAATTGCGATCGTTGTATTCAGATTTAAACTGGTTTCGCATCTTCTTGGGCCGTTGTCTCCCATAAAAGGTAAAAATGACCAAGTCCCTCTCCAAGCTTTCTATTAACTGATGTGTTAAGATAATCATGAAATGACATACAATTAATTTTATCGAATTTTTTAAGACCATTTTTGCATTTTCTATGTAAGTACGTCTGGTTATTTGGTTGGAATACGAATACCTTTGGAGTGACGTGCTCGATTGAAAATCTCCGTTCGTAAATATACTGAGAATTTGATGATGAATAGGACGGTTTCAAGTCCAGTTTTCCGGTTGATGTGACTGGTTCGGTATGAACTTTGTATTTGGACGTAATGTCCTGAAATAAATGGTTGATTTTAGTGGCGAAATTGTCATGTAATCGAAGAAATTATGAGCTAACCCTGAATTTGGAAGATAGTGATTCCGCAGTCCCAATTTTTAGTATAAAATGCAAAGGTTTTGCAAGAAGGTCGGAAGAATCAATGAGAAATGAGTGAACATTTTTCAATTCTTCGAAATACTCGTTACACGGAACGACTTCAACCTGTTAAATCAAACAATGGTATTAATTATGGGTTTATGTGAATGCTTAATTTATAAATAATTTAGGAATAAACCTTAATTGAACCAATAGTCTTCAGAGTCAAATAGTCGAGAATTTCAATTTCATCTTGAAATTGAATCAGGTACGCTAATGGCTTTAAGGACAGGAGACCATGACCTATTGTAACTTCCGTGTTGACAAGGTCAAGTAAGGTCGTGTCATTATGGGCGAAGGATGATGATGGCGAATTCTGTTTAAAACAGTCACAAATTCGTATCAATTTCCCTCCAATGAGACATTTTCTTATCAAATTACCACACTTCCAATCGCCGCACTGACAATTCCATCCTCCTGATTTTGTATGAAGGAATCCTTAATTTTCTCATATTTCTCTAAAAATTCATTGGTTGACAAAACAAAGGAAATATCCTCTTTGTACAGGCTTAATTGGACGGCAAATTCTCTCTGTTCGCCACAATTCTTATCAGAATTGGAAAGTCTGTCGAGATCTTGAGCTCCCGAGGAAAGTAACACTTGACGAATGTCGTGAAGAACAATAGGATCAAAACGAACGCCTCTCTCCAAGTCGTCGCACATGGCGTTGGCGTCGTCAACGAGGGGAAGAACTGTGCGAATGCTTGCCTTGAGTTTGGGTGAGACAAGGACGGATCCTGTTTTAATAATTTATATCCATAAGTAAACAATGCAGGCAAGTTACAACAATATTGCAACATGTCTCACCATTTTGGTGAGACAAATAGTTGAAAAACGACGACTTTGACGTGATCTCTTCCTCCGCGAATTGATACGTTATCTTGCTCGAGAGTGGAGACGACAACCCTTTTTCCGCCCAGGGCTCTCTGGGGTTTTGAAACAGCCAAATTTGGCAGCCTCCAAAAACGATTCTAAAACATCGAATCACAAGATTTTTTTGTATCAAAGTGAGAGATCATTAACATGAATCATTTTCCAAACCAACCTGTCATTGTGGAACAAAGGAGACTCGTAAAGTATTTGTTTTCCGTTCACTTTAATGAGACAGTCAGGTCCGGTGGGTTTGATCGTCATTTTGTTCTCTTTTGCAGTGTAGGTAAAAGTTCCATGAGTTTCACGAATTCTGAGTATTTAAAAATCAAGTTTTACATGTGGGTGTGTATGTGATATGGGAATTCGAAGTGCAGTTACTTATTTACCCTGGACCCTGGACATGGATTGTGCCATCTTTTCCCTTTGCAGATCCAAAATCTGTCGATCCTGCCGAAATGAAATGGAAAATCCTGGAGGAAAGTTGACAGTCAGGATTTAAATTGAAAATGAAGGATTTGTGTTTCTTTTCAGTTTCGAGTTTCTTGATGTTTTGTGAGTTGTCCTGTATATTTTTAAAAATGTCAAAATCATGAGACCTTCGTTTAATTTATAATTTGCATACGCTGGGTTTATCTAATTTAGCCAATTTTAGCCTCTCTTCCAAAGATTGATGCAGTATTTTAATTTCCCTTTCGTTGTCTTTTGTCTGAGATTTGACATCGTCAATCAACTGTCGCCGAAACTCTTCAGAATCCTGCGTCTTCAACCAGTTGAGTTTGTCATGCCATGAAAAAAACTCATTCTTCTCTAAATCTCCGTTTGTCAGCATCTTCTTCAAGTTGTCATTCTCCAATTTAAGTTCTCTTAAAAAAATTAAGGAATAAAATGAGTTAAAATTGCATCACAATTAAACTCGTGTTGTACGATGTACCTTATCAATTTGTTGGTCATCTCTTCGTTGATTAACGGGTGGGTTGTTAACCTTTGGAGTTTGTCGGCTACAAAATTAGGGGAGATTTAGTTAGGATTAGTTGATGTAATTCGGTAATATTTACCCAATATTAGAGAAGATAATGATGTCTCGTAACTATTTTCGGTCGGAATGCAGTGTGAAAGCTGCGAATTTCAGTATTTAAAAAATAATCTGTCATAATATGCATTAAATATTAATATTACTACTCACCACGTAAGTCTTGCTATTGCCTGACAAAGCCCGTTCGAGTAGCTTCGTCACGGTGGAATTTGTGTACGAAATGCTTGAATTATTTCCAAGGGCGGAAACCAGTTTTGTGAAGTGGTCATCGAAACTTTTAAGTGGGGGAGGAATGGTCGTGGTAGTGTTGGACGAGGGCCCTTGAGTCATTGCTGGGTTGGTCATTCTTTGTCCATGATTAGATGAGGACTTATTGGTGCTGAATTTGACGGTGGGTCCATTATCACAATTTCTGACACCACTGAATACATAGAATAATAATACTGCTAAATATGTGGTAATTTACTAAATAGCTCTATGTATAATGCATATGAGCTTTTCACCTCACTGGAAGATCATAAAACCCGACAAGTGCCGACATTGCTACTTCATCTCCTTTAGCATTCCTATATTTTTGAACTATGGACATCTCCACGATCACCGTGGTCTTGGATCTGGTGCAATTTAGGTTGAACGAGGTGGAGGAAACTGCCCGAGCCAGGTGACCTTCATCGAGACGAAGTTGAATTTCGTCAGCACTTGAAACGATTACAGATCGGAGTCCTTCAACTAAATTATTAAGTAAATTTAAATTGAGATTTTAATTCCAGTTAGATTTTAAATATTTAATTTTTTGGGGTACCATAAAACCCTCGTTTCGGATGCTCCCTAATTTTCACGACGCTCTTGTACTTCGTATTATTACCCCCGGCGAGTAAATCTCTAACTTTGTTTTCTCTGATTTCCATCATGCTCAGCTTTACTTCGGAACTAATATGTCCAATTGGTGATGATGAACCTTTCTCTTTGTCTTTGATCGTCTTAAATAGTTCGGCACCGAATAACGGGATGATTCCTTGATTCGATACAATTATAAATTTTCGAAAAATTGTATGACCGAACAGGAAAAAATGCTTTACCTTTATTTGTCCCCGTTCCAAACAAAGTCCATGATTTTCCAGATCCACTTTCTCCTATGGAGAGGAAACTGCTGTTGTAACCGAGCCATGCATTTTGTACCATTTCTTTCCCAAAATGGTCGAATATTTTTATCTTGAATGTTAAATTACTTGTTAAAAAATTATTATTTTGTGATGCTGATCAATTAACCTGATCCGCGTATCGTGACCCATTCTCATGTTTCAAGTCGGGGATAAAATGTCCATCTTGTAATTCGGCGTAACCATCAAACGACCAGTAGCAATGGGTAAAGCCAAATACTCGAATTTCTGAAGAATCGTCAGGATTAGTGATTGAAATCGTGGTGGGATCCTCAACTTGGATGAAGGAGTTTGTTACTTTTTCTGAATTTTGATTTTAAAAAATTAATATTTACAACATTTTGAATATCGAATTTGTATCTCACTCGACTGAATTTGGGGTGGTGGGCGGATCCGTACTGCAACGGAGACTGGATGCCCGTCGAATTCCAGCATTTTCAAAAGATTTAGTATATGTACTGATGAAAGTAGCAATGGACCAAAATTAGGTACAGATTCGGGAAGTAATATATCTAATTTGGAATCCCAAATGGCTAGTAATCGACATTTATTGGGCCTCTCACCTGGAGGAAGCGTCCCTATTTCCTGCAACTTGTGAAGTGTTATGTTGGTCTGATTCCTGTCCTCTTCTTGGCTGGATAAAATAAATTCGCATTTCCGCATGACACAAGGAATCATTCATTAATACAAACTGGTGCGTAGGTAACGAAGAGTAGGTCAAATCCATCCATCTTTCTTTTACCCGGTGTTCGCAACTTTCTTAAATCAATGCATTCAATCTAATCCAATCCGTTTCCTTTCTCAAAAGGAAACAACACACTCTCAAACTACGTATTTTCTTGGTATTCGATTCTACTTTTCTTTATCTACGAGACAAGACAGCATAACCAGTCAGGATGAAACTGGGTCATTCAATATCATAGAAAATACATATTTCAGCTACTTTTCGACCTGGTGACTCCATTTCGCGACTATCTTTCTACCTGTATTTTGTCCCATCTGGGGACAACGACAAACTGTTGGTTTTTTGTTAGAGAAGAAGAAATGATAATGATGATATAGTCCAAAATATGGATTCAACAAGGATAAGCACACATAAGCCAGTTTTGAAGGTGGGACAATTTCTCAGTGTGCTGTCATAATGTGAAGAAAGTTGGATGGATGGATGGATTTGGGGTCACATGAACATGGGAGGGATTTTCCATCGTTTGTGGGACAAGGAGGAGAAAGCAGAAAGGTAAGAAAAGTGAAAGTGAAAGTTTCAATTGATCAAACAATTTATTGATGTTGCGAAGAGTTAAACAGAATTTGGAATGGCGAATAAGACTGGATTCATCACTGGTGAAAGCAATGTGGGGCAGGACAAGTGTAGGAAACTTTGTGATTGCGATAACATAATGAGAAAATCAGTTTGTGCTGCTGTTACGTTTGAATTGGGTGACATTATTATTCGGTTTCATGTCATGATTGTAATTAATGTTGGCTAATAAGGGTGTCTGGCATTCCTAGAAATTGAGGACAAGTTTTATGGTTGCATAATATGTAGTCACTGTTTTTTGTGAATTCTATTGCTCGAAATCATAATTTCGGTCCATGCTTGTTACAATGTGCGATGATGATAGAAATTTCTACTGCATGCACCGTTTTATTATGAGAAAAAGACGCTGCACAAAAAAAATGCATGTATGTACGTAATGTGTAACGACTAGGCGTACCCTTTCTGAGGATCGAGTCTCATAAGACCAAACGCAATTACTCGAGGTAATGAAACCTGTCAGATTCTAAATAGCTCTCTGCCGCTGAGAAAGCTTAAAGAATGAAGGTGATGAATTCACATGATTCTTTTTTTTCATTTCATTTAATTCTCTGCACTTTGAGCATTGTTTTTTGACGTTCTGCGAAATCGGGTTAATCGGACACTTTACTTGCGAATTTAAGGATTTCATTCATTCATCTTTAAGAAAATAAGCAAATAGTGAGACGGATTCCATACACACGGTTTTTCCTCTGTTGATCTAATACTAACTATTGCACGATGTCGTTAAACGGTTCGTGAACCCATTAAATGGTTCCAATTGGTTTGAATCCTGCTAATAAATTGTGTCTTGTCAAGCGATAAAATTTTTCAGTTTTCTTCACCGCCCACCCGCCCATCGATTTTTGTATGTAATTCGTACGTAATGTGCTGCTGGTCGACGATGTCATGTCATCGTATCCCTCCCGAATATCCTTTTACATAAAATGAACGGCAGGGTGGCTAGGTTTTTTCTATTTTTTTTTACTTGCAGCCATAAAATTGGTAACTCTACCTGAATGTAACAAAAGTCTATCCAGGATTTTTATTCCGTTTAATCCACAAGAATTCTCTAGAGTCACACGAATATTGCGGATTTCCACATTTTTTAGGAAAAAAGGTTAAGCTTACATACACGATTTTAAACAGATCCGGTAAACATTGATGAAATTCTTGTCCACATTTTTTTCCACTTTCTCTCTCCTGGTCTTTCTCGCAATTTGTAAACACTTATCTGTAAAGATCACGGCTTGTGTGTGTGAGGGAGGATGAAGAACATTGTGACATGCATCGATCGAGAAGCCGACAAGTTCAAAAACTTTGAGGAAAATTTCTAAAAATAAGTTGGACCCTTGTTTCCTTAAACCCGAGTCTCGTATGCGTACTAGTAAATAGCACTGATAGCATTGTGGTGCAGATTGACATGGCAAAACAAACCTCATTCATTTCATTCTCTCTGCTAAAATCCAATTATTATTAGGCTTGGAAAAACTGTTTATCCTTCTAAATGCGAAGCGTTTTCCGAAATTCTTCCATGTTTTTGGTGATGATTATAGGCAAAGGTTATCGTCTCTTCGACATGGGTGATAATCACATTATGCGTGTGCCTCCGAATAATATTGACTACAAGTTAAGCTGCATAGTCGCATTAAAGTTAATTGTTTTTAGGGTAGAAAACCGAGTCATCTTCGTTATTACAAAGTCCAGCAGTGGGTGAGACATGTGCACGTATTTGTAGGAAAAGAGACGAGACGATCCATGTCGTGTTTCGATTTATTTCGAATGAATGGTTCAAGTCAAATACATTTGAATGCAGCAGCACCTCGTTATCCATCCTTTAATCCGAGCATTGACTTTAATACTGACATTTAGAGTTGAACTCTGAAATGAAGGTTTGCACGCATACGCATGTTTGTAACTTATTTTGCTACTGTGTATATACATTTTGTAGAAGAAGGAATGTATAGAGTTGAGAATTTATGAAGCTCGACATAATAAATAAACCCAGACACACACGTGCAAAATAAATACACACGAGTCACTGGAAACAGATTGATTTTCGGGATTGATTCCAATTTCTAGGTAAATTATTGTGGATGAGAAAATTGGGAGAGTATTTTCATCAAAAATTAGGCGAGAAACGGGAAATTTATCTCGTTTGATGAGTGTCTAGTATGTAAAACACTGTGGGAAATTGTATTAACCATCTCATCTCATTGGATAGAGATAGTTGATATTCCGAGATGATACTCTGCATAAAAATGTGCACTCTAAAAATGTGAAATGAGACTGATCAACCACACCTTGGCCAACTTGTCAATGCCAATTTTCGGCTTGTTCCTTCATTAATTAAATTGGCTAACTAATGAGTGTAACGATATGCCAATCCATTATCCAATTTAAAAACGAATAGCTTCCCTGGCACGAAATGAAATCTAAATAGAATTCAGCTCACGAGGTTTATTTAGCGAGGGATGAGATGATATATGCACGTATTATGCAGACGAATGTATGGTATGTATGGATGCACTTGTATCTTGGTGGTGGTGCTGGTAGTGGAAAAGTGTTTATTATTTGGAGGAAAAGCTGTCAAAATTGTTCGTGATGATAAAGTAAACCCTTCAACGAGACTGGATATCTGCAAATAACTGCACACAGATTTTTTCCACCAAGAAGAGACGAGAGTAAACTATCGATTGGAGAATTCAGTAAAGATAATAAGCAGTAAATTTGTCAGCTAGGCAATACATACTTATTTCGGAATGCACATGCATAATGCACATTTACATGTTTTGACATTTTGGGTGGGTGGGGACGACAACGTGGCGAAGGTTGGGATGGGAATGTGAAGAAGACAATTATGGCTGAAGGTGGATTGGTTGCAGGGAAATGTGTAATAAATTGTGGTTTTGGATAAAATAGTTGATTATCATCTTGACGTGCGGGATTAGATTAGAAATCGCTATACATAAGATCCAGAGTAGATAACCACATATCACAACTGGTTGATTTTCAGTATATTTATTATCAATCCACTTTCCTATCATCGTCAGAGTGATGACGACGTGCAAAAACCAAATCCAGTCTAAAACTGCTGCAGGGCACACTTGTGAAAAAGTGTGATGAAATCGTAAATAATTTGCAACTTGCGTTAGTTTCACTAGAATTCTGGCTGTATTGAATTTTTATTTGTTACATATAAGGCAACACCTTATCAATCAACAGCATCATTTTTTGCCTTGGTTGACCAAACTATGTAGCACTGATCCTGAGTAAAATGTATGTAAATATGTACTGCAACACGATGCCTTCTTTATTGCTAACATTTCGCAGTCGGGAGTTATTTACATAAAGTTTGGTCCACAAATTGAGATGGTATCAAGTTTAATTTAATCTGTTCCCTTCATTTTTTACCCCCTTGTGTCCGGATATTAAGCGATTTCTCAGGGGCAGAGGTGAGAACAAAGTATGTACAATAGTCAAATGCATTTTGTCTATTATTCAATCACACGATATATCTCCACCACATGTGACAAGCAGGATCCGTTATAAATAAATACGATATCGAAAATGTTGTGCCAAAATTATTTATGTACAGACACCAAAAGTTCCGTTATGCTATTAAATCAAGACAGGACAGGGTCGAGGTTAAAACTAAATCTTTTCTTGACAATCGTCTCATCTTGCCTCTCCCTAACTTTCAGTAACAAACAATAATACGCAGCACTTGTACGCATAATTGTACTGGTAAAGTTCTTAGCTACTTCATTTCCACGAATAATTCCTTCCTTCCTTTCCTCTCTCTCTTTCTGGAAAAACAAACATTTACAAAAAATTTCCCTTCTGGTACATTCCGTCGACTTTTATCGAAACCGAAAGTCTTCAAGATATGAAACGAACCTCCCCAAATCAGGACTTTGAGTGCTGCATCGTCCAACCGACCGTTTCTGATAACGGCGAAGGGAAGAAGAAGAAGAAGCAGTTTTTTGTGTGTCTCTTTCATCTTTGCAAAGTCAAAGAAGGAGTGATGTGATATCGTATCGTATTTTATTGGCATTCTGCTGTCGGTGCCATTACAAATGCATACATTCACTTCACACAGTCAGACTTTGCCATTTCTTTACAGTTTTATATCCTCCTCGTCTTCTGGCCATTCGACCGGAGAGAGTAATATGTGAAGAACAAGGCTTCTTCTTCTGATTTATTGAAGACGTACATAGAAAGATCCCTCATGTATTTAATAACGTGTTTACATGGTGTACATAAATACGCATGAATGTATTATGCGGGTGAGAAAAATCTGCATGGTTATTATTTAGACAAGAGTTTTTAACGAAAACCTAGGCTTACGGAACCATCGTGTCTGTCCGTCAGCTCGATGTCTCCCTTCAAGTTTATGCGATTCGAGATGATCTACCTAAATATGTACATAAATATGTATGTATACAGGTGGATCGGAACTTTGGTGCATAATATTCCAAACAACCTCCTTGGTTCGGGCTTGGCAGGGTTGCACTTTTTTTCATGTCTCACATTTCTGCCGAGATGCGATTGATGTTATGAATCTGTTGGTCTCTCTGCAGAGGCCAAACCCAATTTAGAATTTGGGATATCCAAATAAAACCCTGTAATCATTTCTGGCATATGCAAATCGTTATGCTTGTTTGCACGTTACAGGTATTTTCAGACAAGAATTGCAACCATCATACACATGTGAGAAGAATGACAGGCTGGTTTTGGCATCGTGCAATAAATTACACGCAGAAGAAATTACACACGACAAGAAGACATCGTCGTCTCGAGGAGGAGAATCAATCGTAAAATGAACGCTGGTTGAATATTAAAAGTTATCGAGGAGAGGGGAGAGGGTTGAATAACACCCAAGCCATTATTACTTCTTGGTCATTAATGATGAAGACCAAGACTGTGTTTAAAGGAGAAGGAGGAGGGAGAAGAAATACTTAAATATGTAAGAAATGGGCCGGCTGGAGTGGCCAAATTTGGTCATAAATGGCAAAAAATTAAGCAAAACCGGAACTAATTTGGAAAACCTTCATCATGGAGAATGCGTACGTATATGTGTGCAAGATATTATTTTATTATGTGTTTGTTTGCACAAGTCGAGGTGGCAGTGGTACATACATTGTTCATTATTCATTTTAAAGGTAAACTTTGACCCGACAAAGTTACATAACTTTGTATTAAGACTTGGTTTCTTTGAGACGTGGTGGACCAAGGTTTGAGCAGATTTCGGTTTGCAGAAGTTTTATGTGAGACGAATTAGTAAAATCTTATCTGGAATGTGAAATGTGCATGAAAATTCTGTGACTGCTCGGCTTATAGAGATGCATACATAAATATGGACAATGTCTAAATGTCAAGAAGTTGGGGAAAATAAAATAAGCCTGGAATTGAAGTACAGAAATTGATTGTAATAAATTTGCGAAATTTTGACATTTGAAATATTTACCTCATCTAGATTGTAAAAAGCAATTTAAAAGGTTACAAATAACTTCTAAATATATATACCACCAGAAATATTTAGCATAATTATTACCGGATCGCATATCATATCATCATCACATAAATATTTCATTCGCGAATTGGTTTGCCCATTAAGCAAGTGGGAACAAGATGCTGCCAACCAGAAGGAGACGGAACACATCTTTAATTCTCATTTTGTTTTCTTTATCGTCAGAAACCAGAGTGAAATGAAGTGAAGTAAGCCCTGTGCTCCTGTTCATGTCACTGAATTTGGGTCAGTATTATTAGTTCTAGCGTATAATGGAAGGAAAGAAGTAGTGCCATGAGTCAAGCAAAACTAGCAACTTTTTCTTTAACTGCCTCCCCGAATTTAACTTTAACTGGCAGTTGATTCAATTTCATACTTTTTTTGCACAGTACAAGTTGTCTGTGTATTTAACTGAATGGTTAATCCAATCCATTCCAATTCGTAGCGTTTTGTGCGTAACGTTCTGTTTATTTATTGTCATTCAAATGAGAGGAAGACGACTTTTGTATGTACGTAAGCCTTGGAAGAAATGCCAACTGCTGTGTGGCTAATTCGGACAGATTATTAAATAACAATTTACCCTAAATACCAATGACCACGAGCAGTTAGTTACTTATTTTGTACGTTGCTGGATTGGATGTTATGTTAGCGTGAGCTAGAAAAAAAAGTTGTAAATGTTTCAATCGGTTTGATGACTTATTCTGTTAAGCATGAAACTTGCTCCTGTTTTGTTGCACCAACCAACCACCAGACCTGCTTAGATAATGGATAATGGAACCATGTCAAAAAAACATATTAATTATTATTATGAATTTTTGGAAAACAGATTCTCATAAATTTTGATGATCATCCGGTCATATTTAGTAAAAGGATATGTATGCGATGACCGTAGAAAATATGCTGGTGCCATGTTTGGTAATTAGATTATGCGGACACACGTTTTTTAAAAAACGCCTTCCCCCAGAATGAGAATAAATAAATAGTTAAAGTACGTAAAAATGGCATGTTACGTCCGGAAGCCAGAGACCACTAACCAGCACATTTTCACGTTATTTATCATTCCTCACATGAAATACCTTCTGTTCTGTCTTCTCTCGAATCGTCATCAGTAACCTAATCCGAGATATCCAGAGAGAAAAATGGGTTTCACTTTGCAATCAAAGCCCCACCAAGAGATGAAAAGTTGCAAGAAGCAATCCCCAAATGTACGGAGAGAGATTGGTGGATGGAGGAAACTTCATATCGTGGCGTAAATACGTACATGGCTCAAAGATGCGAAAGCAAGCAACAACATCTCCATGTACCAAACCTGGTTTCCCTACAAGACCAACACTTACAACTTAACTTAAGTAGGCACATACGCACAACTTGAGGAGATGTGAGACGAAAGTTTAAAAGCTTGAAGTTGAGACCTGTCTTTCTTCAGTCAACGGCAGCATGAGCTCAGCAGAAGTGCAAGATTTTGTACATGTCCAAAGTTATTTTGTTAACAAAACGACGACGACCAGTAGTCTTCTTCTTCTTTTTGACTCTTGGCATTTGTGGTTGGTAATAATAATGCCAAAACTGAAAAGAGTGGAATGTCTGAGTGAGTAAGTGAGAGAGAGACGTGATTCTCCTTACACGACTTTTGTGGACCTCGCTTCTTCTCCTGCCCATCTTTAATGGCGTGCTGAATGCAATTTGTACATCGTATTAACATCATTGTCATTTTATTAGTTGGACGTCTTCGAGTGAGTGAATTACTTTAATTCTGGTGCAGGTTTGGTCAATAGAAGAATAAGTGAAATGGTTTCATGAACATGGAAAAGTGTTTGTTTGGGAGGAGTGGGTTTTCATGCGGTATGGAAAAGTGAATGATTTTAAGCGTTGTATTGTTACGGGCAATTTTGAGAAATAAATAAGTGCGTGTTTTTTTTTACCAGTGCGGTGCATAGTGGAAAAAGTACTCAAGTGTCATTGTTATTGTTGAACGCGATATGTTTAATGATGCGATGTGACGCATTGTAAAAACAAATATTGTGGTCACCTACGACTCATCCGGTGTGTAAAAGGGATCAATGGCATGCAGTTTAAAATCTGCTGGTGCGCAGAATGTAATTCAATTATTGTGTCCAATCGTGCATGCAAAATATTCAAGAATGTACAAATTCTGAAAAACTTTATACATATTTACAATATTCAGATTCCTATTTAAGTGATCTCCCATCTCGTGATTCTTTTTAAAAAATGTACAAAAAAATATCGGTCGCGTTATGCATTGTGATTTCCCTGTTTTTCATCGTACCTCTGATCTACCTCTGGCTGACGATGGAGTCAAGCCCACCGTCCGGCGTTATCAAAGGTATGCAAGATAGCACTGGGCATGATTAATGAGGGTGAAACCAAGTAAACAAAGTATTGATTTACCATTACAACATGGGAGGAATGATGAAAAAGTGGCACATTTTTGGGCTGCAAAGATTTGTGGCATGTTGGCTACTTGATCCTAAGGGAGGGAGGGGAAGAAAGTAGATTAATGATGGATTTACATGGAAAAGTGATGCAATGCAAGGAAACTTTCATTACTTAGCGGAAAGAATGGAGAGATTAGATTGAATGGGAAAATAATGGACTTGGGTGTGTGCAACTTTCTCTCGAGGAAAAATCTGTGTAAAAAGTTTGGTACTTTAAAGTGAAAGTTTTGTCCATTTTATGGGCTTGGGTTTTTTAATGGGGTTTAATTCTCCATTATGAAAAGTTGTTGGGTGTATACATATGTAAAATCTTAAATGCTTAATTTTTAGGTCCCTTCATAGCTGTCTACTTAAGAAACTTGACCTCCTTAAATAACTCTGCCGTTCTTTTGTACGATGTCCCAAACTCTGACTTTGTCCTGGACCGGTACCTCTGGGAGTGGAACAATGGATCGTCTGACGCACAATTTCGCCAACCGCAGCATCAGCAAAAATCTATTTTACTAGAGTGTCATTCCAATGTCCCTGTAAAATTGGAGTACAGAGGAGAAGGGGTACACACACACATAAACAACTTCTCGTTTACTAGTCAGCGTTACGATGGACATTGTTTTGCAGGGTCTCGTCTCTGAAATGAGACATCATAACCGACGGGAAATTAAGTCATTTGACGATAACTCGACCTACTGGTTTACCACGTCCGTAGAAATGCTAAGCATTAATGAGCAAATTACCGGGAAATATTTCTGTTCAGTAATTGAACCTCCTTCCGGAGGAGAAATTGGCGTCTTTCTCCACATCTTTGTCAAAGGTATGCCGCACTTTTTGTTTTACTGACGAGCCTAATTTGACCCAAATTTCTAAAGAAAAACAATGTTTTCCAGGCTACAAAACTTTTATAACGAGCGACGAAGTGCGCCACGAAGTCGAGCCGGATGAAGAAATCGTGATCCCATGTCCGATTTCTGATCCCGATAAGAGCGGAGCCATCACGTTACGAGAACTTTTACAACCGTTAAATGTATGTATTTATGAATAATAATTTTGCATTGTGTGCGAAATTTAGTAGGTTTGTTGTTGTCGTAAATATTAGCTGAGTCACATATATATATATTTACGATTTGTTTTCTTTGGTTTAAAAAAACAGAAAGAAGTTTACCACATCGTGGATCCACACATCGTCACAGAATTTGATCCCAGGATCGGGTTTAAACTGGAGGCAAACCATTACGGGTCGTATCTTTGTGTAGATTCTGCTAATTCAGAAACGGCTGGAATTGTCAAAATTTTCAAGCCGAGAAGTAAGTCAATTATGGCTAAAAGCTATTTTTGAGAAACATTTATCTCAAATTTTACTGTGTACATGAAATTATAGGGCTCGTCGTGGATGGTAAATATCTGACGAGGTCAATCACCAATGTTCCCATACCGAAGAACGACCCCGCCCTACGCGTTCTGTGTGAAGCGACGGAAAATGTGACGCTGAATTTTATAAATTTTCTCCCCTTTAAGAGGAGACAAGTCCCATATTACAATGACTCCTCGACCTTTCCGCACACATCCAGAATTATTCTGAGGAACGAGTGGTTCTCCAATTTTTCTACGGTAGAATGTCTAACTGTTCAGGATGAGAGAGTTTTAAGGGTCTGGACGTATGTTAAAAAAGGTGAGAAGGGAATTATTTGTATATTATTTTTAAATATGACATTTATTAATTTGTTTCTTTGCAGAATCCTCCGATAAGACAAATTTTAGGTTTGACCCGGTCCGAAAGGGATACGAATGCTGTACCGATCCCGGGATCATCCCACGCCTCACGCAAGCCACGTGTTACACGCAAACTGAATGTGACATGAAGGTAATATTTGTTCGAACTCAAGGATATACCAATTCTGTTACTCAAAATCTTTCAATTTGATTTTTACGAATGCAGAGAAGTTGCGTCAAGTTGGATAAGAAATGTCCACTTCCTGCGATTTTAAATCAGCCCATCTACGAAGGAAATGTAGGATGTGCGGTGGCAAAGGTGGAAAATAATCCGTCAGGATTACTGGAGGTACATATAGTCAAAATATCTTATCGTTAGTTGACAAACTATGTATAGAATATCATCAGTATTAAATCTACAAATTTTGCTTATGATAGTGTTCGTACGGAAATTCTACAAAGACATATCTCTACATTTACAACAGAAGGACCGGCTTCAACAGTAAGTCGATGCAATTTATATCCTATGTAGATTAGAGACTCGAGTCCAATTTAAAAAATCGTTGCTTTACTTTTGACTTTACAAAAGCAGATTTTACATCGTCCGATTTCCGCAAGAAAAATGTACCCCTGAACAAAATGCTACGCGTCGTGCAGGATTTTTCAGTATCATATGCTAAGGACGTCGCAACGTTTATATGTTCTGGCCCAAAATTCTTCTTCGCAAACGGGTTTCAAGTAAAATTATTAAAATGTTTTAAATTTTTTATTAAAAAAATTTTAATTCGTCCATTGACTAAATCTAAACTGATTTTCAGTGGGCCTTGAAAGCAGGAAAGTTTGGAGCGATAGAACATCTTCCAAACCAGAGTAAGTAAAAATACATATACACAAATCTATGATTCATGGTATGTATCTGACATCACAAACTTTTGTAATAGGTGAAATTGACGAAATTAGTGACGAAGCTACTGAATCGGTGCAACTTCCGGTGTCAAAAGTGGAGTCGAAAACAGTGATATGTTTCGCCCCGCTGCTCTACTCGCACGACTGGGTCAACGCCACGGTCAAGTATCGCAGCAGTAGCAAATCTGCACCATCCTCGACGGAATACGACGATACGATTTATCTCTAATTTATTTTTATTTATTTCTCAACCCCACAAACCACCACCTACCGAATCGTGCCAATTTTGAGGAAATCTCGTATTTAATATATGATTATTATTATTTAACTAATTACACAATTATTTATAATCGAGTAACAAAACAACGCTTCGGTTGTGTTCAATGCAATGTAAATATTCAGAGATGCTTTATATCATGAGAAACATATTTACTACAAATGTCATGTTTACTAGTCGGATGATAAGTTATAAATGATAAGACACAAACAAAACGAATATTTTTAAATGTTTCAATTCTTTATTTTTAGAAGTTATTATGCGATCCACATGTATTTTCAATTTGAATAATTCAAATCTACTTAAGATATTTTGTAAAAGCTTAAAATAACACTGTGCTGCTGCTGCTGTGTTATGATCTTAATTAATTAAATAAATAGTTTAATAACATATTAAAGATCGAGTACATCAATTCTAAAATGGGAATAATAGTGACTGGATTTTATTTCATAATTTACTTATGTATATATTCGTTCACAAGTCTAAAAGTTTTGATTGCATTGCAAAAAATGTACTTGAATCGAAGGACACTTTAAGTTCATGTTCATCACTCGCACACTTTTACTTATCGTAATAATGTTGACATTTGTTTTGATATCATTTGACACCAAATTGAGAAAAATCTTCCACCCTACCACATGCTTTCAGTCTTTTGACATTCATGTTCTCTCACTAAAATAAATAGTGTTCAATAAGTTAAAGGGGATTCAACCGGTGTTGTGCAAAAGGTTAAAGGTTACGTTAACACAGTTGCCTCCTTCATTAGATTAACCCATCTGAAAATGTGATAAATGATTTTTATAATATATACAACCTTGATAGGAATCTAATTAAATTGAAGCCCACCTTTCCGCCAAAGTTGGGTTATCTGCTTGAAAAAGAAGAGTATTTTGTCCGAGGTGGCTCAGTTTGAAGACGGCTTCGTTATCCCCTCCGTCCATAAACTGGGGTCCAATTGAAGGATAACGATTTTAAGTTAGTATTTAGTTTTAAGGATGATTTTCTCATTAAGTAGAACTCACCTCAGACTTTTCTACATCCACGTTCCATCCAAGGACGGGGATCCCTTTAATTGCGACGATGTCTTCAGACGCCGCGTAGATATAAAGGACACGATCCATTAGCACGAACCAGCGACGTTTCCATGCTTTCCTTTCCCTCCAATGGAGATAACTGCTGATTCGGGAACCAGAATTATTTGCGGGGACCTAAATACGAAATTTGACCGTACAAAATGTGATATCATATCAAAAATTTCAGTTAAAAGAGTAAAGTTTGTACACACCTCCAATCTAGATTTCACATTTCTCTTTGTCTGAGCCCGTTTTGACACGTTAGGAGTAACTTTTTTGAACCGAGTTCGTATCGTTTCTCGCGACGTTTCTAGACCTTCATTCGATCCAGCATCCTTGTCGAATTCTAATATTTTGAATTATTTAGTATTGACAATTTGTAGGGAATTATTTTTGTTTTTAATTTGTGTCCATACCTTCCAAGAGATATTGGTAGCATTCGTCGCAAACTCGTTCCGCGTCATTTTTAAGGTATTGTAACGGAGCTTGGTTTCCTGAACAGTGTCGGCACACCACCTTTCCACAAGAGCGACAATGATGACGACGAAAAGTGACCTGTTTTGGAATTTATCAATATTATTCACACTCGGAAATTAAAAATAATTCCTCCGACTAATTACCGTAAACTCTGCCGTACAGATCTGACACATCGTGACACGAGAATCCTGAATCCAAACGGGGGCCTGAAAGTTGTTAGTAGAATTTACAACTTTGAATCATTAAACGGTTTCTAATTGCAACTCACAATTTTCCCAAGTGCAAAGCCCTCTTCCTGATCAGGCGTTCGACACGACCTTTTTCGTATGTTATCGTGGATGGCGTCGTTTAACGCCTTCATCCATTCTTCTCGCTCTCGACCCGTCCTAAAAATTTAGTGAACGTAGTGAAAATTGTTGAAAAATTCAGCACAATTTTAAAACTGTAAGTTTAGTATACTTACTTTGCAACCAAGTTAAAACTCCGAGCTGTGCTTATCACACTGAACTGAAATATTAATAGGATAATCATGAACTATTAATGGGATAGTTTTTTAATAGGATAATTAAGAAATGTGGTTTATTTTCTGCACCTCATTCTGATAATCCTCCGACGCTGAAAGACACACCTTCATCCCGGCCAACGGCATCTCATTCCTCATCTTGAGGTCCTTCGTCGACCCGGCCGTCGCATTGTAACTCATACACATTAAACAGTCGTTCATCTATTTTTCAGAAAAAATGTAATTAAATTTTATTCTTGAAAAAATGTCAGACCAAAAATAATTTTACTCACCAAAGCGAAAAACCGTGGTTGTAAATCTTTCCTGCAAACTTTGACCAGTTCTCCCTCTTTGATTAAGAGTCGATCTGCCTTCATAAGAGTCGCACCTGTCATCCTATTCTGCAAATGGAGCAACTTATCCGCATTAACTTGCAATTTGATCGCTTCATTGGCATGGTCCGCGACATCTTTCACTATAGCGAGTGCCTTGACCGTATCTTCATAATCACATCCCTCCGGCTCCAACTGCTTCAAATAGTCTTCCAATAAGAGACGATACTGCGGCATGCGCTGAACTGGTTTGAGCATGTAATGCTTTAATCCTAATTTGTGACAGCGATCACTCAACTCGAATTCTTGCACGGCTCGGGCAAATTGAACGTTTGCTGAACAACACTCGTCCAATTTGAGGGTAATTTTTTCAAAGTTTTTAATATAGTGGGCGTAGAGTTTGAGGAAGGGGCCTTTCTTGACGATAACGTCGGCCAGTTTGGGGTGCTCGATCCAATTTGAAATTCTTTGTTTGGTATGGTTAATAATTAATTAATTATGCTAATTATTAATTATATTAGTTAATTACTTGCTGCGAATTGTACCATGATCACATTTATTAGTTTACATATACGTAAACTTGTAAAATATAAAAGAAATTATTGAAATTATTACCTTTGCTGTAGGTCGACCTGAAGCTCTTCGTTTACTCTTTTGAGGTTGGGGAGACCACCGAGAATGACGTCCTAAAAAGAAGAATTGAACACAGGTAAAATACGTTATTTGTGTGTAAAAGTAACTTGGCTAGATTTTTAATTGCTCAGAATTTGCTAATTTACATAAGATTTCATTCATATGTATAATTAATAAACGTCAAAGGATTTAGAGTTTTCGAAAGTATGACAACTTTCACTCGAAAGATTAAGAGGTTAGCATTGGAATTCCAAATAATTTGCTATATGTTAATGCATTACCAAGTCTTGTGGTGGGATCACGGGATGCTTCAAAGTGTCCTCGTAGCGACGGATGGCATTGGGAAAGTCGACCGTGAGTAGGTCAAGGACATCGATAAAGGTTTGTTCCGAAGTTAGAATTTCACGTGCCACGTAGAACGCCTTCTTTTCCGACTGGGACAGTTCCGCGAGGATGGAGTCGTATCCGGGCGACATAGTGATCGTGTACCCAGTCCCGGTCGTACTTACGGAGGAAAAGGAGCAGATACTCGAGTCATCTCCAGGTTCAGACTCAGGGCGTGGAAGGAGTGTGTTTTCCTCGCCAATGGACCCTTCAGAATATCGGTGTCGATTATTCTGATGTGATGTAATATCGACAACGTCCGGGGAAAATTGCACGGCGGAGTGAGACTGGGATTTTTCCCTCGGGAGGAGTTTACTGTCTTGAGGAGAATCTTGCTGTGGCGGAGATATCAGAATCGGGCCGGAAATCTGTCTTGAAATATTCTTCACTATTTTACCGTTCATGTCAGACATGAGACTTCGACTTTTATCTTTTCCCTTATTTTTGCCACCCCCTTTCGTCGGGGTGCCATTATTTGAACTTGAACTTGTCGAAGACGAGGAGGGTTTTCCAAAGGAGGAGAAAATCCCCCACTTTTTCCTTCTTAAAGAGAAACTTGAACCAATTTCTTCAGTGGAGGAAGAGTTGGGAACAGGAGCGTCAGAAGTGTCCACGTCACCGAGAACGCCGGTGGAGTCACCTTCGTCAACCCAACCGAGACCGGACACCTTTCTGTTGTGCTTGTCGCGCAGATTTGTGAGTGAGGAGGAGGACGATTCACAAGGAGAAGAAGAGTCCCCAGAACAATTCCAGGAGCGTCGACGGACAATGGAGGAGGATCCCTCTCTTGATTCCGAGCTAGTCGTGGGGGTGGTGGTGACGTCGTTATCGTTGCTTGTCGAAGAAATTGCAATGTCTGAGTGAAAAGTTTCCTTTCTTAGCGGAGAAAGCAATAATTTGTTGCAAATTTGCTCACAGCTTTCACCACTTTCCGTAATATTGAGTGACTCAAACTCTCTCTCCTCTGCTATTTTGGGGATTGGAGGTGGCGGACTTTCACTCTGGTTCGAGCTCGGACTCACTTTTCCCGACAGGTTGGAAAGCCGGTGGACAACGGACTGAATTTTGCTGTCGACTGATTGTATGAGAGAATCTTGATCATTAGTTGTGGGGCACGCAGTTTCAGATTTTGTTGTTGTTGCGGTTGTAGTAACGTCTTCATGATCTTTTGGTGGGGATTTCTTGATGGGTTTTGTTGTAGGATTGGACATGGTCATGGATGACAAGGTTGGAGAATTGTCATTAGTTTTTTCTCTGTTATTATTTAGAGGAGAATTACTTCGTACTGCTTCACCACCTCCTCCGCAGCCGCCAACCGTGGATAAACGGCTGAATAGAAACGATTTGTTGCCAGAATCTTCATCTTCTGGGAGGTTATCATGCTCATTTTTATTTAAATTGATGCGTGTCGTTTCGGTCGAAGAGTTGAGTGGGATTAGATTATCTGAATTTGGGGGATAACTGGAAGTAGATTCTGAATTGAGACTGTCATGACCAACTGAACATGGTTTGACTTTTTGTGATGACGATTTCTCCACAAAGATGGGATCTTTGAGATATTTGCCCAACCAACTGTCCACCACTGCAGCTTCTGCACTTATCTGTCTCTTGGGAGGAGCAACAGATGAAGTTTTAACACACGCTACCTCACTTTCTCTTTTAACAAGCTCTTTATCCCCACTCCCACTACCAGCCTGACTAGAAGATTGTTCGAAAAATTGTATCTGACTCGCAACCGTTTCTTCTCCCTCTTTGGATTTTTGTGGCACCTCAGGAATCAATTCACTTGGTGAATTCACAATCACTGACTTTACGCTGACCACTTTCGGGTCAATATCACGATTTATGGTGATCACTAGAGATCCCTGGATCCCTTCCTCCTCGACATCTTCCTCCTTTAATTGTCCACTTTCTACTTTCTCCACCGATATCGTCGTGACATCTTTATTATTTGGGAATAAATCCCCATTGCTTTTTAATCGCCTTGCCGCCCATTTCTTCTCCTTATCGATTTCTGCGTAGATAACGACAGGTTCTTCTGCCTCTGCAAGGGGTGCAATCAGTGACGGAGGTGGAGTAGTTTGTGGAGAGAAAACTGACGGCGTGTTTGGCGAATTTGGCGAATCTTCCACGGGAGAAAGTGAACTAACTGGGGACAATTTACGCCTTAATCGGGGCGGTGGTGGAGGTGGGATGGGGCCATTGGACGCGAAGGAAACATTATTATGAAACCGTCCAAATTGACTAGATGGCATATTATTATTACCGTTATTATTATGCGTCATGTTACCACTAAGGTGTGAACTAATACTTGATTTGGTGGTAGACTTATTAATATTATTATTGGGAGGAGAACTTTTAGACCCAAAGTTTAAATCCAATGGGAGCATTCTGGCCAGAGTGGCGGCCTTATTGGTGAAAAATTGTGTGACGCTGTTTCCCGTCGGTGATGTCGGTGGGGCCACGTTCCTCCCCAGACTAACCGTTTTTGCTCGTGTGCTGAGAGAAAGTGGAGATGAATTTGCATTCCATTGATTGAGATTTTGCTGTTCTGGGGGATGTGGAAAGCTGAAAATGCTGCTGTACGGTCGTGGAGCAGCGGGGAAATTTGCCGTGTTTGGTCGTGGACTGAGGGGTGCGGAGGGAGATCGTATAGGATGTCGTCGTGGCGTCACGTCGTCGAAATTTGTAGGTTCAGGTTTATTTCCGGCAGAATTTTTGTTGGCCAAAATGGCATTCGCGATAGAAATGCTGTTCCTCCCCTTGGGAAGGAGAGGGGGTGAGATTTTGCAACTTGATGGAGAAGAAGTAGTCGGTGGGGTGAGACTGGTTGGAGGTGAGGACGTAAATGACAACCGGGGGCAGGAATTGTTGGACGGCTTAGGAGGAAGGGCAGGTTTGCTGGTGGCGGGGGTGGTGGGAGGAGGAGTGTGATTTGAGTTAGGCTTCGGTGGGGCAGAAGGGCGTCTCGGAGACTCGTTTTCTGACGTGTTTTGACCGTTTATAGAAGTTTTCCTGGTGGAGATACAAAAAAGTAAAAGTAAGTATGTAGCACAGTTTATTAACAATTATTTGAGTTTAATATTGATTTTGTAAATTCAAATATTTTGAGACAAACTCGTAATAACATATTAATTGGGTCATTAATTTGTAAAAACGCATATCAAATGTTTGTTGGTAAATAGCCAACCACGAATAATCTACTTAATTGTTGACAAACAGTACTTTTTAATTGATTTGTTTAATTAGATCAACTTGTAAAAAGTAACTAATTTCTATCAATTAATTAATTTAAATCGTTATAACAAACCTGGCAGGATTTGGCGATGTGCTGTCAAAAAATGGACTTTTGCTTAATGCATCAGATACGCATCCAGATTCAGTGTTTGGAGTGGGAGGAGAAGTTGGCAAGCTTATCTTATCCTTATCAGGTTTAGGTGGAACCATTGGTCGGTTGTGAGGCAGATCTACAAATACATTGAGATTCAGGTACATATTGATGTATTGATAACTCGCTAATGTATTTGCACTTTGAAATTGTGCATTAAATGGTTTGCTAAACTAATCTATTTTATGGGGTGTGGGCACACCACAAAAAAGTGAGAATTGTTGATACTATGTGGTTTTAATGCAATACTTGACATTGATAAATTTCTGCTGGAACAGATTTTCCAGATTCTACAGAGTTTTGACCTAATTTCGATTTTAATCAAGTTCACACACAATTTGCACAGCAAATCTCTCCATAATCTCGTGGCTACAAATTCGCAACTCCATTTCCTATTAAGCACGAGAAGAACGATAATCATGATATCATTTACATTCTTCCTATCGCATTGTTTGGATTATACAGGGGAAACGTCAATCATTATTCATTTCATATTATTTGGTTGAGTGGTGGTGATGAAGATCCGACTAAATATCCATGTATAATGGGTACATGGAAGGAATTATGACTCATCGCTCCTTTTTATCAATAATAATACCCCAATTTCAACTATTTCTGTCCAAAAGTGATTAAAAAATCCTGTGTACACAATTTAAAGAAAACCTCAAAATTTATAAGGATGACTGATCACTAAAATATGTGTCACTCTGACACATTTCAAGATAATAAAATAAATGTTATTATGACTTACCCATTTTAGAATCCATTAATCACCGACTTATACTTATCACTGAGGAGTTAATAATTTCAAAATTTCCAATATTAATTTTGAGATCAATTAAATATTAACATCAGATCATGAATTTCTCCCAGCTTCCCATTCACTTAAAACTTTGTTCGCGTAAATCGCACTCTTTTTCCGTAACTTTCTCCACTTTCACTCACTCTCATCCGTCGCATTTCTTCTCCTTTTTCTGTCCCAATCTAGAAAATGCATACACACAAATCTGATAAAAGTTAAAACTTGACCTATTGTTTTCCTCGTGTAAATATAAATAAATAGGGATCATAAAAAAAGTTGTGCAATAGAAATTGCTTAATCCTCTAAAAAATTGGCCGTAATTGTAAACCAAATTCTATTTCGAGTTTGCATTCCTCCATTAAGTTAAAAGAATTAATAATGTATTCCGAAAATAATGACATTGCCCTTGAGTTGAAGCAATTAGTGTGGATTTAGAAAGTGAAATAAAGCAAAACTCTCACCCATTTAGTCCTCCTTAAAATAAACCCACTGCCTTAATTCCATTCGATTATTCTTTTATTGTACTTTTATCCACTATTTGTTCTTATAAATACGAGTAAAAAATAGAACTTATTGCTAGAGATAAGACTTGTCGCAGACGATGATTCAACGACGATATTATCATCAAAACCAGTGAACCAGCATCAGCAGAATTATACTTTTACACTAACTGAAATAACATTCGTAGTTTTGTGACATGGGTGAAATGTCCATATTATTATAACGTTAATAGTTAACGTGACCATTACATATGTACGCTGCTGCTCTGTAATAATAACAATAAATCGCCACAACTTGCAGCACTATGCTTACTTACACATGACTGAATACTTCTGTATATACGATGACTTATTACTCGTGTGCAACACAATGCCAAATATTTATTAAACCTAGAGTAGAGTCGGAATTGACTAAATACATAGCATAGATATGTATATACGTATATATGCTGAAGTAAGTATGAAACTTGATCCTGGCACAAAATCACAGCACTACCGAAACTTAAACTGGCTTTAAAATTGTGGAGGTCTCACTTTAAGAAGTAGTAAAATGTTAAAGGGCCAGCAAGTTGAACAACAAGAAGAAGAGTCATGCATAGTACATTTTAGATTATGCATGTACATATAGTCCATCCGTACGTATGCATGCATGTGCATGTACATATCTGTATGTAATAATATGACAATGATTCTCAACACGGTTTAAAGAAGGAAAAAACTCGTGGGGAGAAAAAAGAGTTACCAAAGTTTAGTCAGGCTTTTGGCTTAAATAAATTGAGCATCGGGTTCAAAACTAGTGTTATTTTTGTATATACCATGTCATTCCGAACACTGAATAGGATGCATTTTCATTTGGTGTGGTACTGTAGGTTAAAATCTTCCATTTCGTCACTTGATGCTACTAAGGAGGGGAGCTTGCGAGGTTGATAATAACAGATATTGGTGCCCTTTGGATATGTGGTAGGGACCCATGAGTGTACTAAAACCCTGAAGTAGTTTGACTCCATGGCCACATTTGCGCCCGCCACACCCACTCAAAAATGCCCAAAAAACGCTTTCACTCGAGTTTTCACTCACTCAAATCCACGTCAAAAATCCAATTTTACTCGGATTTTGAAATTTCTTTCACCATTATACTCCCAGATAGTTGCTTTCTTCAATCCAATATCAAACTCAATTTTTCGAAATTTTTAGTATTTTTAAAATTTAAAATTCTGAATGAGCATTGTTGTAGTCATCAACAAAACAAATTATGTTTGCGAAATAATCATCAATAAAATTGAGTTTGATATTGGATTGAAGAAAGCAACTATCTGGGAGTATAATGGTGAAAGAAATTTCAAAATCCGAGTAAAATTGGATTTTTGACGTGGATTTGAGTGAGTGAAAACTCGAGTGAAAGCGTTTTTTGGGCATTTTTGAGTGGGTGTGGCGGGCGCAAATGTGGCCATGGAGTCAAACCACTTCAGGGTTATAGTACACTCATGGGTCCCTACCACATATCCAAAGGGCACCAAGATCTGTTATTATCAACCTCGCAAGCTCCCCTCCTAAATGTATGTCCATGCATGCAGTGCGATAACGTACACTGTACGAAACGGGTTGTGGAGATAGACGACATATTTCTGGACCAAGAAATGATCTTGTTATACTGCGTTGTGTATTTGTAGATATGTATAAAAGTGTATAAAACTGTGGAAGAGATGGTTTCGCATTTCGATATTGTCGAGGGCATTGTGTAGGTTTGGCTTGGCGTACGAGATGCATTTTTTGGCTCAGAGTTAAATATAAATGCATTTCAATGTACATATGTATGTATAGAAGATGTACATTTATATGAAACTAAAACGATATGGAATACTTGGAATTGTGGAGGATGCGTGACGTTAAATTATGTGCACAAAATGTTTTAAAAATTAAATTGAACATTTTTTTGACGCTTATAATTTATTTCCACTTATTCTTACGGAGCAAGATAATGGAATTGAAATATACCACCAGGAAAAACATTGGTCGATGGTTCCAATTGTAATGCGCCATTACTTGGTAAAGGGTGGGAGTCAGATATCATGTTTTGGGTTATCATGTCATTTTCTCCCATTACGACGTCATTTCCACCCGAGACGTGAATCTCATGTTGCATTTCTTCATGATGTGAAAGTGGTGGTTGTGAATGGTAGGGATTATTTTGCATCGGCATGAACTGCATGGTCATCGGTATCTGGGATGGAAGTGCTAATGAGTCATCCTCCGCATCAACAACTTCTTCATTGCCAATCAACATAATGATCGATGCTTCGTGACTTTGAGCTTCATGAGCCTCCTGCTCATGAGACTTCATAATGGCTGAAGCTGAAGATGGCTTATTGTTACTTTTCCGAGATGATTTGGGCTCGCTATGATTTTTTGCACTGCCGGTCGTGTTATTATTGTGGGATTTTTTGTGGGCTTGCAGCGCATCATTTGTCTATAATTATGAGGATTGAGGGAGAATGTCAGTGGCCGAAATGACTCATTATTAATGTTATAAAACTAAAAAACCTTGACGCGAACTTACGTAAAAACTTCGGTCACATTCTCCACCATCAAAGTCACAAATGAAAGGGCGGATTCCTTCATGAATTTTGGCATGTCTCTGAAGCTTGTAATTGTCGATGAACAATTTACCACAGGTCGGACAACAGTGCGATTTTAGTCCAGCATGGACTTTGAGATGTTTAGATAAACTTTTCTTGTACTGTGGGTAAAAGAATTGAATTAAGGTTCAATTTCATGAAAAATTAAATGATTGATTAATTTGCATAAACGGTTCTCCAACCTTAAACTCGTTTTTACAAATGCCACACCGGAACTGTTTATCGCTCCTGTGCGACACCATGTGTCGTTCTAGCACGCTTTTACTCTGACCCCCAAACGGGCATAGGTCACACTGGAACTTGAAGGACTTGTTGTGCAGGGCGACATGATTTTTAAGGGCGGAATGACAAGAGAAAGCTCTCTCACAAATGGAGCATTTCCACGGATTTGAATCAGAATGTTGAACGAGATGCACGTTTAAAGCGGTGGTCGAGCTGAACGATTTGTTGCAGATGGTGCACGGGACTTTGGTCGAGGAATGTGTGGTCTGATGAGCTTTTAACTTTGCTAGCGTCGTAAACCCCCAGGTGCAAGAGGGGGCAGTGCACTTAAAATCTCGGGGTTCGGAAGTGTGCTTATTCTTTACGTGGAATAGGAGCAGTTTCTCCAATCGGAAACCTGTAACAGTCAAGATTTTAGGTCAAAATACAATTTTTACGCGTATTTCAAGATAATTTTATTTATGGCATGTACCTTTTCCGCAATGTTCGCAAATAAACGGAGTTTCTTGGGTGTGACACATTACGTGAATCCTTAAATCGGAATGCATTGTTAAGATATGCTTATTTAAAGTTTAAATAGTTACTTTCTCTTTACCTATACTGTTTTCGGGTTGCAAATCGTTTTGCACAGTTTTGACAGTGATAACAATATTTATCGCCTGGATAGAATATTAAATTCTGTGAGATACAACGAACGAATGTCTGGGTTTAAAATGACACAAACCTTCGTGTCGCTTTCTCCAATGCGCCCACTTTCCAATTTCATCCTTAAATGTGGAATTGCACCTTTCACACGGTAATCTTTCTCGGATAAAGTTGGGAGACGAAGGATCTTCGTATGCATGATCATCATCATCCTGAGAGAATGACGACTCGTTGCGATTAGCAGGATTTCTTTTAAATCAAAGTTTTATTTAAGATTAAGTTTTGATAATCACTCATTTTTGCATACATTTAAATAAGTCTTACGATTTTAATTGACTTCTCTCTTCAACTACGCAATTAATTCCTGTTATTATATTATTTTCTTCACTTATCAATTTCCCAGAAATAATACAACCCAGCTCATTTTTCAGTGTTTCAGATTCTTCATTGTTTTCGTCCCTCACAGTTTGTGTTTCGACAGTTGACGAAGAAGTACAAAATGAACATTTATGTTCCGATTGTTCCTTTAACACGGACAGTCCTAGTTATGAGAGAAAGTTGATAATTGATAATCTGCTATTGAACATCAAGCAATTAAGCTAAATTATTCGTACCCCTTAAAATTGTAGATCTCAACTCCTTCCCATTTCTCAAATACTCGTCATCATGCCTAGAAAAATCTTTGTCGTCAACTTTATCGTCCACTTTTTTAAACACTTTGACCAAGCTACTTTCACTACTCGCAGTATCATCGGCACATTTGCCAACACTGGTTTCAATTTCAGATTGTAAGTCAATCAGCAATTTTTGCAAGGTTTGGAGTTGAAAATATGTTTTAGAAATTCTCTTCAACTTTGCAACACACTTTTTACACGAGGTTACAGGTTTTGTATTCGCACCGTCATTTAGAAGGGTAAAGTCTGGAAATTTCCATACAGTTTTTAATATTTTTACGACTAATGAGGAAGATATGGAATTGTGGGATTTGTCCTTTTGTTTTAAGAGGAGGTTGCACATGAAACATCTTAAATAATGCATTTTTGTGGTGAAAAGTAGTCAGGATTTTATTGTTAGTAAACTTGCTCACATTCTTATGTAACTTTCTCTTTCATGCAACCGCCATAAAAAGCACAATGATTTCATGAAATCGAGAAAACTTGTAGAAATTATAGATTACTATTCAATTCGTTTTATTCATAGTAAATACTCAGGCCCGTAGCGACGGTGGAGAAACGTGGAGAGACACTCTCCAGGCCGTACGCCCCGAGGGGCCGTACCGCCGGGTTCCACAATAGAATGTACAGGATAAAATCGGGGTTTCAAAGTTTTTCGGGGGAAAATTAGGCCGTACCACGGCCAAACTCTCCAGGCCGGACGAAACGTCGCTACGGGCCTGTAAATACTTACTGCATTACAGAGGTTATAACAAGACACATTTATTCTATGTATCCAGATCGATGTTTTTCTTCAGCCTCCAAGTTCTCAGCTTGGTTTAAGAGCGTTTGGTCAACTTCTCCTTCAACATCTGCATACAGGTCCTTCAGCGCTTTCAGGGTTGCCCCGATCTTTGTCTCTTGTTGAAGAAGGGTGAAAACTCCTAAAATTTTTTGCAGATTGTTTTAACAATTTTACAGCACAAAAATTACTTTTTACGTTATTGGCATACCTTTTGCATTGCCATCCAAGAGGGCATGTTTTATATCACGCTTAGTGGACCAATAAGCGTACGCGATATTTCGCAGAAACCCTTCCTCGACGTTAACTAAAAATTAAATGGGTAAGTGATATTACTGTGAGTGAACTTGATTGAGTTATAAAACTGATTAAATTAAGCATTACCCATAATTAAATAATAATTACAGCTTACCTCTGACAATTGTCGAATATTTTGATGGGTGTAACTATTTAAGGATTTTAAACAGATTTTAAACGATTAGCTATTGCAGGATGAAGACGAAATATGGAGCGAAATATTGGTAAATGGATGGATGGTAAATGGAATTTATTCAAAATTGATAATATGCAAAATTTCATGTCTTACATTTGCAATCTTCAAGCCAGTGGAAGACTCTGGATTTGCGAAGCCCATAATGAATAGTTTGTAAAATATTTAAGTTGTTAACCTGCAAATTGAAACTGAGCGTGGTGAAGGAAGGAAAATCATGATTTTATGCTCATTTTCCAGTGCATTCCAACCATATAAGCAATGCGAACCTATTCAATTGCATTTCCAACTTCTTTCAGGTAGCAAAATTTCGGTCTCATTTCTATTTCTGAGGAATTCTAAAGGTTTCAAACCTTTCATATAATGTTTAGCTATGGGTTTAACGTACCTATTTACTGTCAATGAGATGAGACGAGGTAGACCCATTTTGGGGTTTTAGCATTGTAAAACATGGAGTCCTACAAATGAATGACACGATACACATACCATGATCCAATATTGAAAAGTTGACCTTGGAATATGGAAAAGATAAAGTTGAGACAAAAACTATTTTAAATGATCCCAAGGATATATGTTGCTGAAACCTTTTCTGCTTTAGAAATTTGTAAAAACTATCTTATGCGACGCCATTTGAAAATATTTGCAACATAAATAAATATGAAATCAAGAGTTGTATGAATTTGGCACAGTGAAAAACCGGAAAACTATGTCGACCTATATTCCGGAGATCAGATAAGGTCATAGTAAAATATAACTAAATTTGATGAACATTTAAAATCTGTTATATTTTGTCAAAAGGCCCTAATAATATTTCTCTGGGGAATAAAAGTGCATGTGCAAGGATAAAAATCCACCCATAACGATTACCAACAAAGCAGATACCGTCCTTTTTCACAAGAAAAGAACATGAAAAACCTTGATTAACGCAAAATAATAAAATAGTATATGTACATACATATGTACTATATGTACAACAATAAAATCGAATACTACTTAAATTCTACGTTTGTTCCATCTACGGAATAATTTCACCTTGTACTTATTATGATTTTCTACCAAGTTGTTTTTCTAACCTGATCATCCAATTCTAATAAATTCTACCCTATTTTTACGGTTATTCGTTACGGTACAAGTACATAAAATACGCACACTTTGATTGAAATAGATGAACCGTAGACAGATTTAATCGCAGTCAATTAATCCATGCTCAGTCAGCTTCACACCACATTTATGTATCTGTATATGTATTTACGCTTGTATGACACCACACCCTGACATAACAGCTTCATTTCGTAAACTATATTCTTCATACATCGAAAATACCTGCAATCAAGGTTATCACCTGTGACTGCTCCTCCCTCATAATTACAATTGCAAAGGAAGAAAAGGAATTAATTCTTCCTCAGACACAACAATGTCACAAGAGTTCACAAAACCAACAATGCGGAGTGGAATGCATCATCCAGAGAAGAGATTGAGATTAGCATATAAATCCAAATCCCATCCTGTTAATAATAAATTGACTATGTCTGCATCCATGCTGTGCTCTTAAGCCGTTTTGTTTCGCATTTTTCTCATTGTATGGCCTCATATCATATCATCGGCTTTGAAATCCAGTTATACTTCGAAATACGGATTGTTATGTCGGATGCATGTATGTATACGTACGTATATGACCTGCAATAATAAATTAGTACCTAGAATCCATACTTATTGTTCGTGAGGAATGTGAGATTTTTTTCATCTCAAACCCCCTCCTCAGTGCTGGCTTATTCTTGAAAAGCTTCAGATATGTACTTAATAGTATATCGTTTCCATATTAAATTATGCTTAGGTTTGAATCATCAGTGTGGATTAAATTGACGATGCCCGATGAGTATAAAAAGAGGTCCATGAAGTTACCACACCAGCAGACGACGTATGTACCAGGATCAGAGTTACGGCGTGCGTCTAGTTTTTGCAATTTAAAAAAACGTACTAGAAAATGAAGACATCGATACCAGTACTAGTCGTTTCATTATTTGTGTCGCATGCAGGTAAAAACGTTTGAAATTTATTTACGACTAGGTCAATAATTAATAAAACGAGACAATTCTGCATTTAGCATCTGCCTGTAAAGAAGGGAGCATCACAAACAACCCAAAAGATTGTAACACGTACATTGTCTGCCTCCACGAAAAGGAAAAAGTCGTCTCATGTCCGGCCGGACTTCAGTTCAACAAGGAGAAAAGTATCTGCGATTGGCCAGCGAACGCGAATTGTGGTGGTGAAAGTGATGGAGAAAGTGGTGAAAATGGGATCACAACGACCCCAAAGCCAACCGGTCCACCACCTCCGCACGGTGAGTTATATGTAAATACATAGTCGTCAAAAAGACCATAATATTTGATTTTATAAAATTTCATTTGATAACAGGACCCTCTCCCAGATTTGCCCCATATTTTGACGTGATGCTCAAAGGAGGAATGAACCTGTCTCAAATTTATGAGAAAACTGGCCAAAAGGATTTCACCTTGGCGTTTGTCCTAGGCTCGAGTGGCGGCTGTGACCCGAAATGGGGTGCAGAAAGGGATTTGAACGATTCTGAAATCATTGACGGTATCCGAGCCGTGCAGGAGAAGGGGGGTCAGATGATTGTAGCGTTGGGTGGTGCAGGTATACAGGTTTCAAGTAGAGCAGAAAATTATGAAGACGAAAAATATTTGTAACTTGTCAGTCGGACCTTATCTTGAACATTCTTGTAAATCCGTGGATTCATTGGCGGAAGCGTATTTAAAGATTTTGGACACGGTTAAGACAACCCATTTGGATATTGATGTAGAAGCACCAATCAATATGGAAATGGTCAACAAAGCGTTAGCGAAAGTACAAAAGGAAAGGCCAACGACAAGTGTGAGGTAAAAGAGTCATAAAAGTACAAATTGTGAAAGCACTTGCATAAGAGTGACGTTCTAAAATAATTTTGTGGTTCCAGTTACACATTAATGGTACAAGCGGAAGATTTCGGACTGAATCCACAATTAGGACTCAGAATGATTGAAAGTGCGAAAGAGCAAGGGGTTCATGTCGATATTGTGAATCCGGTAACTAAAGTCTACAGTATTAAATATTAAGTGATTAAGTTGACGAAATAATTAATTTAATTATGATTAAGATGACAATGGAATTTGGGGGACCTAGCCCAGATTATGGCGACCAAGTCATTGGAGGTAGGTCAATACTATTTAGTATAATAATCAGAGATTTCATTTCCATTTGTTAATTTTTATTTGTGATTTCACAAAGCTGCTAAATCCGTGATCAAACAGATGAAAATTGTATGGCCGGATAAGTCGGATGGAGAGATTCGTAGGATGCTGGGGGTAATTTACAAGTACATGGGTTTATCGGAATTTAATTTATCTTAACTTTCTCCACATTCATTCTTCCCCCAGGTGACTCCCATGATTGGAAAGAACTTTAATACAAAAGTATTCGAAACTAAGCATGGGCGTAGATTGGTCGAGTGGGCCAACAATAACCATATCGGTTTCCTCTCATTCTGGTAACTAAGATCTTCTACAAGTAATTTCGTGTGCTATCACATATTCTAACGTTTGATAACTGCACAGGTCCGTTGGACGAGATAATGGAGGCTGTCCCGGGGGTGGAATTTCACCATCTTGCAGCAGCACTAGTCAATCGGATTACGAGTTTACAAAGACTTTCCAAGCCTTCATAGAATAATTAACTGAGCCAAAAATATTTCAAACGCGTAAAAGCTTTACATGTACAACATTGTATTTACATATATTTTCCTAGCTTCATGAACACGGGAATTTATTGATACTTTTCTTAAAAAATAACAAGATATAGTTTTTTTTACTACATGCAATTAAAAATGATAGGTCGATCAAGTTTTTGTGGGAGAAAGCATACAACACAATATAAGGACGAGAGTTAAGTATTGATAGTTGACTAAACAAATTGTCCTTCCTTCCCTACTATTTAAATATAAATGGATGACTGACTGATGTATATATTATGTATCGGACTTGATTATGCAGAAATTTGTTAATAATTTTTTGGTTGGTACTAAGGACTATGTTGCAACAAGGTTGATTTGATGAGCTGAAAAATAAATGGAAATTATGAAATCACTTGCCATTTGGCAAAATTTACCAGCTATTTCAACTCACATTCCTTCGGGATGCTAATTGATTCCTCATCGTTCACAATGACTTCATGCGCCTTGTTACGAAATAGGTATTGTATCATTAATCGCTTTTCTTCCCAAGGGACGGGATCATAGAATCCGGGCAAATTACTCTAAAATAATTAAATGCAAAAGAAGTTATTATTAAACCCGGTATCTACTAGATAGTGATGTGCGTACTTTGGAATTATCATGAAGGATCAGCTTGCTATCTTTAACCAGGCACTGTAAAGGAATAGTTACGTCGATAATTTCATCATTGGCACCAGCTCCCGAAGAATCAATATCCGCTGTAGACAGGGTAGATATCAGTCGTCCATACTTTGCCGAAGTTATTATTAAACCACGCCTCGCCTCTTCGTCCGCCACAATTCGAGCAAAGGCAAGTTTCATTAGCTGAATTGCTGAATCCGCCTCGGTTTTCTTTTCCATCATTCTAATTTCATACATATTGAAACTGAATATATTGAAATTACATATATAAGACGATATATTGATACCTTGTCCTATTTTGTGCTTTAAGCTTTGCTTTCTCTCTCGATTTTCGTTCTCGCTCATACGGTTCAACAAATAGCTTATTTACAACAACCCATAGTATTAAGGGTGTAATTGTGCCGTACACAATAGGCGCCGGTAAGATTTGGTCACAAAGATGAATAGGAAAATTGTAGGTTTGATTAGATCGCAGAATCCTTGAAAAATATCGTTCAGACGATTAGAACATAATTAGTCGGCATTACTCAAATTTTCTGCAATGAATCTTACTTAATTCGAAGATTTACACCAACCGGAACACCAACGACCATGGCTGCAGAAAGAGTGGTTAGCTGAGAAACCTTCTTTTCAATCCCACACTCTGTGTAGAAACCAAACGTTCCCCCTCTACAAGTATTAATAATGATAACAATTAATTGTGAAATTTCCCTTGCAAAATTGTATAATTTTACCTTATCAGTGCTCGTACACGAACTTTTTTCTCATCCAATTTCCGACTGACATGACAAGAAACGTAACTGTGTGGAACCCCTAAATGGACAGATGCAACGAATCGAGTGATGGAATCATCCCTGTTGAATTGAAAAAATATTTTAATTATAAATTCAAGTATGAAAATGTAATGACTTCGCTTACCAGATATATTGAGTCTGTAATCCCCCCATTCCACCAGCTCTCCAAACGATTTGTCCATTAGATTTGTCATCAAAATGACGACCAAACGCTACCAGGAATATGCATGAATTTATTATTTGTATGTTTCATCAACATTACAAAGTTCAAAAATATAATTATAGGTACGCACATGCCACCATCGCTGGTTTTAATCCCTCCTAAATAAATTATACAACAACTTATTGTGATATGATTGAACTCGAAGCTAAACTTTGGAAAACTTTGCATACCGACGTAGACTGACACGCGATCGAACAATTTGTGTGGTATTTGCTTCCAATCAATGAAAATCCCTTGAAACCGAAATCCATTCCGTTAGTGTTTCCTCCAACCTCAAATTCTGCCGAGGTTCGATTTCTATACATAATTGACATCCGTTATTTATTAATAACTATTTAGTTATGTAAACACTTTATGTTTATGGAAAATCTAGTTGAATGATCAATTACCCGAAAGTTCTTCTAACACCAGCCGCAATGTTCCCTCTCCCTCTGCCATTTTCTGCCGAGACTGACCCCGACATAATGATTGTATCTCGAAGTGTTATGGGGGCCTCGATTGATTGAGCAAAGTGAAATCCGGTAAGTTCGATGTATGGGCCAGCTGTGCATAAAAAATATTAAATGCAAAGTTTATAGTAGTTCTAAATTCCCAAGCGGTTCGGGTCTTACTATCGTAGTAGTAATCTTCTTCATCTTCGAGGTGGTCATATATAGTGAAAATTTCTGAGGCGTTAATATTCACCGTAATGCTCCCTTTCGGATTGGCTTGCCGTTCCATTCTTTGTTCTTCTCGTTCTCTGCGAAATAAACATTAGCCAATGACATCCAATTATTGCGTGTTGTTAATAATAATTATAAAGAAATGGTAGAGAGTCTCATTTTTATACCTCTGTAGCCTTTCAAAGTCCTCCCTTATTTCCGTCGGAGTTCGATATCTCGTCACTAGGTCCATACATTGCGAATTATGCTGTTGAGCTTCTTGTAACGCTTCAGCACCGAGTGTGTCATAAATGGCACGTTTCTCAGGATCCATTAAAACTGGATTTTAAATTTGCATTATAATTAAGTAATGACTTAACTGGATAATTAACTCTAACCTTCATGAACATGTCTCAGCTTATTGAAAAGTCTTTCAGCATTTATTTTAAATTCTGGATCTAAATGTTTATCGGGGTGGTAAATCTTGGAAAGTCGCCTATACTGCATTTGAATGTCTTCAGGTTTCGCCTAGACAAACGTAAATTATAAATTTGTATAACTCTGGAGGAAATGTTCATGGAAAAATTATTACATTTCTAGGCAGATTAAGAAACGTGTAGTAATCATCTTCCAACAGGTTGTTTGTCGATCTGTCAAATGATGAATCGTTCTCGTCGTTGTCATCATCGTCGCGAATAGAAGACTCGTTCAAGAAGGTGAAATTGTTTGCCATTGTATATATTTTTTCAAATAATTAAAACAATGGAGTGATCATCTTGAATAAACGAAATGCGATTAATTTATACAAAATAATTAAAAATGCATTTTATACCGATTTGATTTAATTAACTTACATTTTGTACGAAATTTCGCCCAATTCACAATTTTAAAATTCACCTGACCCGGTTTTTCTGCTTCTTCTCAAAATATTTACAAAAAACCCCACAAACAACAATAACCTTTTCCCAGGAGTGAATTAGTCGATAAAGCACGAAAAGTGGTTATCTACTAGGTTATCTTGTCGAGAGGAGAAAAAATTAACAAAATATGCAGTCTTTTGCTCTTGCATCACCAACCAACAACCACAATTACCACGATTCACCAACCGTTGAGCATGTGAATTTCGCATCTCTCTCCCGCTGCCAAAATCTTCAAAGGGAGGAACCGCCACAGCAAGCAGTAAAACAGAGCTCAGTGTCAAAGCACGTGTCAAAAACTAAGTTTCGTTAATTTGTAATTAATTTAATTACTTGCGAGTGACGGGATAAATAATTACGTGTTAGTGAACAGCCAACTTCAACTCGTTGATTTTGGGTGAGTGGTGGGTGAGACGAGCAAACACGGGTGACATAATTTGTTAGTGAGCTATGATTTGAATAAAAAATTGTATTTATATTTTTCACTAATATTTACATAAATATTATTTAATTCCAGGCAGAACTGAACTAAACTAGTCTTTTTCTCGTGTGTCGTGCGTGACGAAGGATGGAGGGTCCCTTACTGCATGAAGGGGGAGGTGGGGATGGCGACCAGAAGGAGATGTCTTTCGCACCTGCAACCGTTGACGTCGACATGGCTGAGAAATTCTGTAACGATGATACTGAAGGGGATGTGGAGGAGGAGGAACAAATCCCAAAAGTTGCCTTGATGGGACACGACCGTGATGAGAAGATCCGCTCAGCGGATGTCGAGGTCAGCTGTGAAGACATGAACTTTGTCGACATGCAGCTCTCGGATAATATCATAAAAGGGTTGAAGCTTTGCCGGTACGATAAACCGACGCCGATCCAGTTGAAAGCTATTCCACTGGGGGGAATGAATTATGGTGAGTTGAATAAAGGAATATTTATTTATCATAATATATCATTTTGCGATAAGTGGTAAAAATATGATTTCGATTTGATTTTCTGTGTATTAGATTTACTCCTGCAAGCAAAAAGTGGCACTGGGAAAACTTGCGTCTTTACAGTCTGCATTTTGCAGCAGATTGATCTGTCGCAGAAATTAATACAGGCCATTGTGGTGACGCCATGTCGCGAAATCGCTGTACAAATCTCATATGTGATGAAATCTATCGGTGCCTTCATGCCTAGTAAGTGTTTCCTACGTCCTTGAAATAAATCATGTCACAACTGAGAAAATTGTTTTTATAATTTATTGTATATGTTCATTATTACTTTTATCTTTGAAATGTATAGTCATAAGTTATTAAGTTTGATTAATAATTTGCAGATCTCAAAGTAAAGGAATTTATCGGTGGAACCTCCGTCGCTCAGTCCATGCGTCGTTCGACCAACTGTCACATTGCGGTGGGAACTCCAGGGCGGCTGGCTCACATGATTAACGAGGAGCGAATGGACCTCTCCAACGTCAAAATTATAGCTTTAGATGAGGCGGACAAATTGATGGACACCTCGTTCTATGATGACGTCAAAGTCATTTTCAAATACATTCCAGTGACGAAGCAAATGATTGCAACGAGTGCGACCTACTCTGAAAATGTTTGCCAATTTTTGCAAGTTTTTATGAAAAATGCTTGCAAAATTCAGCTCAACTTGGATGATCCCACACTCTGTGCGGTCGATCAGTACATGATCGACGCAAAGAAGATGATGGGAGTTAGCAGTAAACGATGGGGTACAGAACCAACCAGAGGACGTGAAATGGCAGAAATTGATGAAGCTTTCGATATCAAGTTCAACTGCTTGAAAGAAATATTTCGAGGAATGACGTACAAGCAGGCTATCATTTTCTCCAACTATCAGTTGAGGTGAGTCAGTATTCTGAGTGAATTTTTAATTGACAACTTAATATTAACAAGTAATATGTGTTTGTTTATGCAGGGCTGAGAAGATTTATGACCTATTGAAAGAGTTGGGCTGGGATGTCGACCTGTTGTCTGGAGGCCGAAGTCAGGAGGACCGGTTGTTGGCGTTCATTGGGGCTCAACAGGGGAAAACTAAACTGCTTGTGGCTACAGATGTAAGAAACAAAATGATTAACAAAAACAAATATCTAAATGTTGCTATTGTCAGGTTGCATCAAGAGGAATTGACATTGAGGGGGTCGATCTCGTCGTCAACTTTGACATTCCAAAGGACAGTGACACATACATTCATCGTGTTGGCCGCACTGGCCGATTCGGCTCTAGCGGTCTGGCCATGTCTATTTGCTACTTTGATACGGAGCAAAAAGTACTTTCGGATTTCCAAGTCAATCTCCACTTTACCCTCTGGGTTATCGAGAACTCGGATGAAATTGGCGGAATCAACGCTAAGAGCAAAATTCGTCACGTTACTCGAAAGTTAACTACTGTGCGAGACTCAGATATTGGCGAAGGCTTATTCTCCCTTGCGGGGACAGAATGTGAGCAAGATCAGGAAGACTTGAAAGATATTGTAATTTCAATCGTGGATCGGGCCTTGGAGAAGATTTATCTTGACGATCCCGATGTGATGGATTCCCGCTGGAAGGTGGGGACCAAGGCTTTCATTCAGTATGAAGAGATGGATGAAGAGCTTAACCAGGACGCTGGCTTCATGAGACGGATTGCGGCTGCTGTTGCGCAACGTCTTGCTCTTGAAACGGGTACTGAGCCTATCGTGCTGCAGGATGAGTTCGATGACCCGTTTTCAAGTGACGAAGAGGACGAAGACTATGAATCCAGTGATGAAGATACCAAGCTAGAAGACTGATCACTTATAGGAATAAATTTTTGGTGATGGAATATCTTAACAAATGATGTTTTGCAGGACATTGCATTATTTGAAAAAGTTAATACAATCAAGTTTGTACTTTGTTATATACGCATAGGTTTGATCGCATAGTGCTTTATTTATGTTACTATAAATAAACTTACATACGTCATTATCACGTGATAAATCATTCTCAGTCCGATGCAAATATCATTTTGTGTTCTAATTCAACTCGCCCTATTGTTCTGTTCCATTCTAAAACTTGGTGATGCATGTAAACTCGTGGGAGAAACCGCCATGAGCGCGGTGGAACCAGTCCGTTCCGACAAATCGTTCGAAATGCGTCTCTTAAAAGGTGTCAAAACTTCTGGAAATATTTATAAAACAGATAAGTTCAGGCCTCGTGTTCGTTTTCCAGTAAGCATTTTAATTAAATTGTAATTTTGTGCTACATAAAAATTCGCTTTGCTCCATTATCAAGCATTGGTTGTTACTTTTTAGACGAGGATGGGCATCTTCTAGTTGAACGATGATATCTTGCTTACACACGTACACGACAAACACACCAACAGCTCCTGTGTGTGACACGTAGTTAATTATCCCATTCATCACGAAATTATACCAGTTAATTAGCCATTATTGTACACTCACTCAGTATGTTGATAATGTCAAAGATCATCCAGTACCATTTGAGAGTAAGGCCGTCAATGCTCCAGGAACATATATCAAACGCCCAACTAACTCCCATTACAATTATTAGCTTTGTCAGCCGGGTGAAACTGAACATTAATAATTATAAATAATATTTTGTAATTAAATTAATTGCCATAATTAATGTCACATGGTTTCATGTCATGTTATGTTTTTCTTTACCCTTTCCAATGGTCTGTCTCCCTTTTTGTCGCTATCCTCGTGTTCTCTCTGTATTTCAATAGCTTGAAACACGTCACGCCAAAAAAGACGCAATTTAAGCAGAGCAACACTGCCGCGGGGTAATAGTTGTAGACGCCTTGTGAATTCGGGACAATCCAGCAGTTGAGTTGTCCATAGCCTGGGACTAAGTGGGGGGTACAGTCATCCATTCTAATAGAAAATTCGAGTATGTTGTTAACCACCCGTCCAGATTATTCTTATTATTTTTTCTACTCACGAATAGTAGTAATCCAGCACTACGCCCGTCCCCACAAATGCGGTTGGGAGACCCCAGCCGAACAAGGAGTACTTTATGTAGCGACTTCTCCCTTTGGAACGTCGATTCGCAGGCGTGAGTGACCTGTGGTGAATTACAGAGTTGTAATTAATGGGTGTATGTACAAAAGTATGAATATTTCGCCTTGTAGAGTATGTCACCTAAAGGTCAACCATAAATCGCAACACATCACAGTCATCCACGAGAAAGCTGCCAACCAGAAAAAGTGGCCAACGATTGCTAACGAGTGGTACACCCCCAATTACATTAATTAAGTTGTCATTATTTCATTTACTATATTATGACCTATCTATTTATGAATACCGGTGAAAGTACAACCCCAAATCGTCTTAATCGTCTCCCTCACATTCAGCCCGTTCAACACAAGGGCCACCCCCTGGAAGACGTACATGAGAAAGAGTGACCCCGTCGTTGCCGCGATCGTCCACCCGTGAACGTTTTGCTTCCTCCAGAGCGAAATGTACACGGCACTCGTCATCAAGGGAAATATTGAAGCGCAGAGGAGCAAGACGCCATAGACGATCTGGTTCCCGTGACCCTGAATGTATTGATGACTTTGTTTGAAGTGTTATAAATAAATAATACTAAACGTACCTTCTGATGTTCCACGTTCCACGCGGTACACAAAACGGCAATGTACTCTTCCTCTTGATTTTGAAATCCGACATCCCCTCCGTAATCTTGGACGCCGTCGAAGCACAAAACTTTTTTCGGATTTTTCTCCACTCGACACTTCTTGTCGATTAGGTCGATATAGAGAACCGCGCCGTCATACCGGATTTTGAAATTTATCGAGTGGAAAGTGGCATTGAAAATGGAGCTTAAATTATTTGCCACGGTGTCGGACAGGGGAAAGAGGGTCGTCTTGTTTTCGAAGCAGTTGAACATAAAGTTGGCCTTCCTCCAGAGGAAGTAGTGTGGCATCTTGGTCTCGGAGGGAGCGATTTTAGTGACAGCGTCAGAGTACAGGGGAGGATTGAAGTAAGTGGTGGGGTTGCCGGAGGGAGGGTGACATCCGCGTTGGCCATCACTCATACCAAGGCTGTACACCTTGTCGAGTGTACAACATTTGGGGATGCAAGGACGAGAATGGCCACATTTTGGGGGGCAAGTTCTGATTTTGATGTGGTCAGCGGTGGAACTACATATAATACAAGTTTGTTATGAATCTAATGTAATCAAAGATATGAAAACGGTTTTTATATCGTCTCAAATTTCTTGAAACTAGGTACATATCTTGGTTATGTGATTCCATAAATACTTAGAAAATGCATATTGGCATATTACCCAATTTTTATTGTGATTTTTTAGAAGTCTCGTATGAAAAAAATGCCAGATTTCCCAATAAAATCTCATGGCGTCATCGAATTTTTAATGCCAGAAAGCTAACAGAGGTACAAATTCATGACCGTAAGCTTGAAATTTATGTAGGGTGAACGTTGTATACATACATGAAATGAGAAAACTTTCCCAACTATGTATGTACATGAATTTGCCAGTGTAGGTAAGTTTCACTCATGTCAATTCATATAAATTACCCTTCAATGCAGAATTCATCTGGTGCATAAAATTCCTTCCCAACGCGCATATATCCATTGGGATAGAACCAATTCCGTAAACCGTCTTGGTCTTCATGGGTGAAAAGTTTCGTTGTAAAGGCGTCTTCGCACTCATCAATGTCAACGTTCTTCTCCAATCTGGGAGAGAAATTGATCACGGTGAAAGCATTTTTTCCATGTAATTTGTTAGACTTACGACTTACAAGAAAAGTGTCTCAACACTTGTGCTCATCAAATTTTGAGGAACGCTCCAAATTCTGCTCGTCTTATCGTTCAGCCATTTGTCACAGGGGGTGAAGAGGCTGCTATTAGATTCATGTTTATCCAACTTGTCACCATTTTGCGTGTCATTACAACAAAGAAATAGCTTCACAAAGTTGTCACTTTTTGTCTCCTCTTGTCTCACGACTACTTGTCGTCCAGCGTTATTGGCCTTGAGATTACCACGACCGAAACCAGTTCCACTCCCCAAGAGAAAAATCATGAACCACATCAATCGTATCAATCTCGGCTTCATTTTGACAATATTTACTTGTTATTTCACCCCCAAAAAAGTTGGAATTTGGAACTGCGTTAGACAAAAATAGGATTGATTCACTCCACTGCCTACTAGATAAATAATTTTCTTCCGTCCACATACATACGCTGCAAAAACAAGCAATGTATCTTTCAGCCCGAGGAAACTAATGAGAAAACCGTTTCAGACGGGAAGAAGGCGAAAAATGATAATAATGCGCTCCTCCCCCGAATGAGTCGTAAAATGGTCATTATGAAGCACAAGCCGCTGACAGATGAGAAAGTAAAGATGTTCACGATGTAGATTTTTTTGAGACTGAGCAGAAACTTTTACTTGCTACTCTTTCAAGTGTATGTGTGCAAATCTAATTCGATTTTGGTTATGTAATCCAGCACTGCACGGGATGGAGGCGAGATAGTGTCATCCCCACTCAGAGGATGGTAGGCGACTGACTGGACCTGATAACAAAAAACGGGCAAAGTGGAGTTGTTTTGACGTGACAGGAGGGAATAGATGGACTTGTTTTACTTAACTGTGGCCATGGAATGACGAACTATAACAAAAATGATGAGGAGACGATGATGAGCTTACTTCCGAGCTGATCCTTTGTCCATTCAGCTAAGCAACTCATCATTTTTCTCTCTTACTTACTTGATGTGACATGAAAGCACACAAAGTACAGATATTACCAGCATTTCAGCAAATAGTGGAAAAACTAACTAACTGCGCTTCTTCTGCCAAATGTTTCATTCACGCTTCACTCAACTCTATATCAGTTCGAAATGAACAGGGAGTTTGTTTGCAAAACTGAGCTCTGAAGTTGGCAAAGTATGAGGAAGATAAATAAACAGGATGCTAAAGGTTCCCCAGAGAGAAAGTAGCAGCGGATGGAAAATACCAGGAAAATGGGATCACATCGCCGAACGACGTATGTATGTACATGTATGAACGTAATGAGAATGACTGATAAAATCTAACGATGGCCCTGGTGCAGCTATCAAGCTCCCTGCGGACCGTTTATTTGCCCCCAATCTTTATTTATTCGTTGCTTAATTGTTTCTTGAATGTGGTTTCTTCTGACTAGAAGAAAAAACAAGACAATGAAAATGGAAGTCTACACATGGACAGTGGTGAAAGTTCCCTTTTTTCGTGGTGACATGCTTGCTCAAGTTTGACACGTTATTGTTATTGGATTAGTTTGTATACAGCACTTGATCAACTTTAACTTCTTTCCAAGTTGAAGGACTTTTCTTCGTCACAAACAAAGTTGCTCATTTATTGGCATCTCGGATGAAAAGTATATGTAGTAGTTCTGGTTTATAGCTTTTCGCATCAAAAAATCCCATCAGAAATCTGCCCACATAATGGAAGGAAATGTGTCATGAATGAAAATTAACGAGCTGATTAAATATGAATGACATTGTTACTTTATGAGATGAAGAACCTTTTATTTTTGTGCATATAGATAGATGTACATGTGCGGGATTAATCGATTAATCCTCATCCATCAAAGATGGTAGTGGTGATGATGATGATGGCATGATTATAGGGCATCAAACAGAACAAATAATAGACATAAATTGGCAAACTGTCCAACAGAAATGAAGACACATTACATAATTAAAGTGCAACGATGGAGCAAGTTGGATGGAAGTTGATGAATGGCTCAATTTGCTTGATTAACAAACAGTAATTAGGACAAGTTTTATGTACATAGACAAAAAAATAAATGTATAATTCTTGGAATAAGATCTATACTAAACAAACTAACGTAATAAACTAACACAATAAACCATCTGAAACTTGAAGTACTTTGCGTCGCTGTCAATTGGAAATTGATAAAGTAATAATGATAAATAATGGGGAATTTCGAACGAAGTTTAAAACGGTGAAAGGTAGCAAATGTCGAAATTATGGGAAATATCAAGCTCTGAAAAAGTACAAAAATGTCAAAAATTGATTCATTTTCATGCAAGAACGTCAAAAATCTCACTTTCCTCAGCTTTGCGAAACGACCTTTGTAGCGAAACGACAACCGAGCGCTGTGGCAAACGAGAGCTGCAGAAATCTCACTGCTGCAATAACAATAATACAGTGAAACTTCTAGATTTTCTGCAAAAATTAAGATAGCAATCAAATTAGCGTTAGTTAACTTTCCTCAATAAGTCAATTTATGCATTGGTGTTGGACTAGTTAGAGTGGATAAGGTCGCAAGGTGAGTAAGTGAATATTTAATGCACAATTATTACGTTTTGTTTTTTCACCATTCGGTTTAACGTGTACTTCTCGTTCTGTTTGTTTACATTAAGTTTGAGCCCTGTAACAGCGCCCCTGTTTCATAAATCATGATTGACTTTACCTGTTTGACTTTATTACGAAAGTACGAAAATGTATTATTAATTACTGTTTTTGAATGAACTCCATTAGTTGGTCGTCGGCACCTTGAGTCAGATTTGGCGTAAAAAAACTTAATTTCAAGTTAAGTTAACAATGCGGACGGCGTCAACTACTGCAGGGGATTGGGTTCATATCCGGAATCCAGTGGGTGGAACGCCTGACTCGCCTGGGATAAGCCCCTTCGTTTACTGGGCGCAAACCGAGTCCAGTATCAGCTTGAGGGTGGACATTCGAAATGTGAAGGTATGTGAGTGTTTGTAAGGTATTGGAAAAATAACGGTAACTATAAATGTTACATATTTACTACTTTATTATGTCATTTAAGGACCCTAAAATCAATATTGAAGATTCGAAAGTGTCGTTCGACGCTGTTGGAGAAGGTGCACGGGGAGAATGTGAATACCATTTCGAACTTGATTTGCCACACGATATTTGTCCAAAGGTAGATTCTCGTTTAGTTAAGCTAATCGTCTGTTTGTTACGTATATTGTCTGTTCGATGCAGAAAAGTACATTCCGCGTTCTTGATCGTGATATTACGATCCACCTTCAAAAGAAGGAGAATGGATGGTGGTCAAAAGTTACGACGACGCATCGAAAACCGGCGTGGTTAAAGGTTAGTCTATTGTTGACAGAAATTGCAATTTTATAAATATGGAATGGATCAATTCCAGGTTGATTTCGACCGGTGGAAAAGCCCAGATGATGATGAACCAGAACTTGAGCCGAATATCATGAAGGATTATCCAAATATGATGGACTCGTTGAGAACGGAGGAGTTTGGTTACAAAGTTGAAAGTTTGCGGAAAGTATATCTCTTTTTGTACAACTTGTTTCAATTTGTGGGATATCTCTACATTGTTTCTGTGCTGACCATTCGCTACTTGAAAGATGGTCAAGGTATGTATGCCTAGTTATTAGAGAAATTGGAATTTGTTTACCAATGATAGAATGTGTGTTTGAATTTGTGTAGAAGCGACTCACAAAGCTTTTGACCTTGTCGGATTCACAATGTGCTACTGCCAAATTCTACAAATGTTGGAGATCGCTCATGCTGTATTTGGCTTTACAAAGACAAGCATTCCCATGTCCATAATGCAGGTGGGTTAAAAAGTTATCGAGTGCCAGTCCCACATTTTTAAAATCTCTTTTGTATGACAGATCATGGGACGGAACGTGATTCTTTTCGGAACTATTAATCCAGAGGTTCGCCTACATAGCCATTCTTTCATTTTCTTCTTGTTTTACATCTGGGCTCTCGCGGATATCATTCGCTACCCGTTCTACATGATGCAAATGTACAACGTGAAACCGTACTTAATGACTTGGCTGAGATACAGTTGCTGGATTCCACTATATCCGATGGGTATCTTGAGTGAATGCGTTATTATATTCAAGTAAGTTGCTTAAAGGAACAATATCTATCGACAGGTTGACAGTGATCATTCTATTCAAAAAATTTTTTTTAGCGCAATAACGTTCTTTGAAGAGACACAAAAGTTTTCCCTTTTGTTGCCAAATTCACTAAATGCGACATTTTACTTCCCCGCACTGATGCGTATCTACTTGCTTTTTGGTGTTTTCCCAGGTATGCACAATTTCAAAGCTATTATTAAATTATTTTCATGATGAAAATTTCATCCAATTTACAACAATTTGATTTTTTTGTTTCATTTATTTCAGCGACAAGTTTCATCATCAAGTCAATGTGGCGTGGAAGAAAGAAGGTTCTCGGGACACCAAAAATTGTGAAAGTCAAGGACTAGAGCCTTTTAATATATTTTTTACTTCATATTCTTTTGCCATACTATTGAAATGTGACAACAATTTTCCTGCTTTGAACATTGTTTATTGTATACAAATTGTTGCACTTTCTACTTGTTGCGTTCCTGTTTATTGCTCAAATGCCCTTTGTCAAACGATTTGGTCGCAAACCGTTATAAATTCTTGTTGTTCGATTTACAAATATAAATCGGACACCTGCCATGGTGGTTTAATGTAACAATAAGTTTGAAATGTATGTAGGCTTCTACTTATACATGAATTAAAATTTTAGCTTTACCTACAAAAAAGTGTGCAATTCTTGCCACCATATACATTTTTATTATACGGCCACTATGATAAGATCCGTTGTGCTTGATCTTCTTAAAAAACAACAGATTATGACATTGTTAACTAGCAAATACACGAGATCAAAGACTACCCAAACGGTGAAAGAGTTAATGCCAAACGCGAGGAACGCGATGAATTGGTTGTCATCGCTCAGGTCAAATGCTTGACGCAGTGGGAGAGGAATTTTCAAAATTGATAAATGGTCCACCGAAGAGGTGACGATGACACAACCAAGCAAGACGAGGAAAGTGATGATATTGCAAAGAATGAATCTTGACGCCAAGATTCTCTCGCTAGCCTAAAATTAGAGGAAAATGTTAATACTTTTCTTCTAAATTTACTGGAATTGCAGCCATCATGAGTCTGACCTTTTCCCATCCGTACAGTATTATGAGGGCAATTAACGTCTGTATCACACCTGTCGCGAGACAGAGCCCTATTAAACTCGCATCTCTAACTTGTGACGATGCCCAACTCATTTTCAGATGTTCCCATATTTTGTGAGTACCAAGAGTGGCATTTTTTCCAACTTCTTCCCCTTTGGGGTAGAGTTCGTCGAAGGATTGGTACTTGATGGAAATTGCCCAGCCAGACACAACTGCGACAGACAGGCCAGAAACCTGTGGTGAGAATAATTATTCAAAAATGACCAAATGTACTATAAAATCGTCCCATACCACGGACAAGATGCACAAAATTGTGACGGTGAGTTTTAGTGGAGTCATATTGTTCCTTGAGAGTAAATATCTGAGTCATATATTGACTAAAGCAATTGTCTTAAAATGCAGATGATTCACTGAAAGAGGTGAAAATGTCGTCGACTAACTCTGAATATGTAATGTATTTACAATGTTGTGGCGAGTATTATTCTTAATGAGCAAGAGATGCAATAATAATTGGTTTTGGTCTCAGATGGCTAATGACTTGAGATGAAAGGCGTATTATATGTATTATGTTCCACGAATAGGTACATAATGTGCAACTAGATAATTCTGTACGTGGTTCGCTGGTTGTTTATCAGGTTATTTAACTGGAAATTTTTGCGACATGCATAACTTGAGTAAAGTAATTAGCTGTAAATTGTGGGTATAGTTTGGATTTATTCCCCTTTCTTTCCTTAACATTCCTTCAAAAACAATAAAAAATTAATATAATGCTTAATGATATGCATATGGAAAAATTATAAGTTAGTTGTAGTAATTTTCTGGAAAATCGTTTTAATTATTAGTACAATAATTTTTGACATGTTTCTCACTTATGAATTTACGTATAGTAAAAAAACATAAACATGAAGGTCATTCATCTCGTTTGAAAACAGGGTGACGAAAATTAGCCAGGAATTTATTCGTAATAATCAGGTAAAAAATGTTAAGTAAAAATCACTCCTTTCTTCAAACGCTGGATTCGTCAGGCACATAATCGACAGCCCTTGACGATTGGTCGGCAGTACTAAATACATAGTAAAATAAGTATGTCGACAAATATTACGACATGATTTTATGGTCAATACGTAATTTACATACCTTGTACAGCAGCACACACAAAATAGCACCTGCATCCATAAAAATACTCCTAGAGCTAAACATAAGGTGTAAAGCCACTCAGAAATTCTTAACGGGTACGTGAAAAAGGTAAGTCCACCCAGTTGGACAATGCAAATCTGTAAATTTCATACAAGAAATCAGTTATGACATTTATGCAATAATTGACAAATAACTCACCTGGATAATAGTTATGAGAATCCAAAGAAAACAGAATTTTTTATGGCGAAGAATCCCTGAGAAAAAATTCCTTCCCGACCCTCGAGATCCCCTGACACATATTACATGAAAAAGCGTCATAAAAACGAGTGTATTGAAAATCAAGGTGCTGTGGGTGTTGGGTTCGTTGAATGGTTCCAATGGAATATCGATCAGACCTTCGCCTACAAATTCCATAATTAATTATTACATTTTGTTTTTTTGAAACTGTATTATTATTAAAATTCTTATTGTTAGTCAATTTATATAAAGTGCAGAACTCACTGTAAAATTTGAGCACTACTACTATCGAAAATTGGAAAAAAATCTGTCCAAATATATTTTTCACGGTTTGTGACGGCATGACATTTCCGTCTTTGATAACCTCTTTTGTCACATCGGAAGGAAATATTGCAATCCCGAGCAAATTGGAGAGTAAATGAATCCATGCTTTTTGCACGTTCTATAAAATGGGGATAAAGTGATTTTTTAACGATAATTCGCCCCTGCTGTATTTTTATTTACCTTAGACAGACTAGTTGATGATTCGAAATGCATTTGCACAATGTCGAGCAGAACCAGAACGATATTGATGGTTACTCTGAACTGTAGAAATTTTGAAATCGCGACGCGTGCCTTGGTCTTGTCAGGATTGTGATGAAATGTCCACACACTCACGAATGGAAGGGTTAGAGGAATTACGGCGATAAAATTTGAAAATCCATGCCCCACACATGAGGAAAAGAACTGCAAGTGCTTCGCATAAAATTGAGACTGGTTTATCAAATAAGTGTTAATGGAGAAACGGGTGATCATGAAGGATGTCGTGAGAACTCCGAGGAATACGGCTGCAATATAAGTAATTATCTTTGTACACAATTGGTCATGTTTCCATTCGGACGATATGGTTAAATTATAATACTTACCAAGTCGTAGTAGTAGTGGAGCCCAAACGACTTCTTTTGGCTGTGGTGGTTCTAAATATAAATTAATGTAAATTTTAACATTTAATCATATTTTCAAGAAGATTTTTAATATTGAATCCATTTATTATACCATTCGCTAGTAAACTTAATTGAGCATTTGGTCCTACACATGTCGCGACCATGATACCTGAGAAGAATAGCCGATTTAAGACCAGTCGTAATTATAGTGGGGAGTACGAAAAATACGTGCTTCTCACCTTCCCCTTTGGAAATGACGGACCCCATTGTACAACAAAGTCCTATATTTTTCGTGACTAATTTCCCCCGATAGAACACAATCTCAGTATTGTTCTCCAGCAAAAGTCCGTCCGCAGGGACCACGTCGCCTTCTTTAAGCTGGAATGAAAATACACGATCAATACAAAATTTCTTGTGACAAAATAACTCAAAACTAAATTAGCATGTTACCTCTATTACATCCCCGACCACGATATCCTTAAATTTGAGCGTCTGAAATTGTCCATTTCGCATCACCTCGCAATTTGCCCCACTCGCCCCCAAGCGTTGGAACGTCTCCGAGATACCATTCTGTCTTTTATAGTCTCGACTGGCATCCAACCAAATCGGAATCACGAGAAGCAACAGAACTTCTAAGAAGTCGAAAAATCCCAAAAACCAAAACTCGTCCGCTTCATCCTTAATCACCAAAATGAGAGCGAAGTGCGCCAAGGACAGAAAGATGATGATAAGTAAAATGTTTCTAATGAAGGTGAATTGTAGCTGAGAATAAGAATTGTAAAGGAAGGCCGAGTAGCTGAGAAAATGTGGAGGTGGCGACGTAATGAGATCATTCCGACCAAATGATGCTTGTCGGAGGTTTAAATGGGCAGGAAATGAGGGCAGACCTTCCGTCGAGGTGTGCAATTTTGAACATATTTCGCCAACTTCTGCTGGAGAGGTGACCCCTGACTTGATAAGGTTGATGAGGGAGTCCGTGTCGATGCCGAAACGGACTCCGTCGTTCTCGTTCATGATTACGAGAAATTTTTAATTTCAGCACCACACACACCACACAATATTTTTAAGACGATTATAAATAAATGTTCTTGAGAGATGAGATGAGATTGGATTAAGAAGAGATGTACATAAAATAGCACAACACCCAACTGGAGAAAGTCTACGGACGGGGTAACCGGGCATCAGTTCAACTTTTGCAAACAGATCGATACGTTGAGCAGCAACTTCGGCGCAGCAACAGGCATCAGACAAATGTGTTTCGGGTGTGACAACGACGGAAACAAAACCCGACACCAAGGAAGAAATGTTTCGTTGTTATGCGTTTTAAAACATTTCAAAAATCTAAACAATTCGAGTTTCTCTTGGCACTAGGATTTCTTGGGGAGTTGAGTTGGCATGTGATACAAGGAAGCGAGCGTCCTTGGCTAATAATAATAAATCCTGGCTTGATTGGACAGATGGAATGTGTAATGTGCATGGTTTGCATCATCATTATGATAATAAACGAGATCATGTTATTTAATGCGTATAATGATATTTAATTTCTAAATTGCATGCAAGGAGGGCGTTCTTACATACTTAATGATAAGTCCATATGATAATTATGTAGCATATAATATGTAATTATTACATTTTAGCCACGTTAGGGTTCCTTTTTATTGTCAGTACAAAATTTTTTCGAGACGGCAGAAATGGGTGTAACCAGACCCAATAAAGTGTGGGTTATGTGATATTAAACACGATATCGATAATAAACAACACTTTTACCACCCTTAATAGAATAATGATTTAATGCATTTACTATGATACATTTTACATGAACCTTTCTCTCCGTGTTTTTGGGCTTGCAAGTACTTTGTTAATATGTCATTATTTCCATTTGCACATTCTCTCGTGGGGAACCGGTCAGCCCTGAAAGTAAAAGATAAGACGATATCAGCCAAATTATTACTTGAGTTATTTACATGAATTAAAATCCCTGACCTAACCAACTCCCTCAGAAGGTCGCCAAACACGCCAAATTCTTCGGTTATGGGAAAATAGTATATTTCACAGATCGTTCTCAGCAGGCAGTCTTCACCTGTCATTGCAACTCTAGAATTCCAAGCCCAACTATTGCTCACGGAACTCGCGAAAGTTTCCAATTTCTTGAATAAGGCAAGCTTTTGAAGAGAAAGTTTTCGACAGAGGCTAAAATTTTCTTGGGTTGTTGAATTATTGGAGCGTTTCTTCCTCGCTTTGACGAACCCATTTTTGTTATTGTCCCACAGAACAATTTCGGTCTCAAGATCTTTAATATCGTTCCAACTGTTTAAGGACAATTTGTCCAGTAGGACTGAAAGTTGGAGAACAATAATTAATTGAATTGACACATTTTTTGTTATGCATGCATATTATTTTGCTCACTTGTGACCGGAAATGACACCTTAAAGGAGGATCCGATGCCAAAAGCGTCCTTGTTGATGAATGGAATGGTCAAGGTTGGTTGAAATTCTAGCGAAATTCCGGGAGGGAAAAGAATTCGGGGTGTGGATGTTGATTCACTTTGAGAGGGAGGAGGACTTGGAGTTGTACTTTGATAAGTCGTCTCATACCAATCGTTGGCAACTTGGAAATATTTTTTTGATGCTCGAGAAGACGAATATGAAGAGGAAATGAGGGTCAAATTGAGAATTAAGAGAAGAAGGAGAAAATATGTTTCTCTAAAAGTTTGACAATTCATTTTAACCTTTAGTTTAAGAATCTGTCCAATTTTATAATGTTGTTTTACAAGTGAGAAAAACGTTGTCGATGTGAGACTGCTTTTATACAAAGTATAAAATACAATGTAATAAAATTCAGAGTTTGTGTGTAAAATGCTATAAATTTCATACATACAAGTAGGTACATACATCTTATTACAACCTCGGAATCCGGTCCTTTGATTATTTTAGTGGTGGGATGTACACCTGTCTAAGAAAAAAGTGTGTCTATAATTTTGACGTGCTTATTCTACCGAAATTAGAATTGTTACCCTGCACATTATCGGATGGAGGTTAATTTAGCAATTGCATACAAAGTTAAAATTTCAACTTGTCCCGAATTTAACTTTACTAATGGAAATGGAGTTTAATAATCTCGGTGCAACGAAATTAACTATTCAATTACTAAAATGGGACGGTTTTTGCTATATTTAATTTACAAATGCCATGTGTACCTATATACATACACACCTTGACATTGGTATCCAACATTTTACGACTTTTTTTTCATATTTAATATCCTTTTCGGTTAGGAAGGTGTCATCCACTCCACAGCAATAAAATAAATCTCTCCGATTTTAATTAGTTGCAATAATGTCATCCTTTAAAATAATTTATTACTTTCTTGTGTAAATACTACTAGATAAGAAATAGGATAAATATAAAAATAAATAGGATTTTATGAATAAATAAATAGATAAATAAGTAGATCAAGTCAGGTTAAATACTTGGGTATTATTAATACTACTACTTGTACTATTTTCAAAAGCTAGTGGCATTGAGACATTTCTCCAACCAAAATATTCCTTCCAGTTGGGTGCCATGCAAAATATGGATTTCCAAGTTGTGGTGTCGAACTCGATATCTAATTGACTCCGGACTTGAGTGTAGTTGGAAATATCTAGATATTAATTAAAATTGCGCATTATAGTTAACCGAAAAATGTGTATTATTTTGCACATGATATCCACTCACCTTTTCCATACATGTAGTATCTAGATAAAATAAATAAAATAATAATATATCATAATGTGCCTAAATAAATTGCTTTGTTAAGAGGTGTCTACACTTACATGGTTCCATTGGTCGCTTCAAGAGCCCACTTTAATGTCGACGAGACAAAAAATTTTGATCCAGCGCAATCAAATCTGACTTTCTCCCCCCTCGTGATATTTTGACTGCTTGGTGGCCAATCTCTCGTCAACTTCATAATTTTGTCGTTTGGGACGGAAAATTTGTCAAACATCTTTGTTCCCAGGAAGTACCCGTCGTGTACTGTGCATCATTAAGAATAATCATGTAGAAGAAACATAATTTAAACGGAGCAAGGATTTTGTCAATAAGTACCTTCGTAGTCTTTCTCCTCATCGTAATAATAGACCATGGCTTGCGCCACGATTTTGTGCACCCCTTTCACCACACATTTCAAAAGGCCGTGCGGTCTCTCCTTAACATCGAAGGTGAGACAACCGTTGTTCACCTTGGACTTGTCGAGCTCTTCGGTTAAAACGTAATCGCCAGGTTGACACTTGTTCTGAGTGAGACAGGCAGACTGTTTCAGGGTGCATTCCGTAACTGCATGTCACATTAAATGGACAATTAAGCTAATTACTCGGACAATTAGAACAATTTGTATTAGGAAATTTACCCGAGCTGCAGTTTACCCATTCTAAAGTTGGTACTCGGAACGGTTGGGTGCAGCATTTCAATTCGGCAGTAACATTGTCATAGATTAGTTGGTCGATGAAGGCACCGTCTTCATGGCATAATTTACACAATTTTGTAAAAAGATTTAATAGAAACATGCACTAAATTTAAGTACGTACCTCCCGGATACATTTCCCAGGTATGCATCGACCTCGACTCGTTGATACTGGTGCAATTTATGAGCGTCAGATTCGTCAGATCTCCAATTTTCGCTTCGTAAGTGGCAATGTAGGGATAGTGGGAGGAGAAGTCGACATCATGGGTAATATTTCTATATTTCAGTTTTCCGGTGGGATCATCGGAGAAGGTGATGGTCACATTTTCCTTGGATTCGCATTTAAACGACTGGGTCTCATTTGTGAGGATTTGCATCTCTTTGACATATGGAGTAACACGGATGGCGTCTAGAATTAAGAGCAAATGGTACAGGTTGGATTTATTGTGTGCTAAAAGTTAGTATCATTTACCTGATGGCAAATAAACTTGAATAATTCCCGAACTTTGGTTCTGTTCAGGACTGAAACACTTGTAAAGACCGTACAAACTGGAGGTGTGATTTTTTGTGAGGCTGAATCCGTACAGGGGATCAAAATTTATTGGTATTTTGCTGTTCTCTAGGGGTTGGAACTTTTTCTGAAAGATAATTTTTTAAATTCAAAATATTTTCTTCCAAATTTCATTAAAAATTGTTTTGAACCGTTTCATTGCTGTATTTCAAAAGGGTGATATTTGGCCTCGGATCCGTCACTGGGCACGGAATGAGAACGGAATCCCTGTATTCCCACGCTCTGTACGTTTGATTGTCCGAACTTACAAACAAATTGTTCCCTGATAAAGTTGATTAATTATTAATTTAACCTAGATTTGTTACGCTTCGTTTAACGAGTATTTACTAACCTGGAACAAAAACGTTAACGTTTGCCAGAATGTTCTCCTGCTGGTTGCGATGTCCAAACTCCCTTGTCGAACTGATGCTATTGTAATGAAATATTATTAATTATGATACTATTTTGTGAACCTTTTGTTATTAAAACCTCTGAAACTTTACCAAGAATAGCGACCTACGATTTGATTGTCCACCTCGCCAAATCTGAGCTTTGCCGAGTACCCGTACGCGTTGGCGTCTAGGACGGAACCGTTTACAACCCGGTTTGCAATATACTCCAGATTTGGTGACTGAAAATATAGTTTAGGTCAGTATTTTTTCAGAATTTTTTTCATACAAATCGTATAAACTCACCCCTTCTCCAGCATAAGAAAAATCGACGGGGTACGACGCGTTGCAATCCAGGGCAAAAAATGTGTTAAGTTTTGACCCGGAAACTCCGTCGACAGAATTGTTTAGAATTTCTAGCGTTGTTTTATCCAGGATTACGCCGGTAGTAGAATTGATCTCAATTTGTTTCAGGACTTCGCCCGATTCGGTTTGAATTGATGCCCGGAGTTGTGGTGATTCTAATTATTATATTTTTTGTCTTATCTTAGCAATAATCGATAAGTTATCAAGTTATCTTACCCCTAACGAATATCAACCCTGTCACATTTCTCCATGTTGTTCGAGACGATAAAACTGGAGCATAGCAATGAATCGCTCTCACACTAGTATCATTAAACTTAATCTCAATCTGACTAAAGGACGTGTTAGAGTTCATATTATCATCTAAAGAAAAGCAGAGAAATTCAAAATAATGAAAAATTTCGAAATGTAAAAAATATTTTCATTACACGAACTATCCAAGAACACCGAGCTTCCATTATTGTACTCGACCCTCCACACGATCCCATTTGCTAAAAATAGTTCGGAAAAGTAACACAGAAATCTTTGCCGTTCCCCAACAAGTGCGTTTTTCGACGTTTTCGAAAGTTTCATGATAGATTCGCTAGCTTGGACTTTTCCTGCGTCAAACTTGTCATCCGTGTAAGCTTTAAAAATAAAAATACATATGTACAAATTAATTAGCAAAAAGTGGGCAAAGATTGGCACGCATGTTTTGCATAAAATTTTACCCTGATAAATCCTGTACGGATTGAAATAGTACATGAAATCTCGCGACACGAAACCATTCACTCCTTGCACGGAACATCGGAGCATTCCCGAAGGCAGCGTGTACTTAAGATAAGGATTGAAATATGTACATGAGCTGTTTAGTGTTGAAATCCGATCTCTATGCTCCCCTAAAAGAGAGTCCTTTGTCTCATCGTCCTGATCAAATGTCAATTTTTTCATAGAACACTCAGTTTCTGAACGACAAAAGGTGTATTCCAGTTTCGGTTTGTAATATGAATTTGAGCAGCAGACGTAACGAGCATCCTGATATCGCTTTTGAGCATCAAAGTAAAACTTTTGGAGCGACACGTCATCTAAAGTTACACGTTGTTATTTTCTAGTCGGGTTGGAAATCAAGTCTGGTCATGCTTACCGTATGTGCTGTACTCCCAGGTGTGGAGGACTTCGTCATTAGTGGTGACACACGTGATGACTGTGTGTTCCGAGGAGGCGTTGGTAGGATGGATTTCAAACGTTGCGACGAACGGATACTGCGAGGCTGGATTTACTTCAAAGTCAACTATTCTGGGTTGTCGATCGCCGGCGAAGGTCAGAGTGATATTTTCCTTGGCTGAAAATAGTGACAATTTTGATGCCTATAAATAGTACCGAGGGTGTTAATGAAAGGTAAGTAATATTTTACCGGCGCAAATAAAAACCTGCTTCAGTCCGGGTTTAATGGAAACGAATTTAGTGTTAGGAATTATTTGGACATATTCATCTGCAAAAGGGAAGGATTCGAGGTTAATTGTGTACATAATTAATTAATTCGTTATTCAATATGTGTACCTTTTGGTGGGAGGACGCTATGAATTTCCGAGCTTTTACGAGTCATGGGCTCCTTGCAAAAGTACTTTCCCTTGTAACTGCTAAGTGGTTGGTTGACCTCGATCGGTACAGTGAATCCAATTTTTGGATCGTAATTAAACGTGAATGTTACTCTTGCAGGTTTCTGGTGGATATGATTTTATGTTAAATTTAAATTAATAATGGGCCTTGTAAAAAATCTAATTCAATTAATAAATTACCGACTTAATCCTACTCTGTTTATAGAGCTTGATAAAACTTGCATAGCGTGGGTTTGATATGGGACACGGCACGACAAACTTTGTTGAATTTCTTGTCAGCTCAGTCTTTTGACTTTTCACAAAGAGGAACAAATTTTCTCCTGACAAATGCATACAAAATGAGTCAGGGAATGAGATATGTCAGGATCACAAGTAATTGTAAATTGTGTATGCAATTTCTCACCTGGAACGTAAAGATTGAAATAAGTCCGACCCGTCGCATTTTGCGAAATCCCTTTACACTCATACTTTCCAGAATTTCTCTCGTCGTTCTTTATGAGATCAAGAAATACTGAGAAAGTGTAGGTCGACGGGTCCGAAAAGTTTGTAATGTGTCGGTAGGATTTCGAAATTGTGTGAAATGGAGCCTTAAAAATTACACAAATTATACAAAATGTACAGATTTTTTCTTGTATTTAAATTCCTCACCCCGAATCCCTCATAAATCCACTCAACCGGAAACGACGCGTTACAACTTAACCTAAGCGACCTTGTTGGCACATCCTGACCCAGGTGGAGGTCAAACTTGTCCACAGGCAGGACCAAGGTGTCACCCTCAATCTCACTCAAGACCTCTTTGACAACTCCAGATTCTACGAAACTCGCCCGAATTGTTGGAGGTGGGAGATTTTGAGGAATAATTTGTTCCGACGCGATATTTTTGTACTCGATAAACGATGTCGTTGTCATTTCGACGTCATCCTGTACCACATCTCCGTTCGTGGAAGTTACCCCATCATCATTAGCACTGACTAGAATCCAGAACGGACTGCTGAATATTATGACGAGGAAGGAAAAATGGTACACTTTCTTCCAAAATACTGCTTCATGTTTCCAATGTTTGAAGGTTAGAAACATGGTCAAAACTTAACAATTATTGCTGAAAGATGCATCCAGCGTTAACAATTATACTTGAAATGGACCAAGTATGTAACTAAATTTATGCTGAAAAATGAGATAAAAACTGAAAGCGTGCTAAATATTTTGCACGACTACTCAATTCAACTCGGCGACTAAAATGAATCCTTAATCAAGTTTCGAATAAAACTAGCATGATAAACTACTTTCCGTCTAAACTGCATCTTCTTCAGTGAAGCCAAGTCAATATGCAAAATGCATGCACAATGCACAGCTTGATACGAACGAAAGTTTATGTTTATGCATATGCCACTCACTCCGCACAAAGTTAACACTTTGTTCCACATATTATTTTAGACGAGGTAAAAGTTTTTCAAAACAGCAATGAAAGAGCTATTGATTGATCGTCAATGGTCATCATTTTGTCTTTATCGATGGACAACAAATCGGCTAATGTGCATAGATACTTGAGAAAAGAAAACTAAAATAGGTCCTCGCCTACTTTGATCGGTTATCATCACCAAATTTTGATCGTTGATATACAAGTAATTATTGTGTCGAGATGCAAATATAAACATGAGAAAGAGTTTTAACTATTTGCATGAACTAGTCAAGAAGATGAAGATTGAAACCGGTCTTTCACTCAATCTGACTTTGCTAACCCAATTAAATGAGATTTCCAAGTTGGTTTATGTATGTATGTATGCACATATATTTGCAGTTGTGAAGGTTGCAGCGTTGCATTGTACTTTGTATACTGCGCATAGACACTGCCTGACCATGACATGATGGGTGACATTGATTTGATGATTGGAGATGATGCACATGCAGACAAAGATTTTTCAAAGTGATGTTTGATTAAGGCCTGAATTAACCTAGTTTATCTTGATGTAAATGCTTTTGGTGGAGGAGGATCTAAATATTTACCACGTATTTATGTACGTAGTAAGTTCTTGTGCAAATAAAAAAAATACATATGTAAAGGATATAAAGCAAGAAGTATAAGAAGTATTTTTTTTATTTGCCATATATTTTGCAAATTGATTTTTTTGTGAATTCTTTACTAATTCAATTTTGACTTGACCTGGGATGACAATGGACCAGGGCCAACATTGTTGAAGGGTTGGACGACAATTGTGTACGGGATTGTTGAACTAAAAAAATAGTTTTTAAAATTTAGAAAAATGTTACAGATTTTGATGAACAAATACTTACTCTGGAACGGAAATGTGATACTCGCACATTTTCCCGAGCAGTTCCATACTCGTGAGGACGATGAAACTGAAGGAATCTTTAGAGCTCGTCATCCCATCGTCGTCATGATCTTCACTTTGTGTGATCCGTTTGTACCCAATATTGTAACCGAGGAGGGCACCATTCCAGGTGGAGCGAGGGGGTGGTTTCCATTTGATGGAGAGGGTGTAGTCGTCTACAATGGAAACCTGTGACAAATAAGGGGAAATAATGTCAAAGATCTGTCCAAATTTTTAACTTTGAGATCCGACTCACCGTTACGTTTTGGACAGGACCGTCGGGGATATCTTCTGGCGTCTGGACCACAATTGATAAGGATGGCAAGGTCGTGCCAGATTCATAAATGGACAAGATCCTGATCAAGGAATTAGAAATAAATTGATGCGGAATCTCCAAATACATAATTCATAATATTAGCTGTATTTAAATATGTACCGGAAGTGGTACATGGACCAAGGCGTCAACCCTTGCACCAAGACGGCATCTTGCTTTCCAATACTAATTTTCGTCGCAGATTTCCAATCCAACCTGGAGACCTTGTATTCCAACACGTGTTCCACTCCTGGTCGTAAAATGGTCTCATTTTGATCACTGTATTTCCAAATTATGATCGCACTACGACACTGTATCATGCCAGCGTGCAACTTAATTGGCGAAATTTTGGGTGGTTGGGGAATCTTTCTTTCAAGAGCCGCATTGTTTTTGGGTAAATCGAATTCGTATAAAATTGTGACACAATGTTCATCACTGAAATGATAAATAGTTGGCGTGGTCGAATTAACGTGGCAGCAGACTGACGATCCGTTGAAATCTTTAACGTTGACGTCAACACTTTGGAAATCTGATCCGACACCTTGTTTTATTACGTGGCCGTTATTTTTCGCTGAAATTGATGAGTTATCAAAATACCACGTAAACTCGAATCCAGTAAAAATATTGTTCTCGTTACAGTCTGAAACTATTTCACACCTTAACCGTCTAATGGTTGAATTGCAGCTTTCCATCGTCTCACCAGAACCAACGTAAGTTGAGGTCACGTTGATATAATACGACACGTTTTTCGACTCGAGACTATTTTCTTGCGAAATATTAGGAAAGAATGCCGACATGAAGCGGAAGTAGACCAAAACATAGTCGAAAGTCGGGATGTGCACCATTTTAGTGACGAAATAATTTACATGATTCCCAGTTTATTAAGAGTGAACTTGGTTCGCACTGTATTTTACTTGAGCCGTGGTCAAGTAACACGAGGAGGAGAGGAGTTTCACAGTCTGAGAAAAATGCCAAACCGAGATAATTCTTTATCAAAGAATGAATTGCAGGAATAGTAAGGACATTACTCATTCGAGACGAGAATGAAATACCATTCGCGTTACAACCTGGGATATTTATAGTCATGAGAAACACTGTATAATCGGACGACTTTATTTCTTCCGGTCTCACGGACAAGGGCAGTTTACGGATATTGATAAGCAGGAGGAAATTAGGACGATAAGAAGAACACATTTGTACTACGATGAAAGAAATGCAGTTTGACATGAATTAGTTACAAGTTAAATACTGGAATAATCCATAGGATCGTCTATATTATTTAAGTATGTGTCATGATTTTGTAGGACAAACTGGTGACTTTAGCATAGAATTGATACATACATTTATTTGAACATTCCTAGGAAATATGCATAATACAGTTTTAGTAGAGACGCTTCCGTTCGTCATGTTCATAGAGGACAAACCACTTTCCCATAATCTGATGGGGTGTCAGGTGACAATGAGCAAGCCAAATTCCGACATTATCTGCAACCAGTCTGATCGCACTCCACCCACAGGGCGCCCCCACCGTCGTATTTTCCACGGTCTGGGCGGGGAAGAGGGTCACCACGTCACGAAAGCGAAAAACGTGAGTCCCGTTAGCGGCTCGAATTTCCTCGTTGATTCGTCCCCCGTCTACAACTCGGTCATATCCGTCCGGTCCACTCCCCACGATGTAAAACGTGTGCCCGTGACTAGAAGGTCAAAAATATGTCAAGTTTTCTACTGGGGCACAATAATCCCCAAAATCTTACAGGTGCCAAGGATGCTGTTCACATTCTCCTTCGTCACTCATACTATTTTGAAAAACGATCTGGACTGCTTCCCCGATGATCAGTTCAAATACGCCATTCTCACGATCAGTGAGGATGTCCTGACCAGCAAGAACTTGGTGAAGGAGGGACGGTCCTTTATGACGGTGAAGGCCCCCGTTGATGTCGAATTTCGTTGTGTTGTCTAAACTTACACGTTGAGACGAAGAAATTGTGATTTCTCGACGAATTGTTTGAGGGACGGGGTAAACTAGCTGTAAATTTGGTAATAATTAAGTTCGGTTATCTAACTTTGGTAGATATTTTAATACATGAGATACGTTTTCCACCTACTTCATTTCCACTGGTTAAATTATTCCTCGGGTGCAATTCGCTCAGTACCCAATTGTCCAATTCAAGTTCGTCCGTCTCACCAGAAAAGACTTGCTTCCTCATCTCCAAAGGGTCGTCTGCGCCCTCGTAATGGAGGATAGCACGACCATTTTGTGGTCCAGGGCCTGGCAGCATTTCACTTCGAATCCAATAATTTCCAATTGGTTGATCCATTTTGACAAGGACGCTGTACCGCTGGGCAGAGTTGAGTTGAAGATAATCCGCGCTTACGGGGTCAACTAGGGTCCCATCCACCTCAACGATTTGGAGATCTGTGTGATTCTCTATGGTGAAAGCTAACATCGAGTCCATTCCTAAACCGATTACTCGAAAACGATACGTCTCATTTTGTTTCACCGTGATCACTTCGTAGCCATCAGAGTGCGTTCCTAATCAAAAACAGTTATCGAAATTGTCTCCATTGTCGCCATTCAAATTTGTTGTTGTTTTTGGGAATTTTGAAATGCATATATATCTTTACCTTCCTTCCCATTTGTCGAATTCGCCTTGTGCCGGTGACCTTCCCACTCGCCCCAGGATCGTCCATTAATAAGGAGAGAAGCTGTGTCGGGAACGTCCTCAAATGGAGCGCCGGTCAACCCATTTAAAATTTCGGATATCGGAACATGCCAACATTGACTAAGGACAAGAGTAACTTCTCCGTCATATTGCATCGTTGAATTAATGGTTTCCTCATCCTCAAGTACAATCAACGGACCAAATGCCCACACTAAATCGAGATCCGTGTGGGCGTGGTACATAAAAGTTCCAGATTGATGACCAACATTGAATCGGTGCGTATACGTGGAGTTGGGAGCAATTGGTTCTTGTGTTATGTGTGCTATTATGAATCATAATTAATTAATTAATTATTAGTCATAATATATTTCATGGGCATAAATAAAATTATTGCGTTACATACGTGCTCCGTCAGCATCGATGGACTCTGGACCATAATTTAAAAAAAAATAGAATGCGTAAACTTTTTTGACAAATTGGATTTTAAAAAATTGTGACCATTAACCTTTTAAGCATTTACATTTTATAGTCGAAAATGGGGAATGAACTTTGACCATGAATGTCATGGAGAAAAATTTTACACCAAGTTTCCTAAACCATGGTGTTCATGTCATATTTTTTACACATCGAAAGACCAAAACCATGTTAGTCATGGTCGCAAAAATTTGCATTGCAGGACCAATACCATCAAAGTCATGGCGATTGTTTTTGCAAGAAAATACTTTGACCATGACATACATGGAAGTCGAAAATAATAATTTCCACAGCTTTTTAGCCCGAGTCAGGGCTTATGGAACCGTCATGTCCGTCCGTCCGTCCGTCCGTAAACAGGATAACTCTCTTTAAACACAAGCTACCGACTTGAAATTTTTACCATGTGCATATTGGACAAAGTTAGGAATCGAGTTCGAAGATGGGCGAAATCGGTTAACTGGTTACCCGGTGGGGGTCATCTGAGTGGGTGGGGTCTTATGCACCAAAATTTCAAAATTGTCGTAGAAAGCTGAAATTTGGCACAGAGGTTGCTAATGGCTCCTAATAGATAAAACCTACAGTGCAGACTCCATATAGCCCGAGTCAGGGACATAGTCCCTGACTCAATAAGTCAGAGCCCGCTTCTAAATTTTTTTCCGAATTGACCAACATAATATCACCAACTTCCGTGTTGTGGATGGTTAAAAGTTTGTTAGATAGTTTCTATTATTTGGTCCCAAATTTTTGAGCAAGTTACAGATCATGTGTCTTGACCACCATGACCAGTGGGCTTCTTTAACATCCTGAAGCTCTAAGCTGTATGTATGTGCTATCCAGCAGTGGTTTTCAGCCTCCATATCAAATTTCAGCTCGATATAATGATTTTGAAAAATCAGTATGGGTCACCCCATAGGGTCACTCTGGTTGCAATTTACTCACTTTTAACTTCATATTCTTTAATTAGAAGCCATTAAGTACCATTGTGCCGGATTTCATCTTTTTAAAGTAATTTCTAAAAATCAGTATGGGTCACCCCACAGGGTCCCTCAAGATTAAAATTTTTCCAACCTGAAGTTATTTTTTTCTATTAGGAGCCATTAGCAACCTCTGTATCAAATTTCAGCTCTCTACAACAATTTTGAAATTTTGGTGCAAAATACCCTACCCACTTATATGACCCCCACCGGTTCAAAACTTTTCTGATCGAACCCATCTTCTAACTCGGTCGTTGCATTGCCCAGATACATGTCTGCACCAAATTTGGTCAAAATTGGTTAACTCGTTCGACAGTTCGACTGACATGACAATTACATAAGCCCTGGTTCGGGCTAAAAATCACGACTCGAGAAAAAGTCAGTCTTTGGATGTAATCCGAATATTTTAACGTTGCGATGTGATTAAAAGTCGACAATAATTACTTAATAAATTTCGTAAAAAATTGATATATGTAACTAAGGACGGATCTTTTTAATTGTTGTGTTTTCGTCCGGCACTTCGTGTAAAATTGTTCGCCATGACATACATGGTCAAAATGCTTAAAAGGTTAAGTAATGTGAATATTTATGTGTGTACCTCTTTGTAAGACGCCATGCATATGCATAGCAAAACCTCTCGGGAGTAAGTTTACTACTTGGAGGACCACAATATCATTTTTGTCAACAACGATTGGAGGGCCTGGAAATTGGCCATTTATTAGAATCCCAGTTTGTTCATAGTTATCGGGGGCAACGGCACCCTCACTAATCACCAACGGTACGGTCACAGTTTTGCAAGTGCATAACTCCAAATTCAGCGCAAGCACTAAGCATAACACTAAAATGTCAATAGTTTTACTTTTATTCACTCCCATTGTGCTCATAATAAGTTAATAAATTTCACAAAATATCGTAATGGCGAGTACGAATAATGAATGGTAATATGAAAACTTTCACTAATTACGTACGAAACAGAATACGTACGAGTGGTGATTTGGTGAGAGCGAACGAGAGTCTGATCATTTTTGATTTGTGACAATGAGAGTTTTTTTGACAATAGGATTTCGAAAATGACCGATGACAACTCTTATCTTGCATGATTTGCATCCTGTATGTAAATAATTATCTTACGGTCTTTGTTAGTTTTGGATTAGTTTTAGTATTCGAAAACCGATACCGGTTCCGAAAGCATAAAAGTACGTGTGCATAGTAAACACACTCGACTAAATTTATTTCGTGATTGCACTGCATACACATAAATTGTACAATGCATGTGGGAATCTCATGGTGATGAGACCAATCATTAATATGTAACTGTCAAGTCATGCGTTTCTGCTTAATAAATTGCGATGGGCTACTCAAGTTATCCACATGCATATCATTACTGACGTATGTACATACATACCTACACATTACTACGTAGTCGGTAAAATACAATTTCGTGAATTTCTGGAGTTCGAGGTCATCATTATTGCTATCAAAATTTAATTAGGATTAGTCATGTGTGCTGGGTTGTGGTTTTGTACTGTTAATTAACACTGTATGCTTACATATGTACATACTTATTTACATAGGATTCGGTCGGAAAGTAAAGAAACACTTGCAAAAGTATATTTATTTGTATGAAAGAAAAATTGTCACTGAGTTGGAACGCGGTAGTTTTGTAGTCCATGCGATTGACTACCCGAATCTGAAAACCGGAAGTCGATATCTCGAATAGTTCAAAAATGAGAACAAAACATTCAGAACACCTCGCAAAAAGAATTTGCCACTGCTACGAAAACGTGTGCGGGCGCGTTCGGATAATGGTTAATAGCCACTTCGAAAGAGAAAAAATTCATAATGGGGCACTTTGCAGAGTTTTAGATATGTATGAGGAGAGCAGGAATGCTGAATTCAAAAAATTAAAAAATCGTCCAGCTTGTGTAGCGACCCCCAAAGTAATACGTAGAGTTCAGAAGGAAAACAAAAATAACCTTGGGATATCAGATAGTAATTTGGGCTACAAATTGAAAATATCAAAATTAAGTTTACATGACATTAAACCTACGAAGTTGGGGGTCAAATCCTATAGGGCGAAACCTGCACCAAAGTACAACCAAGGTCAGCAAAAAAGAGCAAAGCCCAACTCTCGGCAGATTGCTGAAAAACGAGTCAAGCAAAACATGCCAGTGATTCTGGTCATGAATGATGAGACCAAGTGCTCGATTGATCCAGATGAAGTCCCTGGGAGGAAGTACTACTCATGTGCTAATAAGAAAACGTTTAAAGATTCCTTCAAATACACGCCAAAGTCAAAATTCCCCATAAAGCACATAATCGGGCGAGCATTGGACTCACTGGGGGACGTCTCAAAGCCGTTCGTGACCACAGCCACCATGACCTCGGAGAGATATCTGAATGATTGTGTAAAGAAGATCTTGATCCCCTTTATCAATAATCGTAATGTACTTTTCTGACCGGACACAGCAACATGTCATTCTTCAAAAGTTGTTCTGGACTACCTGCCGTCGAAAAAAATCGATTTTGTTGCAAAAAAGGAATATGCTCCCTACGTCCCTCAGGCAAGACCAATTGAACGATTTTGGGCATTATGCAAGAGAGAATATAGTCGTCGAACAAAACCACCGAAAAACTTGGTAAGATTCCGTAACATTTGGACACACACCTCAAAAGTGGTAGCGAGAAAGAGTGGCAAAGCACTTCTGGGGACCGCGAGGCAAATAATTCGCCAGATAGGAAGGATGGGGGTCTATGGACCATATAAAGCAAAAAATTGAACAATAAGGACCTCGTTCTTAACCCCTAAAAATGTCATTGGAATTAATTAAGTTTTCCGGATTTTACAGGCATTTTTCAAATGTTTCTTTACTTTCCGATTGAACCCTATATACATATACTTCATGCGTTAATCATTATCTATTTAAATAGGCACTAACGTTATTAATATAACTTGATCCACACTTGGCAGATTGATTACACATTATCAATTTGTGCCAGAGACATACATACATACATATTGTAAAACTGGTTCAATGTGAATATTTGTTGTTTATCAATAGGTCCTCTCAAAGCTCTAAAAAAGATCGGATTTTTCTGCTCATCGCTCATTCTGATCTTTTCTGCTCGGCTGTGCGCATGCGATTTCGCTCAAAATCAGATTTTGTTGCTCAAGAAAAAAAATCGAGTTTTGGGTTGATTTTTTCTCTCATAATCCTGCTCATTCTGCTCCACATCAGCACATCAGCTGTTTGTTTACTTTAACTTTTCGCTTAAAAATTAAGCAAAGTTTTCTAAAAAATATTCTTTATCATTATGGGTCCCAAGACCAAGGTTAAGAGTACCAGTGTCTTGCAAATCCTGTAATTTGTCGCAACAAACGTAGCGTCGTGGAGGTAGGCGGCCGAAAAACTTTTCGCTGGACACTACAAATAAAAATTGACATGGCACATTATGTAGTCGACATTTATACCGCATTTAAGGTAAATGATGGTTTGTTATCCACATGTAATTTTGAATGACCAAATCCTTAAACGAAAAAAAATATTTGAGCAGGTGACCAAATGCACTGAACTACTTCGTCGTCTCCAAGATGCTTTGGCCCTTAACTGCGAAGAAAGTCAAATAAAAAATGATTTCTTAAAACGTACACAGAGACTAAAGAAAAGTTAATGGGTTTTGGGATTGACCCTGAGAAAGACGAAACTCTGGACAAAAGTGCGGTCGTTTCCTCCAATTACATCAAATCAAATTATTTTCAATTTTCAAAGTGAAGCCGAAATAAAAATACTGGAAATCAAAATTCAATTGGACACTCTTAAATCTAAATCCTAAATATATGACTTATAAAATTGTTTATTGCTGCTGCATAAATTGAATTATTTGAGATAATGCTGTTCGTTTTAATTCTGCAATTTTTTCACAATGCCTGTTGTTGAAACACAGCCGCGTTAAGATCACATAATGATAAAAATTCTCATATCTGTTGACATTCAGCTATTTTCGGAATTTTATGAATTATGAAACTGAATTTAAAACCATGAAACTGGTAAATAAATAACTGAACTTCCCACAAATAAAGATCACGATTCTCAAGAATTATGATCAATAAAAAAAGTGGTACGTTCAAGGTTTGAGCAGAAAAATCGGATTTTTTATTTTTCTGCTCATTGCTCATTTCGCTCATTTTTTAAGCCTTGAGAGCTCCTAATGTTTGTCAATATATCATTTTAAGTGCGACATAAGTATGTGTGCAAATCAACGAACTGTAATTGTAACACAATGGTGAAACGGGCTTACACAAGAGATGTAATTATCATTTTCATTTGGAACTTGGATGCTTTTATGCAAATGTTCGATGTCAATATGTTGTATGACTTGTACCACGATTAACTGACATCGTTTCTATGGGGTGGTGCCCCATACGGTTGCGACAAATGGATTATTTTTTAGAAAATTTTCATTTTTTAAATCGTTGGGGCAAAAGTCCTTTGGTTTGCCCCAACGACTTTAACCTTGAATAACTTTTGAATAGGCAGACAAAGAGACTTAATTCCTGAGGATGAAATCATCCTAATTTTTAGCTTGATTTTTTAAGCTAAAAATCTCGAGTGTACTATTTCGAAAATTAAAATGTTTATTTTGAAGAATATCTCCAAAATATAAGTTTTTCAGGAATTTCGAAGCCAATTCTTATCTCACAAAATTTTAGAATATACCAAACTGATCGTATTATCTAGACCGATCGATTGACACCCCACTGGAGGGTGTGAGATCACTTGGTCCGGATTTGACCTAGGGGGTCATCTTAATCCTCCAACTTAGCAACGGTCCACTCACACCATTTTGTCAGTACATAATAATTAAAATTTAATTTCTTCAAAAATGAAAATTTGTGTTGGAAACAATTCATTTGTCGCAACATGTATAGAATGATAAAGTGTCAAATAATATTGGACTTGTACCATTTCTCCGAATTTTTGGTTGGTATGGCAACAAGTCCGTAGCAAATTTCACCATTTGTGACAAATATTTCAAAAATATTTTTATAATTTTTGCCTGATCAATTCTGTCACTTTTCTACAATCATCTCATATGATGCTCCATTCAAATTAATAATAATAGATATAGAGCAATTAGGACTCTCCAAATATGGATAGGCTACCAAAAATCGTCGTTCCGGCATCGCCACCCTCATCCCCTCGGACTCCTCGGCGACGAAAGGCAACATACTGGGAGCTAAACCAACGCCGAATAAAAATGACTCAACACCAGCGACTGGCCAGAGGTCCGTTCCAAGAGCAACACCCTTTGAAGGCATCTTTCTCCAGAGGTGGGTATGGGACTTTTGTCAGCGTATTAGTTTTTTTACGACCCGGCATTAATCCGATATGCATGCAGGTGATGCCGAGCCGATCGGAGACAAAGTCCACCAGATGGAAGTCATTTTTCAGAACCATGGACCATTTCCACACTCCTCTCAGAATAATGTATCTTGTCTGCGAAATCAAAGTCTTGATCGAAAGGGGGATAAGGTGACCCCGGATCACAGCTCGTCTCCCAACATTGGCGTCGTCGACACCTTAGTTGACAATACAAATATGCAAAAAGAAAACGAGACAGTTTCGGAAGAGTACTTTCCCCTCTTTAATCAACCTCATTTTATGGAGATGGAAGAAGATTGTGACGACGAGGGAAGAATAGCAGAAAGTGAGGAAGATGTCCCACATCCCGTCGAGCAAGAAGAAACGCTCACTGAATTTAAACCATGCATAAAAGTCCCGTCAGTCATGGTCATGAAGGAAGACGGGCTAAAGTTCAAGGGAACGTTGCGTATAGATAACCAGTCCCCCATGTATTACGGATTTATGGTAATTAATTAATTACCTGGATTATTTTATTCCAGTTAAATTAATTCAAGAACACAATTTTACAGATAAAGACCAACACCTCAGCCAGAAACATTTACTCGGCTTCTCCAAATTTTGGATCTGTACCACCTTTAAGTTCAGCAGAAATTGAGTTCCACATCGCTGAGCCGTACTACACTCAACTTCTGGCCAGACACGATCGCATCGTGATTCTGGGGTTTGGGGTGCCAAGGCGTTTGGAAACCGATGTCCTTAAACAATACATGAAGGTCAATAATGTTCTTATCAATCATGCAAAGTACAACGTTGCTTAATTTCGAAAATCTTGCGCATTTCCAGAAAATGTATTTCCAATACCCTGAAGTCGTCGAGCGTGCCATTGTCAAACCCATTCTAGAAGAAAACTGTCACTCTGATGACGATGCAAAACTCGCATCGAAATTTTCCTTCAATCAAATAGTTCACGAGATACACGGAGCTGAAATTATCATCCGAAATATTGCTGCAGAGATCCGTTGGCAAAAACAGTTTAAGCAGGGCATCATGGTAATGATGATTTTATTGCTGTTCGTGGTTGGATTTAATTCCATATTTCTAAAAACTGAGAAACGGATTGATTCAAATATGAAGTCTGAAAGCTACAGCTACAAGTTTACTGATTGGTTTGATGTCTACTGAAAAGGTCATAGAAAAAGAAACACAAAACGGTTTTAAAATATGCATGTCAAAATAATATACTTCTCAATTGTTAGCAGATAATGAATACAGATTTTTCTCTAATCGTAATCAGATTAATGAATAAACAGCATTCTGCAAGTAAATATGTCCATAAAATTATCGGATTACAATTTTACATACAATTTTACGGATTACATTTTCTAAATTACCCCGGGTTTTGACTTCACGTTATCGTCACGTTCTCCTTCCAATCCGATTTTTTGATTGGTCGAAATTTTTAATTGTCTTAGTGATATTTTTGATTAGCCAATCAAAAAATCGGATTGGGAGGAGAACGTGACGATAACGTGAAGTCTAAACCCGGCTTTAGCGTTCAAAAATATAATTTACGAAAACCATGACCGTGAAAAATGATAAACTAATTATTAAATAAGGGCTTTAAACAATATGTGCATAAAATATTATACAATTAATTAATTACTCAAATATTACCTACGCGCTATAATTAGCTCTACGCACTTAACCAATGTTTCAGGTGAAGGGGATTCACACTGAAGGACATTTGAGTCGACTACCCCTCCAATTTTCAGCAGGGCATCTTTCGTCGTCCCCCCAATCGCGATCAGGGGGCGATGATCACACACAATCATTTCTTTAGCATGACGAATCGCATAATTTAGACCGGATGGGCTAAAAAATACAAAGGGCGAATCCTCTTCTATACTTAAATTTGACATTAATTGTCCCAACTGCGGATTTTCTACCGTTTCGTACACAACAACAGTGTCCGTGTCTACATTTGATGTTGAAGCCGTTAAAATATTTTGAATCGTGCCAGTCTTTAGATTTCCACACGGGTAGAGGAGGCGAGATTTCTTTTCAGACATTTTACAATCTTGGACAATTTGATGGCCCAAAGATTCCGCATTTTCATCCCGACTCGTTACGATATTTAGCGAGTTATTAAACAATTTTGAGGCACATTCTGCAGTGGATCGACCCACGCAAAAAATTTGTTTAGTTCCCCAAATTTGGACAAGATTAGGATCAGATTGGCTCGCTTTCTCCACGGCAGAGACGCATCGAGGGCTTGAAAAAATTATACCGGTGTAATCTCCATGAGATTCCAGCTTTTGGCCGAGTTGGTCTAAATTAATGAAATTGAAGGTGATCACGGGTACGGTTTGTGGTGTGGCGTTTAAATGGGTGGCTGAGATTAGGGCCGATTCGAATTTGTCGGGTTGAGATTCTTGTGTGGATTTGAAGAGAAGGATTTTCATTTTAAAAATAAGATCTACATTAAAATACATTAAAATGTATGCAAAATGTTTCAGTTATTTTATTTTTTCGATTTAGATAATATTTATTAGGATTATACAATATTTCTACCTGTGGTTGGATGAAATTGAGATTACAGGCAGTGAATATAGAGTACTTGTGTATGTTTAACATGAGGATATTTTATTCAACAAACTTGTGAACATTGTTGTTTTACGTATAACAATTTAATACATGCAAAGTTAAGAAATATTTACATAAATAAAGTTTGTATTTCACGGGTGCAATTGAAGAACTGCATTTATCGTCACTTTGCTGATGATGATTTGAAGATTGCATACAACTATCTACTCTTGTACATATATTTTGATGAATTGTTGCCGGTTGCCGTATGATTTGCATTAGTATGCTATCGGATATATAGCATTTATATTATTATATATTAGTATTATATAGTATTATATATTTGTGCTTCATGACACTGGTCTGTACATATATGGTCCGCTTCTTGTTCGAAGAGGTGAGGACATGGGACAAGTTAGCCTAGTATTCGTACATTTAGCAAGTACAATTAATATTTTATTTCCAAAATATCTTCTTAAACACAATCAGTGACTCTGAGATATTTTATTATTTTCAGAATTTGCAAGTGACAATTTTGGGCAATTCTGACTTCCCTCCCGTCTTATTGACTTCCTTTCATTTGATTCCTACAATGGGGATTATTCTGGCCATCCTCCCGATTTTGCACTGCTTGGGTTTTACGGCGTCGGGGATTGCTCAAGGAAGTGTCGCAGCGTTGACACATTCTTTGATCGGGATCGTCAATGCGGGCAGTTTCTTTGCCGGGTGCCAGGCCGCCGCAGCGAGCTCCTCTCTCATCGGATGTCTCGTTGTCCTGCTCTGCTGGGTCGTCGGCCTCTTGTTCTGCTGGGTCGTCGGCGTCCTGTTCTGCTGGGTTGTCGTCATCGTGTTCTGCTGGTGCTGGGTCGCCGTCGTGCTGTTCTGCTGGGTCGTAGTCGTCCTGTTCTGCTGGTTCTGGGCCGTCGTCGTCCTGCTCTGCTGGGTCGTCGGCGTCGTGTTCTCCTGGGTCGTCGGCGTCGTGTTCTCCTGGGTCGTCGGCGTCCTGCTCTGCTGGGTCGTCGTCTTGTCACTGGCCTTTTGGATATTCGGGCTGCCCTTGTGGCTTAAAGATCCTTGGGGATGGTGGAATGGTGGTGACCATTAAAATGCTACAGGGACACCAGGGTATGGACATTTTGTCACTTTTCTGATATGATTTGTGTAAGCAAAATGTGTAAAACGTGGATTTTTTCAGGGCAAATGTGTCAGATTTTCCATGCTTGCAAAAAGTATTGGCAGCGGATCAGATTACTTCATCGGATTATTTATTTCCTGATGATTAAGGATTCTATCTTTAATTAACGGGGAGTTTTTTACAAGTTTCATGACCTGGACATTAAATAATTAAGGACTATGTAATAATTTTAATGTGATTCTGCTATTGTGAGTCACAATTTGTGACCATTTGTTTTAAGAGAATGTGCATTTGTACACGCGGATGCATATGTATTATAGTTTTCTTACTATTACAACTAGATACATATGTACCTACATGCAAAGTTAAGAAATATTTACATAAATAAAGTTTGTATTTCACGGGTGCAAATGCAAAGAATGCAATTGAAAAACTGCGTTATCTATGTCACTTTGTTGATGATGATTTGAAGATTACATACAACTACATACTCTCGTATATTCCATATAGTATATTCATCGTATATTTCTATGAATTGTTGACGGTTGCCGTATGATTTGCGAGGATATGGTCGAGACAAGTTTGTGGACAAGTACACAGCCTGGTACATTTGGCAAGTACAGACACAATTAATATTTTATTTCCAATATATTTTCAGAAACACAATCAGTGACTTTGAGATATTCTATTATTTTCAGAATTTGCAAGTGACAATTTTGGGCAATTCTGACTTGACGTCCTAAAATGGGGAATATTCTTGCGGCCCCCTGCCTCCCGATTATGCACTGTTTGGGTTTCACGGCGTCGGGGATTGCTCGAGGAAGTGTCGCAGCGTTGACGCATTCTTGCATCGGGATCGTCCATGCGGGCAGTTGCTTTGCCAGATGTCAGGCCGCCGCAGCGAGCTCCTCCCCCTGCGGATGCATAGTCGTCCTACTCTGCTGGGTCGTCGTCTTGATGTCGCTGGCCTTTTGGATATTTGGGCTACCCCTCTGGCTTCAAGATGTTTGGGGATGGTGGAATGGGGCTGACCATAAAAATGCTACAGGGACACCAGGGTATTAACATTTTGCCTATTTTACTAATTTTATGATACGAATTGTGTGAGGAAAATGTGTAAAATGTGGATTTTTACAGGATGAACGTGTCAGATTTTGCATACTCACCAAAAGTATTGGGAGCGGATCAGATTAATTCATCAGATTATTTAATTATTAATTATTAAGATTATTAAGGGTTCTATCGTTGGCTTTGATTAACGGATACATAATTAAACATAATTGAGTTTTTTTTACAAGTTTCATGACCTGGTCATGAAATATGTAATAATTTTAATGTGATTCTGCTATTGTGAGCATTTGTATTAAGAGAATATGCTTATGTATGTACACGCGGATGCATAGGTATTATAGTTTTTTTTACTATTATAACTATACATATGTACCTACATACCTATATTAAATTTAAGAACCTGTTTGTTCCATAAATCACAAATTACTATTTACCACCAGTCTTAAATTAACTTTGACATGATCGTGTTACGTATGTTGTTATTGCCATGTCTCGCCTCGCCAATGAGTCCGGCTGGATAACGATTTCTAGATAAGTCTTAATTTTGTTTAATACTCATCTACGTGCAAGACAACTTTTTTTATGTAATCATGACGTAAATTGGAAAATGGGTGTAAAGTATGAATCTATTAATAAATGGGGTGCTGATAAAATATTTAGTACAAAACTGATTACAGTATGTATATACATCTTTAATGGTCGAATCGATTTCAATTAGCCTCGACTATATAATACGAGAAACTCGACACCCAACAACAACTTAGGATTAGTCATTGTCTCTGATTCCCTGAAGACTAATTTGCATCTGATTCATTAAATGAGTTAGTTTGCTTAGTAATTGGTTTACTCGTAATTGTCATTTGGGTGAGACATTGTATTGTATTACGCGACATGATACCAAACCCAGATAATACTAGATATGTACATACCTATGCATACTGGTGACAAGTTCAAGTTCAATCCTCAAGGTAGTAAAGGTATGTTATGCATATCTCCAATAACTGGTGGTGACGGTGACCATGCACGATCAAGGCATTGAATAAACGCCTTCTTGTCCAATTCAGAAGATGAAGGTGGTAATGGAATTGAGAATGACCTCATAATTAGGAGGATAATTCTGCACATGTAGTGCACACAATCTTTAATTTAGGTATTTTATTTTTCTCAATTATTTTATCAACAAAATAATTAAGAAACACCTACATCTTGCATAAGTATAAATAAGGCAGCCAGTAACCCAAATACGTGTGTATATGTTTAAACCTTATAAATATGTACCTTGCTTATGTATCTATTGTATTTTACTCGTTTTTACCTTACTTATTACGTAGGATGCACATACATAGTTACATAGGTTTTCCAAGGTATTTTTTTACCCAACCATCCATAAATGATGTGATTGATGCCTACCTGCCTGGTAAATTGCCCAATCCTCATTACTTAATTGTATAAAGAAAGGAACGAATACCTGGTTTTTAACGTTTTTGACGGTTCAAAAGGCAGACATCAAACGTATTTATTAGTTTGGGCAATTGCCAACAGCAAAAAGTTTGACGATGACGAATATGATGATAGGTTTTGTTAGTTAATTCCCAATTCATGGGATTAAATTGCACTTACTTTACTTATGAAGCCAATGACATTTTTATACCTTTTTATAAGAACTCCCCTTCAAAATGCACCCCGTCCGTCACTCGCAAATGATACGTAAAAGGAAAAGTCAAAGCAATTTCGTTGCAAAAAAAAGTAGCAATCTTTTTTGGCACATTTTCTTCTCATGCAAAAACACACAACCTTGGCCAATAATATAATGGATATGTTAAGTTGCATTTTAACGATTTTCGACCTGTGCCATTTCACATAACGAGTCTTATTTTTAACTCGATTTGGCATTTATGTACTTAACAATACATGGCCAATGCATATAAAAGATTCAGCGGCAGAGTTTCTTCCCCAGTTTCAGAAATGTCAAGCCGTTGTCTTGTCTCAATTTGTTAAGAGATCGCTCACTCAAGAATAATTCTGCCGTAGCAAACAAAATCTATCCAAGCAGAGATACAGTTTCCTATATTTGACCTATCATGTCGCCTGAGAGAGTCGTTCCCCTTGTAAATATTGTATTAATCTAGGAGATCAATACTTTTCCATTTCTCTGCGCAATTTCAGTTAACCAAACAAAGAACCAAAACCAAACCTCAGAGGTGGATCAAGTTGACATTTTCAAATGTCTAGCTTATTTTGGGACAATATAAGTATATCATTTATCTGAAGGAGCCCTAAATAAATATCCTCTCCTCTCACCAACCACATTTCCCTTTAAAATTGCACACCTCCTCCGTCATGAGAATCCCTTTACATTTTTGGTTGGACTCCATCCAGAAGACTTGATCTCACCGGACGAGTAGAATAATGAAGTCGAACAAAGGAACAAATTCGAGGATGCATGCATGAGGATGTATGTACGAGAACTATCTATCTGCGTACAGAAATGGAGACGAATCTATCTCCAACATCACGTTTAAAGTACCAGCTCGATCATTCTTACAACAAATATCTATGTGTGGATATATGTAGCGGATTATTATGTGATGCTGGTCTTGTGGTTCTGTAAAAAAGAGTCTCAAAGCTCAACAATCCATCCAATCCAGCAGTGAATGAATCAGATTCAAGCACATCCCATTATCATTACGCGATTTTCTGCAGGGTAGAGATACACAGATAGAGTTGGATAGCATCACTACGTACAGATACTCGTGTATGTAACGCAGTGATGATGAGGATTTTCCTTTATAAAGCCACACTTTCCCACAGAGAGATTCCATTTATCCTCAAGATGTAACCGGGGTCACATCTCGCATTCCTCTCTCTATTTCAAGTTTTTCATCTCACAACCGTGTTTTTAACATATTACTTAAATAGCATCGAAAATGGTGTCATTTGTCGAAATACTCAGTGATTTATTTGTAACGAGAAGACGCCACAGAAATATTACTTCTTGGACACACGTCAACCTCAAAGTATTACTTTTTCTTCCCGTACTTGTCCTCTTGTGGTCACAAAACGCCTCGGCTTCCCCACTTCCGCAACCCTCCAGTGCATGGAATCAACCCGCTCTGGCCATCAACACGATAAATCCGAGTCATGAAGCGAAAAAGAACATGATAGGGCATCACAATGGGGGAGGAAGTGGAAGTACGACTTCCGGTGGAAAATCATCATCTCCTCCGAGTCAAAACGGTCACCACAATTCTAATAACGGTCACAACAACGAGCTCCAGAGGAAGAAAACTTATACGTGGAATACCATCATGCACTATGGACTAGCGGGCGGAAGTGATCATAATATTCGTCACAAGGCCAAAAAGTTGAGAGACCATGGCAAGCTGCCATGTCCGTTTGACCAGATAAGGTCATGGTTTGATGGAAAGTGTCGTCCAGCCCCGAGATTCAGCCTGTACCGGGTGGGCTGATAAGAACAAGTTATCTCATTACCAGAAGACTGTAGGTCTTACTATTAATAGTGGTATTTGTTTAAGTTAATGTTATCCTGCATTATAAAAAAAGACTGTGAAGAACCAATCCATGTATTGTACTCAAATTTAATTTTGTTATCTTACAAAAGTCAGCCCTGCAGATATTTAGTTGTGAAGTTGTCGAGTCAGGACAATAATTTATTTTATATTTTATACCCGTATAAATAATCCTGAGCAGAAGAACTGAATACAAAAACCAAACCTATAACCACCGGAGGATGATGTGATACGATTATTCTCTTCATGTCATCGTAATGTATGTGCATACATACGCTAAAAGTAGATATTATGCAAATGTATAGAGAGTTCAGTAAATGTGTGGATGTATGTAGTAAGTATTTCATAAGTTTAGTTTAGATCAACAACTTTTCCTTGAGAGAATACATGTTCAGTTTGTTGCCTGTCGTTTATTTGGAGAGATTCAAATTATAAAAGTTGTAAAGTTTTAGAGTGACTTGTAGAAAAAGAAGAGAAAGCTGTTTTATTACGATTTATCACATTTTATTGTCGTCTCAACTTTTCCTCGCGTTTTATCTCACTCAATTCTGCTTATAAGGAAGAAGAAGAATAAGAATAAGACACTGTTAAAACAATAAAGATTTGCAAGTTACAACTCTACAAAGTTTGACCGTTAGAGTGTATGTGCATATTGTTTGCAATTATGACGATTCACAACGGCTACAAAAACCACCACCATCATCAGCATCACCTTGTGCAAAAACTGTTTTTCTTATTCGCACTCGTCATCATTTACACCACCAGCTGCATAACTGCGACAAGGATCGGTGTTAATAGGCATGGTGGCGGAAATGAAGCAGTGAAATGCAAGGATGACTCAGGGAATGATGTCGATTGGTGAGTAATAATGATAACAATCGGCAAAACAGCCTTGTCAGGATCAATAATTAATCAATAATTAATTGTGCTGATTCGTGTTTGCGTCACTTCATAAGAAAATGATAATGGGATGCCCATAAGTTTTATTTTTTTGCACACGCACATTTATTGACCAAACAAAATCAAAGTCATTCATTCATTAATCAATTAATCGACGTCATTAATTGAGTCATTTATTTATCGACATGGATATTTTTATGTGTAGGTTTATCGCCTACAAATTTCCGAAAATTCATGACTCTGCCAACCCCTATATTCGTCAGGGTCTTGGTTACGCCTTTGTCCTTCCGGGACAGAGCGATTGGCAAGTATCGGTCGGAAAAGGGATTGACAATCCCGACTCCTTGGTGGGATGGACGTTGAGACCCTTGTTTCACGAGGTGATCACATGCACAGATTTACATAATTTTTGTGGCTGCAATTTGTGCATACTTTTTAACTGGGTGAATTATTACTGCTGTCAATTAATTTGACATCGTTCATCTCAATTAGAAATGTGGTACGCATGCTTAAATATTTACATATGCATGTATATGAATGCCATGCATTAGGTACACGCATGTATTAAACAATCAACTGCACTGCATTGACTGACATTAGTTTAGTTAATGCAGCATTGCATTTTCGGTGATTTTTGTCCACTGGAAATAATAAATTTAGACGTTTTGGAAACATAACACGCAACATAGCACGAGTCCAATTGATGTCCATTTTAGATTATGTAATTGAAACAAGGAAAACGAGCCACGAAACGTCCAGAGATTAATTGTGACGATTTTAATAATCAACTGCAATCTAGTTCGCCACATGTGTCTCACTTATTGTTATTAATATTAAGCATTTCCTAATTCTGACAACGCCACTCTTTTATTTGAAAGGATGTCAACACTACAACCAATCTGGCCTACATTGCATACAACGATCAACCCCCCACCGGTCCCACGATAGACTCTGGTGGTCATACGAAAGGCGTCATTATCACAAAATACCAGGGGGGACTGTGGCTACAACATTCTGTCCCACATTTCCCAAATTTACAGGACAAATACAGCTACCCAAAGACTGGAGAGAATAATGGGCAAGTCTTCCACTGCCTGACGCTAGAGTTGGACCAGGTCGATAATGTCGGGAACATTCTCGAATTCACGAAGCCCCACGTGTTCAACTTTTCTATTCCGGACGAGCTTGGCAAGTCGCTCCCAAATTTGGAGAAGGTCGTTCGTCATGGGCATGCAAAACTTGCCGAAATTATGATGAGTCTTGATGCTGCTGATTATTATCAATTTGTCGATCTTTACAATAATTCTGCTACGAATGGAAACAACGATGCTTACTACACGTACAAAACCAAGTCTGACTTGAATTACCAAGTGGTCCAGATAAAAAATGCGGATCGTGTGTTGGACTGTTATGCGAAAGGACCTTCTTTTCACGAGGGTAAGTATGGATCGGAATTATTCATGCATTTTTTATTAGCATAATTATTATGCAAAATAACTTTACTGGATAATCTGTCACGCATCCAGAAATTTATTCTGGCTGGATCGCTGGGAGTTTAAAGTCCGAGTTGGATGTTCAATCTTGGCTAAATGGCCCAAACCCGTACCCATCCAATTGCACGTCAAGTTCGACAAAAGTGTACAACATTGAGGATAAGGTTAATAATTGCTTATAATCATTATTATATTTATTATTATGTCACTTCTAATTTTATTTTTTATAGGATGTCGCCGGGGTGAGATTTTCGACACATCATGATCACGCAAAGTGGGCTGTTGCAACACAACGACCGGTCGTTTGCATCGGGGATTTGAACAGAATGGTGAGAGAAAAAATAAAAACAAAGTACAAATGTCATACACGCTTTGTACGTAGCTCATTAAAATTTAGAGATATGTCACATTAGATTATATGGAGTAGGGATGTCTTGTCTCATTTTTACCCCCACGACGTATCTCTTTAAACCCACTGGGAAGTATCGGATTTCATTTTGTGATACATTTCCTTTGTTCTCTGTTTGTGGTTTGGCTTGTTGTTTGTCATGTCAAAGGAGAGATAAAATTTCTTGGTTCCATTTCACTTTAGCGAAATATTAATCTCACCTCAGAAAGGGTGACGTGTTTCACGTTTTATTTATGTATGCAGTTAGAGGTGCTTCTATATACTGCCTGTGTACTGTACATACTTTCGAGGAGAATGCTGAGAATATGTAATACTCCATAAATCTACTTATGTGTCATTCAACTGGGTCTTTTCAGAAGATAGCATTGTTACGGCATTAATCATTATGATGATATTTGAACAGTAGCTTGTTTGCAGGAACATCAAACCAAACGTGGCGGAACGGTAAATTGCTTTACAGAAAAGGCAGTCTGGAAAATTTTTAAGGGGATGGTCGTAACTACACAGCCCTGTCCGAAACCTAAGAAGTTGGCGAAATTGTCGAAAATTAAATTAAGGTCTTAAGAGAATATGAGATATCAATGTCTTATCCTTTACTCTTATTTTTATTTCAACCCAAATATATTTTAAAATATTCATGTTAAAATACAAAATACGTGTTAATTGGCTTGCGGAGTAGAAGAATTAATTTTCTTTACATTTTCTTGATTAATTTATCTAATATCAATTCAATATCGCTCCCTGAAATCAGCTTGCTGTCAAAAGGGTGGACCATTAAAAAAATGTCATCCATGTCAAAACCTATTATGTTTGATAAGTCGGTTATTATTTTATACCAAGAAGTTTACATATCATTTGTACATTTTTTGTTCATATTTATCGGGATCGATAAATGAATCATCGTCTAGATATTTAATTCGTGAGTAGAGATGATGCATTTTCTTTGTTGTGTGGGTATGAAAATTTGATGCAATGGTTTGATGTGCATGCATGTGAATCGTAAAATACAAAATAAAATACTTATTTAATATAAATGCATAACTGCAAACTGTTCTAAATAAATTCCATGCCTGACATAGTTTAAGTCAGTGTTAAACTTTACCCTTGATTCCATTTATTATTTACATTATTTATCATGTTATAAATATATTTTTTAATGCAAGAGTTTCTTCAGTTCATATGTTGTGCGAAGGAATTATTGATAACTAGAGTAGAGGCCCGTTCAAGAACGGGTTCTAGGCTCCCAGAGGGGGTGTGCCCATAGCGCAAAATCCCCTACGCTACACTTCAAATAATTCCCAGTGGAGACTTTGTCCATTGTCATAATACATATGTACGTGCATCAAATCATACATTTCAATTTCCCTGATCACGGAACAATTTGACTTCCCCCTCTTGTAGTGGCTGCATAGGTAACTACTTAAATTCCCGTCGCGTGAGGGTGGCTGCATAGCTAAACACTTAAATTCCCATCGCGTGGGGGTGGCTGCATAGGTAAACACTTAAATTCCCATCGCGTGGGGGTGGCTGCATAGCTAACTACTTAAATTCCCGTCGCGTGGGGGTGGCTGCATAGCTAACTACTTAAATTCCCGTCGCGTTGGGGTGGCTGCATAGCTAACTACTTAAATTCCCGTCGCGTGGGGGTGGCTACATAGCTAAACGTTTAAATTTCCACAGGATGTGGTGGCCGAATGGCAAAAACCTTAAATTTCCAGAGAGGGGGTGACTAGAAAACAAAACACTTAAATTTCCAGAGAGAGGGGTGATTAACTAACAAAAAACTCAAATTTCCAGAGGGAGGGGTGACTGCATAGCAAAAAAGTTAAAATTCCAGAGAATAGGATATGAATTTTATGCTGCTGGTATGTTTACAATTCTACTGCAAGAAGATAGAGACAAAGTGTCGCGACAGAGTCATCATGGGTACGCTCAATGGTGTAGCGGAGCACACGCTGGTTGCGTAAACTCCATTCAATAGTAGTGGGGCGAGTTGCATTGAGAGCCACAGGGACCCAGCCAGCCAGGCAGCCAGAACTTAACAATAGCTCTTTATGTATATAGATAATGTATGTATGTTGTTGCGAAGGGAATATATCAGCTACCCGCTGATAGCTTTCGCGAATTGTGGGTGAGGTTTTGATAAGGTCTGCTTTCCGATGGCAACACAAAATAAACCCAATGCACACTTATCGGCTAGGGTTATTTACTTAAACTGGATTTTATTTAATTGAATCCCAATTTTACTAATATTTTACAAAAAATGGCGAGAGAGCTAAAAAACATAACTGACTCTCTGCTCATAACAGCGTAAACTGACGACTTTCTCTTGCCAAATTCTTGCGGGAACTTTGCATGAAAACGTGGTGTGGGAAAAATGAGATTTCTCAGAACTCACTACTATAATCATTTACAATATCCTCCCACTTTCTTTTGTGAGAGGAGCAAACAAAAGAAACAAACATGAAAACATTACTATTACATTGAATCATAAACACCACATTTTACTTAAATTCCTAGGCGCTAAGGTTGCTTAACTTTCCTTCCAAATCGGGTTCTTGTCTCAGCTTCTTTTTCCAGATTTCTCACAGCATCTTGACTGGAAATCTGCTTCACTTTTTTCACATCAGGAACATCCCTTGTAGAAACTTCTAACGAATATAAACGTTGCAATGGACGAGTCCAAATCCCATGTTGGGTTTTCAACTTTGCAATTCGGATCTGACCATCTCTTCCTTGAATCAGCTCCAGTATTCTTCCCATTGGCCACAAAATGCGCTTTTTATCATCCGATCCGATAAGAACGACATCTCCCACATGGAAATCTGGGAGCTTCTTTTCCTTTCCTCGTTGAACTAATAGGGATAGATATTCGCTGCGAAATCGCGTCCTCAGTTCTTCCCTCATCTTGACTAAACTCTTATGTTGATTTCGAAGAGCTTGAGCATCCAGAGCCATTTCTTCAGGAAATTCCACTTCTCGGTTGTCCTGTAGAAACATGGCAGGGGTCAGGGGCACCAAGTCGTCTTTATCTTCAGAAATATAAGTAAGAGGTCGGCTGTTTATCACCGCCTCCACTTCGAACATACATGTCTCCAACTCTTTCAAATGAAGCTTCCTAGGACCCAACATCCTCTTCAATAAATCTTTGCAGGACCGGATGAGCCTTTCCCAGAACCCTCCCCACCAAGGAGAGGAAGGAACAATAAACTTCCATTCGATTCGAGTGACCTTTGTTTCTTGCTGGATCCTCTCCCAGTCCAACAAATTAATCGCATTTGATGCACCTTCAAAATTAGTCCCATTGTCGGTATAAATAATACTTGGTCGTCCTCTCCTGCTTATAAATCGATGGAGACTCAATAAGAATTCTTCAGCCGTCAACTGGGTTACTATTTCCAAATGCACTGCTCGGTATACAGCACAAGTGTACAAAACCATCCACACCTTCTCTCCAGTTTTCAGAAATAGTGGTCCAGCAAGGTCGATTCCTATGACTTGAAACACCCTGGCTAACTTGACCCTGGCCTCGGGTAGTGGAGCACACGGAACTTCACATTTCTTTGATGTAAATCTCCTACACACAGTGCAGCGGCTCAGAACTTTCTTTATTGCTTGACGAGACTGTAGTATCCAGACTTTCTCTCGTAGTTTGCTCATCATGATCTGCAGACCGGCGTGCTTGTTGCGGAGATGCTCTGTTCGGATCAACTGATCAACAACCAGACTATTCTTCGGGAGGAGGACAGGTTTCCGGAAGGCATCAGTATCGGGTAAATTCAGAATCTTCGTTTTCACTCGCAATAGTCCATCGTGATCTTGTTCAACTTGGAGACCATCAACGACACTGGATTCAAACACTTTCTGTTCTTCCATAAAAATAAACTTTTCAGCTTCCGACAATTCCCATTCCTGCAAACCCACTGCTGCATTTTTCTTGAAGCGATTCCTTATGGCTCTCATAATATATGCCAATACTCGGACGTTCTTATGAAATGAAGGCGACGCCTCCATGTACCACGGCAAGGAGGAGACGGTCGTAACCAGCACAATCTTTGCTGCCTTTTTCTTCTCCGCTAAAATTTCTTCTTCATCGGGACTTGCTTCCTGCAACGGCCACTCTTCTTCTGGCCCTTTTAACCAGCCTGGACCTTCCCACCACTTGGAACTTAACAGTTGGCTCGGAGTACATCCTCGTGATGGCAGGTCTGCCGGATTAATCAACCCGGGGACATGTCTCCATTCCTCGGCTTTTGTTAAGGAACAAATCTCTTTCACACGGTTCCCCACAAATGTTCCCCACTGATCGTTTCTCTTTATCCATGCGAGGGCTGTAGTCGAGTCGCTCCAGCATACGATTCGTAACCCCTCCATTGACAACGCCTTGATAACACTTGTCACCAGTCTCGCCGCGATGCTGCAGCCTAATAACTCAAGTCGTGGAATTGTTACCGGCTTCAAGGGGGCTATTCTTGCTTTTGCTTGTAAAAGTTGAATAGAAACACCATGTTCTCCTTCAATTCTCGCAAAAATTACAGCAGCATAGGCTAACTTGCTGGCATCGCTGAAAACATGAAGCTGGACATTATTGGCATTCTCTGAATTGAAAGCCCATCTTGGTATTCCAATCTTCTCTAAAACTGACACTTCTTTCCACCAGTCAATAAATTCTTTCTTGACGGAATCTTCAAGTTCTTCGTCCCAAGATTTCTTATCTTGCCAAGTCTTCTGGAGCAACCTCTTCGGAATCAACGTTGCTGGACAAACAAACCCCAATGGGTCAAAAATCTTCTGAATTTGAGAGAGGATGAGTCTCTTCGTCATCTTCCCGGTTGGCTCGTTTTTTGGGATTTCGACAAACAGCTCGTCTGCTTCCTTATCCCACGTAAGACCAAGTACTGTAGTAAAATCCTGGCGACCTCTTTTTATGACAGATGAATGCTCCCATTGTCGGAGTTCCATTCCTGCTTCCGCCATCATCATCACACAGGCCTTTTCAAAATCTTCACGTTCTTGGTGTGAATCCACTGATGTCACAGAGTTGTCGACGTAGAGTGAGTGAAGGAGTTGTAGCGCTATGAGACGTAAATCTTCACTTACTGACTTCAAGTGAAACTCAATAACTGCACCTAACAAGAACGGACTGCAATTGACTCCGAACACCACTCTTTTATGTCGCAAAATTTTGATTTCTTTTGTTTCCATATTTTTCCACCACAGAAACCGCTGATAATCTTGATCCTTTTCTGCAACTTGGATCATCTGGAATGCTTTTCGCACGTCGGAAATAACTCCTATTTTCTTCTTCCTGAATCTTAGTAAAATTGCAGGGATTAATTCCAATAAGTTGGGGCCTTTTTCAAGACAGTCGTTAAGCGAAGGGCTCCTTCCAACTTTACATGAAGCATCGAAAACGGGTCTTACTGGTGTTGTCTGACTTTCAGGCTTGATCACCGCTCGATGGGGGAGGTAGTGGCATGGTGAATCTGAATCCACTTTCACTTCGTCAATGAAACCCTCTTTCTCCCACTCAGAAAAGATCTTGTCATAATTTTCAAGTTGACCTTGACTCCTTAATTTGTTGGTGGTGGAGACGACACGTTTTTCCGCGACCGATTTGTTCCCCGGAATTTCAGGCGCTCCATCCAGCCATGGAAGTGTTACTGTGTACCTTCCATTTTCACTTTTTGAAACAGTTCTTAGGAAGTGCTGTCTCGCTGCTTCCTCACATTCTTCTCTTGATTTACTTTCAGACGGATCAGTAATTCCTATTGTCTCGAGATTCCATAAATCCTGGACACTGGACTCTGTAATTACTTGAGAGATTCCCATCATTGCTGTTGTACTTTTCTTGTCCCCATAAATAGGACCACTGAGTGTCCAGCCAAAAATGGTATCCACCGCGACAAGCCCACATTCTAATAATACTGGCTTTCCAACAACTAATTGTCCCCAGTAATCACTTCCGATTAAAATTTCAACGTCTTGACTGTCGACTATAGTATTTTCAAAATCTGTGAGCCATATCTTCCTCCTTTTCAGCTCCTTCATCCATGGGCCGACAGGAATCCTGGCAATATCACCACAAATAGTTGGGGCTT